ACAGGATTGGGTTGGGGAGAAGGGTTGGAATACAGAAGATTGCTATTAAAAAGACACCGGCAGAGAACAACGCAAATAGCTGAGCAGCATTTGAGAATACAGCATGTTTTATGGCAAAGAGCAAAATACTACTGTTCCTCTTCTAGTATGCTATAGACAAGCAGTAATTTATATATATATATATATTTTTTTTAATTGCATTTTAGGTTTTGGGATACATGTGAAGAACATGCAAGAGAGTTGCATAGGTACACACGTGGCAGTGTGATTTGCTGCCTTCCTCCCCTTCACCTATATCTGGCATTTCTCCCCATGCTATCTCTCCCCAACTCCCCAACCCCTGCTGTCCCTCCCCTATTCCCCCCAACAGACCCCAGTGTGTAGTGCTCCCCTTCCTGTGTCCAAGTGTTCTCATTGTTCAACACCCGCCTGTGAGTGAGAATATGTGGTATTTCATTTTCTGTTCTTGTGTCAGTTTGCTGAGAATGATGTTCTCCAGGTTCATCCATGTCCCTACAAAGGACACAAACTCATCATTTTTTATTGCTGCATAATATTCCATGGTGTATATGTGCCACATTGTCCCTGTCCAGTCTATCATCGATGGGCATTTGGGCTGATTCCAGGTCTTGGCTATTGTAAACAGTGCTGCAATGAACATTTGTGTGCATGTGTCCTTATAGTAGAACGATTTATAGTCCTTTGGATATATACCCAGTAATGGGATTGCTGGGTCAAATGGAATTTCTATTTCTAGGTCCTTGAGGAATCGCCACACTGTCTTCCACAATGGTTGAACTAATTTACAGACGAGCAGTAACTTTATTCTCTAAAATCATTCATCATTTTTCTATCTCTCTGTATATACTTGGTGGTGAATTCGCTACAAATATACGGAGATGCTAGGATAGTTTTTGGAAATACCATCCTCGTATTAGTACCAGGTCTATGTGTATCTGCAGCAACTAAAGTCGGTATCAGCAGTATTGGCAAACTTCTATTTAAATTCAGCTGTAGCAAGACAAGTCATCTTTCAAATATATGCGGTTGTAGTATTTCTCTACTTTCCCAGTAATATAAACTATTTTCTCTCAATTTTCATACGTAGTATTTTGGTGCTTTAACCAAAATATTAGGGAGAAAATTCTTATTTCTTTTTAATTGGATTCTCATATGTTGATCTATTTTTATTATTTTCTAAAAATATATTATGTGTCCTAGTTTAAAAGTATGTATTTGTTTCCTAGAGCTGCTGTAACAAATTAACACAAATTTGTGCTTTTTCACAGTTCTGAAGGTCAAAGTCCAAAATCAAAGTGTTGTTAGGGGTGTACTCCTAGAGCCTCTCAGAGAGAACCCCTTCCTTGGCATTATGCCACATCACTCATGGACCTCCATCTTCATATCTCCTCCTCTGTATCATCTTTCTCTTATAAGGACATTTGTTTTGACATTTAGGGCTCAGCCATAATACTTAAGGATGATCTCATCTAAAAACTCTTAATCACATCTGCAAAGACACTTTTTTCAAATAAAGTTAACAGACAGAAGTTTGGGGGTTGGGATGTGGACATAACTTTGGGAGCCATTAACAACCTACCAAAACATTTTAACAATTTTTCGGTACCAAAGACTAATATGAGTCTGCTCCAGCGTAACTCAAAACATTCTGAACTTAATAAGCAAACCCTCGGGTCTCCCTAGAGAGATTGTGAGGACCTAGGAAAGTCCCAGAATTAAGCTACTCTACAGAGATTCTGAGGGAAGTCTGGGAACAGGTGAGAATTTCATGAGTCAATCAGAGGTTTAGTATGGACTAGTTCTACAATTCCAGAAGGAACATAGTGGCCATAGAATACCGTTAACCATTGTCATCCCACAGAATTATCTTTTACTTGTGTCAGCATATATCCTGCCTACCTTACATATTTTACGTTTATCAGTTATGACAGAAACTTCCCCCCTTTTACTTAGATTTAGTAGTAATATAACAAACTTATTTTCTTTGCTTTCCATTTTCAGGCATATCCAGAGGGTTTTCTCTTCACCTCATTTCCCATCTTTAATCAGACATACATGATTCATATTGGAGAAAATGTTTCTGAGACCAAATGGTGGTGTTTGTAAGATTTTGCTTCTGCACTGAATTCAATGTTTTGTTTACTGCTTGGTTATTTTGTTTCTGTTTTTTGAGAGATGGGAGGAGTGTCATATCTAGATGCACATAAAAAAATTGGAGGAATGGACACAATCATAATTGATAAAAACTCATATTTTTTAGAGTAAAAAAGCAATAATACTTCCTGAAACACACCTTGGGCTCCTTGCAGAAGCTGAACTATCTGGTAATTACTATTTAGCAAACAGCTAACAGCTAGCTCTTAATTTTTCAGAAATAGGAGGACATCATTGGCCACTATCATACCACTCATTTTATTGCACCAATGCTTTCACAGAGGATGTCACCAAAGAAAGAAGTGGCATCCACTACTCCTCCCCCATCCTTCCACTCTGAACCAGTACAGGATATTCTCATGGTCAGGGCATTCTCTCCTCGGCAGGATGTAGCTAATGACATATGCAGAATTAATGACTTGGTTGCCCTAGGCCCCCTGCCAAGGCTTTTGTTCAAGGAAGGGTAAAGAGGACAGGTCTCAGGATATCATCCAAACAGGATGGATATAGAATGCCAACCAGGTTAGCCCTGGCAAGTTAAGACATTTTACAGTGCCACCACCTAACTCCATACTGTGTCAGAGGAGCCAGTTGCACAGTGTTGATTTCCCTAAGAGTATTATAATAAGGAAGGGCTGTTTTCTTAGCCCAGTTGCTACTGAAACTCACTCAGAGGAGCAAGTGGAATTTGTCACAATTGGATCAATTGTTTTATCTCACTCTTGGAAGAAGAAAAGTTAGAAATTCTAGAAAGCAAAAGATTTTTGTGACCAGGTCTCGCTGATCTGCACAAAATAAACTCTACATGAGTTAAACCAAAACGGATTTAGCGTCTAACCTTAACTCTATTTTGGCGTTAACTTCTTTTCCAAAGGGAAATCACCTTAACAATCTGAAATCATCCCTGCAAATACACTTTCTCAGCTTTTCTTTTCTGCCGTCCTATGAATCACAAATACAAGTTTAACACAGCTGTCATGTAGGTTCCCCAAATTCAATTAAAATGGAGAATGATGAAAGAATAAGAAAAACCAGCAAATGATAGCTTAATATTCAGTTATCCGGCTTGATACTGCTTGAAAGTGATTTCTAGATTAAAGAACTGATAAGCTCTCATAGTTGAGAAATAATATTAGTTATTTCTTGGACACCCTAAGATGTGCCACCTATTGCTCTTAAACACTTTATATGTATTATTTAACTCTCATAACAATGCTATGATATAGGGATTGAGTCTCTTAATAGAGCTAATGAATGCATTAAATCAAAAGAATGAAATGTTAAATATAAACACTGGAAAATAAAATTATTTTTGCTTGTATTATTTTTGCAAAATTATTTTTGCAAGTGAGCACCTTGAAAGCTCAAAAAATCTATTAGAAGTATTCAGGAACTTGGGGAAGTAACTGGATATAAGACAAGTATGCCAAAAATCAATAGCTTTTCTTTATAAATAATACCTAGAAGTTGATATGATGATAAATATGACAGACAAAAACTAACAGTGTTAAGATATAAGGCTAACAAGAGAGAACTATTATAAAATCTTATTGAAGGACTTAAGATCTGAACAAATGTATTGAATGGGAAGATAATATCATAAAAATATCAATTCCCCCAAATTAGCATGTTAATGTAATATGATTCCAATTTGAATATTTCAACTGAGTGAGAGGTGGTTTTTTTTTTTTTTTTTTTTTTTTTTTTGTTAGCCTGGATGTTGGTCTCAAACCCCTGGGCTCAAGAAGCAGTCTTCCCACTTTGGCCTCCCAAAGTGCTGGGATTATAGGCATGAGTCGCCATGCCAGGCTTGGGTGAGGTTTTGAAATTGAAATTAAGCAAATGGGCCAGGAGCAGTGGCTCATACCTGTAATCCCAGCACTTTGGGAGGCCGAAGCGGGCAGGATCACCTGAGGTCAGGAGTTTGAGACTAGCCTAGACAACATGGTGAAAACCTGTCTCTACTAAAAGTACAAGAATTAGCCGGGAATGGTGGTCACACTTGTAATCCCAGCTACTCAAGAGGTTGAGGCAGGAAAATTGCTTGAACCCTGGAGGCGGAGGTTGCAGTGAGCTGAGGTCACACCACTACATTCTAGCCTGGGCAATAAGAGTGAGACTCTGTCTCAAAAGAAATAATAATGTAAAACAATAGAAGTCTTAGAAAGAAATCTAAGAGATTAGAAATTTAGAGATAGGGTAGACCTTCTTAGCCAGTTTTTAAAACTCAAGCTATATTTAAAATTAAAATATATTTTTCAAGTAAATAAGTTAATAAGAGTCTGTGTGTATGCACACAGAAGCTTCTCAGCTTACAATGGGGTTATGTCCCAATAAGCCCATCATAAGTGAAAGATGTAAGTCAAAAATGCATTTAATACCCTGATAAATCTATCACAAAGTTGAAAAATTATAAGGAAAACCATAAGTCAGGGGCTGTCTGTGTATATAAATTTAAAATTTTCTTGGCAAAATATATTGTAGTCAAATTTGGGAAAGTATAACATAGATAAACTATTCAAAAGAAAAACGGATGAAAGATATAACTAGGCAGTTCAGAGAAGAACAAATCCAAATGGTCCATCAACATAAAAAGATGCTCAAACTGTAGCCAGAGAAGTACAAACCAAAGTACCAGTGAGCCCCACACATGAACGAAAACTGCAGAGAATACTACAATCCCAGAAGAGAGGTAAAGGGCAAAGAAATGAATCATTTATTGCTGATGGAAATGTGCATTGTAGAGCTGATATCTATTCAAATTAAATATGCATATTTGACCTTAATTCTACTACTGATATTTACACCAAAGAAATAAAAGGATATATACACAAGATTATTTATTGCCACACTCTAGAAGAAAAAACAGAATGCATACCCATTGATAGAATAATTGAATAAATTATGATTCATGCATAATATAGAATATTATGCATTCATTTAAAAATGACTTTGATGGGCCAGGCGAGGTGGCTCACACCTGTAATTGCAGCACTTTGGGAGGCCAAGGCGGGCGGATCACGAGGTCAGGAGATCGAGACTATCTTGGCCAACATGGCGAAACCCCGTCTCTATTAAAGAATACAAAAATTAGCTGGGTGTGGTGCCACGGGCCTGTGGTCCCAGCTACTCAGGAGGCCGCGGCAGGAGAATCACTTGAACCTGGGAGGCGGAGGTTGCAGTGAGCCAAGATTGCGCCACTGCACTCCAGCCTGGTGCCTGTCAACACAGCAAGACTCTTGTCTCAAAAAAAAAAAAAAATGAGTTTGGTGTTTAAAGGCTGACTTAGAGTGACCCATGCAAAGTGACTAAACAAAATACAGAGAAGGATGTATGTGTGGTATGTGTGTGGGCACCTGGGAAAGGAGCTGAAGGGTATTTACCAAGTTGTTAACATGCATTTCCTGACTTGGTGATATAGGAGTAGGGGTGAGGAAGTGAGAAAGTGAAGGATCTGAGCAGGTGGAAGAAGAAAAGCAAAAATATATCCCTTTCTATACAAAGGGGTATAGAAAAGTCATCATTGTCAGTATCATAGCAGTTTCTGGAATATATTTAAAAAGCTATATGAATGTCATCACATTATATGTAAAATATGAATATAAATACATGGGAAGATAATATGCATTAATAAAAATTATTGTGTTAGCAACAGTAACATAGATGACTGGATTATTATTTCCTTTTCCTTAACATTGTTATGCTATCTTTGAGTAAAATTAATTTTAGAAATTTAAAAATAATTGCCATTATACTTAAACTTTATATTTAAACAAGAAAATCATTCAAAAACCAAAGCAGTTTAACTTTCTTTCCTTACCTGAAATTTAGCCTTTTTACACAGCTAGAGAACTTCAGTTGATCTTGTGAAGGACAAAGAAGCAGAAGGACTTCCCGAGGATGTTGGGTTTCCTAAAAAGTAAACGCAATCATTTAAAATTACAAATAGTTCTTCCAAGGACATCGTCTGCAGGCACTCAAAATGGTCCAGCATTTGACATGCTGACGCAGGCTTTCCTATGGTACAGCCTCTAACAAAACTAGGGTATCTCGAACCCCTGGTAATAGAATTGTTTACCTTTATACCAAGAAGGTTGGGAAAGCACCAAAATCTGCATGTGGTATGTGCCCAGGCAGACTTTGAGGGGTTCATGCTGTAAGACCCAAAGTTCCTATGCAATTGCCCAAAACAAAGAAACACATCAGCAGGGCCTGTGGTGGTTCCATGTGTGCTAAATGTGTTCGTGACAGGATCAAGCATGCTTTCCTTATTGAGAAACAGAAAATCATTGTGAAAGTGTCGAAGGTACAAGCACAGAGTCAAAAAGCTAAATAAAAAATGAAACGTTTTGAGTAATAAAAACGAAAAACAAAATTGCAAATAGGTAGACAGGATGGATTCTGAAGCACAGTTTTCCCAAATGCCCTTTTTGCAGCAGATTCAACTTCCAAACAAATTTCAAGAGCAGTGTTCACGATAGACACAAATTTTCACTAGCATTATATTGCATTGCCAATACTGATTCCATTATTTTATGCTTTTCAATGCACTTCCATTTATAAAAGCTGCAGTTTGCTCTTATATGTCAATATGTTTGTAGCTCAAAATATGCTTGCAGTATTTTAAGTCAGTTCGTGCTCTTGATTTATGAACTAAATATACTACATTTTCAATTATTAAAATAAGAGCTTGGTTAGGTGTGGTGGCTCACACCTATAATCCCAGCACTTTGGGAGGCTGAGGCAAGATGATCACTTGAGCCCAGAAGTTCAAGACCAACCTGGGCAACATAGAGAGACTCTAGCTCAACAAAAAATTTAAAAATTAGCTGGATGTGGGGGCACATGCCTGTGGTTCTAGCCACCTGGGAGGCTGAGCCCAGGAGATCAAGGCTGCAGTGAGCCATGACTGTGCCACTGTACTCCAGCCTGGGCAACAGAGTAAGACCCCGTCTCAAAAAAAAAAAAAATACACCTTGAATATTCTGTTGTTTTTAAGGAGTGAATTCATAGCATCATAGATGCATGACCCATCTTCTTAAAGATACATTATCATAGATCCTCTAGTTAGAAGATATTAGCTTACAGACAAAGATATCTATACATATGTGGTAACTGATTATCCATCCAAATTTTTAATTATTTGTTACACTGTTTTCAAAAAGTTATTTATTTAGATAATGATGTCTGTTTGTTTTCTCTGTATTTTCAAGCCAATTCCCCCTTAACATCACCCTTTTCTACTTCATTCAGGATGTGAACAGCACAAGCCTTCCATCTTCAGACAAACACTGAGACCTGGACAATGACCTGTATTAGGTAGACAGAATCTAATGAAGCTAAAAGCCTTTTCCTGTGTCTTAGCAGCACAGAAGCCACTCGTCCTTCCCCCAGTGTTTGTGCAAATCCCAGAGAAAAGGAGACAGCCCTTGTGATGTGTAAGGTTGAATTTCCTGCCTTCAAACTATCAAATCCGGCAGAATGAGGGCTCAGTCAGAACTACAACTCAAAAGAAAAAAAATTTTTGTGTGACTTTTCCTGCCTGCTCAAATTTTTGGGTTGAGGTTCATGCCAGCTACATTCTTTGCATAATAAAATATAAAAATAGTATAAATTGTTCTGTTTAGAGAAAACAGCAAAACAATGCTCTCCCCAGGGCCCTAATAAATCACTCTTCAGAAACGTGGATGTATGTTGGATTTACAGGATTTCTATGCCAAGCAGAGAAGTACATGAAAACAGGAAAGCAAAATGCATAAGTTGCAGTAATAGTTTTGTGGTTTAGCTGAATAATGTTCTATATCAACAGAGGATACTGATTTTAGTTACCCCAAGACCATTTCCATTACTGATGAGGCTTGAGATGTCTGTGAAGAAGAGTAATTGCAATTGATTTATTTGTCTGGCAAACTTTTTGTCAGCAAATTTACCACTACCTCAAAAATGTCAGTAGCTATTGTATGCTTAAGACATTAGAAGCATAAGCCACAGTGAAAACTTATATTGAATGAACTCTTACCATTAGAATTCTAAGAAGCAGTAATTTATGATTTTATGTTAAAAATCACCCAGATGTCAGCATTTAAATCACAATTCAGTAATATAAGTAATTTGAAATTAGAAAGTTTTATGCTTCACCATTCTATTTTCCTCTTCAAATTGAACATAGTTTGAAAGAATTAAGAAAAGAAGCTATAAAACACAAATTATTCAAGGATTCTTCCTGTTTTGTTTTTGTTTTGAGATGGAGTTTTGCTGTTGTTGTCCAGGCTGGAGTGCAATGGCACGATCTTGCCTCATCCTAACCTCTGCCTCCCAGATTCAAGTGATTCTCTTCCCTTAGCCTCCCAAGTAGCTGGGATTATAGGCATGTACCACCACACACGGCTAATTCTGTATTTTTAGTATAGACGGGGCTTCTCCATGTTGGTCAGGCTTGTCTGGAACTCTTGACCTCAGGTGATCTGCCTGCCTTGGACTATCAAAGTGCAAAGATTACAGATGTGGAGCCACCAGGCCCGGCCGATTCTTCCTATTTTTAAACACCACAAGATTAAGATGATAAAGACATCATTAGAAGTGGTAGAGAGTACTGTGAGATATCTATATGTGATATAATAAAAATGAAAAATTAATCTGATTTTATATATCTGTAGATACTCTTGCTAGAGTATTTTTTGAAGAATTGTATGCAATTTTGTATTGATTGAAAACGACCTCCTCATTCAAGAAAAATTTATTGAGCACTTACTAAGTGTCAATAGGTGAACGTGAATAAAATAGATACAGTCCCTGCCTTCTTGGAGTTAAATAAAATAGCAGATACTTAATTGAATATTTATTATATGTTATGCATTATAATATTAATCAATGTTTATTGAGTTATGATTGTATGCCAACACTGTCCTTAGCAATTTACTTATGTTAACTAATCCTCACAATGAATCTATGAGGTAGGTACTATTATTTGTCATAAAATTACAAAGCCATAGAAAAATAATTTGTCCAAGGTTCCATAGAGTAAGTAGGAGACCCAGAATTCAATCTAAGGAGTCTTTTTGTTCTGTACAACAGCTCAACTGCTACATAAACATTATTTAGTTTCCAGGACAAATTTTTCAGGATAATACTCTTATTTTCTCAATTTTACAGAAGAGAAAACTGAAGTGTAAAGAGGTGAGATAACTCACCAAAAGTTAACTGACAATGATCCTACCCACTACCTCACACTGCTTAACTGGGAAGACGCTCAATTTAACAAGTGCCAACCAGGCTCCACATTTAAACTCTGACCCCATCTGACCTTAAAGTAAAGCATTTTTCTTCAAAGCAGACACTTCCCCACCCCAAAAAAAGTCATATCTGAAAAGACATAATGTACTTAATCAATGGCTTCCTGCTATAATCACCACAACCACATCGTTTCCTAGAATCCTATCTGTCTCACTGAGCCCTTCCATTAGCTTTTCTCCTATACATGAAGTTCAAATAGCACACGGGAGTTTTTGAGGGCATACACAACTTACATTCCATGCTCAAGTATTTTTTTCCTCCCCTGACTCATTAACTTTTTGAAATTTAACAGATTTTGCTATATTTTGTGCTATCTAGTCTATCTGAACCAAATGTATATATATTTTGTAGTTTCCTCTTTAAATACATTCAAAGCACTGTTTTGCCTCACATCACCAATATTTAACTGCTTTCAATATCACTGCCACTTACATACAAAAAAAAATCCGATGTTTCTTAAGAGGAAGCCAAACTAAATAAATCATTTTAAAGATATATATATGGCTAGGTGTGGTAACTCACACCTGTAATCCCAACACTTTGGGAGGTCAAGGTGGGTGGATCACCTGAGGTCAAGAGTTCCAGACCAGCCTGACCAACATGGTGAAACCCGGTCTCTATTTAAAAAAATAAATAAATAAAGCCTGGGTGCAATGGCTCATGCCTGTAATCCCAGCACTTTGGGAGGCCGAGGTGGGCGGATCACAAGGTCAAGAGATCGAGACCATCCTGGCCAACATAGTGAAACCCTGTCTCTACTAAAATATAAAAATTAGCTGGGCGTGGTGGTATGCATCTGTAGTCTCAGTTACTCGGGAGGCTGAGGCAGGAGAATTGCTTGAACCCGGGAGGCGGAGGTTGCAGTGAGCCGAGATCAAGCCACTGCACTCCAGCCTGGTGCCTGGCGACAGAGAAAGACTCTGTCTAAAAAAAAAAAAAAAAAAAAAAAAAAAAAAAAAAAAAAAAAAAAATTAGCTAGGTGCAGTGATGCATGCCTGTAATCCCAGCTACTCAGGAGGCTGAGGCAGGAGAATTGCTTGAACCTGGGAGGGAGAGGTTGCAGTGAGCCAAGATGGCATCACTGCACTCTAGCCTGGGCAACAAGAGCAAAACTCTGTCTCAAAAAAAAAAAAGAAAATATTGGCCTGGGCATGGTGGTTCATTCATGTCTGTAATCCCAGCACTAAGGGAGCCTGAGGCAGGTGGCTTGCTTTAGCTCAGGAATTTGAGACCAACTCAGGAGTTCAAGACCAGCCTGGGCAACATAGTGAAAACCAGTAACTACAAAAAAATACAAAACTTAGCTGGGCATAGTGGTGTGCATCTATAGTCCCAGCAACTTGGGAGGTTAAGGGTGGGAGGATCACTTGAGCTCAGGAGGAGTCAAGACTGCAGTGAGCCATGTTTGCAACATTGCACTCCAGCCTGAGCAACACAGGGAGATCCTGTGAAAGCCAAAAAAAAAAGGAAGAAAGAAAAAGAGAAAGAAAGAGGGAGAGAAGGACAGAGGGAGGGATGGAGGGAGGGACTGTTCAGGTACACAGACTTCAAGTTTGTTTTTTCAAAAAAGAATAAAACATTGACCTGCACAACAATGTGAATGTATTTAATGTCAATGAATTACAAACTTATTGATGGTTAAAATGGTAAATTTTATGTACACATTATCACATTTTTTTTAAAGTAAATTAAAAGAGCTGGTTAATATCAAGGGAGGGAAAAAAAAAGACTAAAACATTGCCAACCACGCATTAACATCAATATGCAAGATGTAACAGTTTTACCTAATAATAGATTTTAAGTTAGAATATATATATATTCTGACTGGGCGAGGTGGCTCAGGCCTGTAATCCCAGCACTTTGGGAGGCTGAGGTGGGCGGATCACAAGGTCAGGAGATGGAGACCATCCTGGCCAACATGGTGAAACCCCATCTCTTCCAAAAATACAAAAATTAGCTGGGTGTGGTGGCACATGGCTGTAACCCCAGCTACTCAGGAGGCTGAACACATAGAGAGACTCCGCTTCTACAAAAACATAAATTTAAAAAATTAGCTAGGTGTGACAGCGCGTGTCTGTAGTCCCAGGTACCCAGGAGGCTGAGGTGGGAGGATTGCTTGAGTCCAGAAAATTGAGGCTATAGTGAGCCAAGATTGTGCCACTGAACTCCAGCCTGAGCAATCCAAATAGTCTGTTTAAAAAAAAAAAAAAAAAACTGGGGTGGGGCAGGGCGGTGGGGGTGCAAATAATGATATTTGACACCCCAGCTGTTGGGAATAAGGGAATGAAGGATACTCCAGAGCAAACAGTTGGAATTTGAGTATCTTTGGGATAGATGCTTCCTGGTCTTCAGCTCCTGAAGAGCTGTGCTTTCCCAGACCTTTTCTCCAGTTTCTTAACAATTCCAAGAGCTCCTGATGTGTTTCCAGTAAATTCCTTTTTAAGTTAATCAGTCAATTTCTGTCACTGCAACCAAGAATACTAAATCCAAAGCTACCATGTATACAAATATATACCACATAAGAAATTTATTCCAAATCCTTTATGGTAATGAAATGAGTATGTTTTGAAATTTTGGTGGGGGCCATATGGTGTTCATCCCTAGTAATTAAATGTGTCAAAGAGAAACGCAGTGCACTTTCCAGAAAGTTTTCTGTCTTTGCATATGTACTGAACACAGGGCTAATTTTTTTTGCCCCAAACTGCTCTTCTTTCTTATTGTGTGCTTCATGGTCAACCACCTCAAGTACACTTCAGTTATATTACATGAATAAAACTCACTGGAATTCAATTGCTGAGGGACATGGAGCAAGAACCTGAACCACAGATAACACTTTGAATTAACTTGCCCCAGCACTGACAAAAATCATTAGCACCACATTTTGCTTTCTATAAGAACAAGCGTACTTTTTGTACAGGAAAATTAGGAGGTTGGGAGAATGAGACCACACCAGGGCATAATTCTTCAAAAAGGTTATTGAAGGAGTAAAGTAACATTTCGATGACCTGCTATGTACAGTGTATATTTGATGTCTCTCTCTCATGCCCACTCCCCTACTTTTTAAAAAATATTTGTGATGGTGCAGTGGTTCACGCCTGTAATTCCAGCACTTTGGGAGACCAAGGCAGGTGGATCACATGATGTCAGGAGTTTGAGACCAGCCTGATCCATATGGAGAAACCCCATCTCTACTAAAAATGCAAAAAATCAGCCCGGCATGGTGGTGCATTCCAGTAATCCCAGTTATTTAAGAAGCTGAAGCAGAATTGTTTAAACCTGGGAGGCAGAGGTTGCAGTGAGCCAATCTCATGTCACTGCACTCCATCCTGGGTGATAAAGCGAGACCCTGCCTCAAAAAAAAAAAAAAAAAAATATATATATATATATATATATTGCAGAAACAGGGTCTCATGTTGTTGCCCAGGCTGGTCTCAAACTCTTGGGCCCAAGCCATCCCTCCCACCTGGACCTCCCAAAGTGCTGGGATTACAGGGGTAGCCACCGCACCCGACAGTGCTTAGCTTTTTCATAGATGTAGCTTTTTCCTTGCTTGCAGACTTCGCAGTGAGCCGAGATCACGCCACGGCCCTCCAGCCTGGACTAGAGCGAGACATAATCTCAAAAAGAAAAGAAAAAAAAGCTCAGCACTGTCACCAGGAATATATGGCAAGAAAAGCTGGCAATTTCTACATATCTGTGAAACCCAAAATGTCATTTGCAATAAGGATCAAATGTATCAATAGTGTAAGCCCAAAAGTCTGTGGCAACTTCTTCACTTTCCCCAGATTGTCAATGGCACCTTTGTTAAACTCAACAAGGTTTCGGTTAACAATGTTGAGGATTGCAGAACCACCTATTGCATGGGGCACCTGAACCTGAAATCAACAAATAAACTGATATACCTACTGGTTATAGTAAAACCAATAAACAAATTACCTTAACAGAGATAACTCTTTAATTGCTAGATCTCTTGATAAATATGGCATCATCTGACTGGAGAATCTGATTCGAGAGCTCTATGTTGTTGAAAAATTCTTCAAGTTCTCGTGATCCTTCAAATTATCTTCTCCACGAGGTAGAATGAAGGACTACCTATTTTGTATTAATGAAAGGTATAAATGCCAGCAACAGAAAAGACCATATCAACAGGCTTATTAAATGGATAAACTGAGGTGTCTAATATTATTTTTGTAATCTTATCAGTTAATAACCAGTCACTACTTTCAAATATGAAAAAAAACAAAAATGTGACTCCTTCAAGACCAAAATATAACCACTATTTGCCTACACGGCACTTTGAATAGAGGGCAATACCATCATATTTTACGCTTGCCTTTCTACTTTTTAATACGGGTGAACTTTTTTTCCTCCATAGCAAAAAATACCAAGTAAAGAACAAATAGCAGTTATGGAAAATACTTTCAAAAACTGTATGAAGCTACAGCACAAAGGACTGAGCGTAGGGAGAGAAACAGAAATTTCTCGAGGCAGAGCCCACATATCTGAATTCCAACAACAGGCGCTTTCTGAGAGAATACCAGGTAATGACTTCACATTTTTCCAGACTATCAACATAATTCGTTTTTCCCAGTAGGAGAACCCAACGCCTGTTCCACGCCCACAGACATCGGTCAGGCAAAGCGGCCGCAACGCTTCCGGGCTAAACGCGACTAGGTCCCGCCCCCGGTCCTGTCTGGTCCAGCCAGGCACAAGTTGGCAAACTTTGCGCCTGCGCCCACCGGGCTAGCTCATGTAGGCTCAAGTCGCGCATGCGCTAGGTGGGAACGTTGTTTCTTCTCCCCTGCGCTTTTTCTGTGGGGCTGTTTTAGGGAGAGTGCTTCCAGGTCGAAAGGCTTGCTTCCGGAGAGCGGGAAGGCTAAAACGCGGTAACTAAACTGGAGCCAACCTTGGTTCTGTATGGAAAAGGCTTTAGCCATGGACAGGTCAGTTCTGATCGTGGGAGCTGAGCCCGAAGTCTTGTCCCTCTCGCCTGCTGGCGAAACGAAATAGGTGAAACTAGACTCCCAGAAAAAGCCAAGGAGGAGGTCCCGGGTGCTTCCCCTAAGACTCCTTCCCCAGGCCAGGAAATTTGGCTACAAATGCGGAAAAGGTCGCTTGGCTTGCGTCGGGGTGGGATACGGATTATGATGGTTCCCTACATTCTCACTGTGTTCTGCGATCTATTCGGCGCTTTGGGGCAGCAACACTATTCTTTCCTGAGGTGGGCGGGGTAGGTAGCCCGGCGTTCTACATGCTGAGTGACCAGCCTGAGATCACAAAGCCAGTCAATGAAGATACTGGGATCTCAGCCCAGACTTTCTGATCACAAGTGCCAGCATCAAATACTGGGTTCCTTCTATAATCTGGGTATTATGCTAGCCGGCTGCAACAAAGATCAGTTATTCAAGATCCTTCACCTCGGGGAATTGGTTGTGTAGTGGAGACAACCAAGCATATAAAGTGATAAGTGTTTTGGAACGATTAAGTCTCCCTGTCACTATATAACTATCAGGAAGACCTCTCGAAGAAGGTAACTTTCTAGTTGGTGTTTGAGTAATAATAGTACATTATTGGTACTCCAAACCTTGAGTACTGCTATGTGACTGCATTGTTCCAAAGGATTTGAATATATATTATTAGCTTGTTTAATCTTCAGAACAAGAAAAATTCTATGAAAATATGTGCTGTTATCCTTTTTTCATAGATACCACTGAGACTAAAAGAGGTTAAGGAACTTGCTGAAAGTTAGAAGGCTAGTAGTAAATACAAGGACCAAATTCCCAACCTGCATCTGTGTGTCTCCAGGCTACCTGGGGCTCTTTGAGGAGTAAGTAGTTGTTGACCAGGTGCTCAAGGGAGCAACTGTAGGTCGTTTTAAAAGAAACTTATTCAAAGGTGTTAGGATATAGAAAAAAGTACGTGCTTTGTCGGCAGTCACATGCAGAATATGTTTAAAGCGATATTTGTGGCTGAATATAAGACTGAACCTCTAAACTGGGGTCACATTGTAAATAGCTTTTTAGGGAATTTGTACTTCTATAGACTAGAGAGAGATATCTGAAGTTTTTTTTGTTGTTGTTTTTTAATTAAACCTTTTAAATTTTGTTTTGGTTATTGTTTTCCATACTTTCTTGCTGAAGGAATATCTGAAGGTTTTAAGTGGAGGAAAAGCATATCAGATTCTTGCCTTAAACATAGGCCTTTTCATCCACACAATTTCGTTTCTAGACCTTTGAGTGAAAATGACAGGGAGTGATGTGATGGGACAGGAGACATCCTGGGTTGAAATAATTTGAAGGATCATTCTGCTCCATTTACCAGAATTCTTTTATTTACCCTCTTATCTCACAAGCTCTGTTTTGTGTTGTTGTTTGTTTTTCAGTGGTACCTGTGTTTTAAAGCATTTTGGAGACTGCAGAAAATCTTTTAAGAGAGAATTCCTGTAATTAGATAACTCCTCAATCCAACAAGGGAAATGAGATTGACTTTTATGAAGCAGTTATCTAAAACAGTGTTATAGATTCCAAGTGTTGAAATAATTCCTTAGGAGAAAATAACATAGTGAGTACTAGAAAGTCAGAGAAGTCTTTGTGCAGGTAAGATTTGAGTAAGGCTTTGAAGAATAAGCAGGATTTGGAGCCAGGAGTGCATTCTCAGCAAAAGATCTAAGACTTGGCTATTGGAATGACCTATACCACAACTTACTCAGAGCCCTTTACTCCAGCTGTGATGATAAAATTCTTTTACAAATACTACATTCTCATTTCACTTATGTAAGCTTGATTATACTACTTTAGGAGTGGCTTTGGAGATATATCATCCCCTGTTATCCGGGAGGCAGAGGTGACACGGACTGCACGGAAACAGAGTGCTCAAAAAAGAGTTTTAAGTATCCTTTGCGATTTAAGCATCATTATAAAAATTGTAACATGCTTGGAATCGGTGTTGTAGAATTTTCTTTTATGAGAGTATTAAATGTTAGCTGTAATAAAATCCTGTAGAAATTTTTTTTCACTCTGCGGAACTGTCATTTGGTAAATATAATGCTAAAATTTAATGAGATTATGTTTCCCTAAGAATAAAGATATTTCATTTTACTACTGACTATCATATTGTGGTTAGCTTCTGCTGAAATTAGATTTTTTTATTATTTGAAAACTGACTAAAAACATTTAGTTCAGTAGTTATCTAAGACTGACATCTGAGAATTTAAATGGCAGAAGGAATCATTTACCCTTTGCATAGAAAAATAGTAGCCATAAAATACCTTATTCTTGGTAAATGTATTCACATAATTTGTATAGTAAAAATATTGTTAGTTCTCACTTTAATGATCTCTTTTCTACGTGGAAAACTTTTCTTAACTCATTGTACAGTTCAGTCATCTCAAGATGAAAATTTTGGTAATACTACACCAAGAAACCAGGTTATTCCTCGAACTCCTAGCTCATTTCGACAGCCTTGTAAGACTTTTTTGCTTTTAAAGCACTTAATAATAATGATAATTATAATAGCAGCTAACATTTATTGTAGAACAATTAGTATTTGGTTACTATATCAATAATTAAGCACAAATAATAATGATTGCAGTTATTTGTTGAACTCTTGCCATGTACAAAGTACTGTATTTTACATAAACACACAGTAACTATGACATAGGTATTGTTAATTCTATTTTACCAAAACTGAAAGCAAGACTTAGAGAAGTTATAATATAGGCAATAAGTATGTAAATAAGCTGGATACAGTGGCTCACGCCTGTAATCTCAACACTTTGGGAGGCTGAGGTGGGCAGATCACTTGAGGCTAGGAGTTCGAGATCAGCTTGGCCAACATGGTGAAACTCCATCTCTACTAAGAATACAAAAATTAGCTGGCGTAGTGGGTCATGCTTGTAATCCCAGCTACTCAGGAGGCTGAGGCAGGAGAATTGCCTGAACCAAGGAGGTAGAGGTTGCAGTGAGCTGCGATTGTGCCACTGTACTCCAGCCAGGGCGAAAGAGTAAGACTCTGTAAAGTATGTAAATAATGGAATTGGGATTCAAACAATGATCTGTTTACTCCAAAGTTTATGCCCACTGCAATTCACTGCCTCGGTAAGCCTTATAAAATTAAAACATGAAGAGTCCATTGACTCATTAGTGTTTTTAACTGCTCAGTTATGCTATAATGAAAGCATCCATAATTGCAGTAAGATTTTTCCTGATAGGCTCAGTAGTACCTAGAACTCAAATTTAGAAAAATAACTTAAATCCTTGTATTGTGAAAATGTTAACATTTAAAGTATTTATCTGGTTAGAGTCTAAATGATGGAAAACGGAAAAATTTATTTTTCCTTGTTTGTTTGCTTACTTTGTTTTGATAATGAATGCTCATGCACCTTAAGTTTTTTTCTACCAACCTTTTGTTTGTAGTTACCCCAGCATACCGAAGCTTACTAAGACAGCCGGATATTTCCTGCATTCTTGGAACAGGAGGGAAGTCGCCTCGACTCACGCAATCTTCAGGGATCTTGGGAAATCTCTCCATGGTATGTAGAAAAATAGGGCTAAGAACTTCTCCTTTTGTGTCGAGTGTGGTGGCTCACACCTCTAATTTCAGCACTCTTTAAACTCCTGACCTGAAGTGATTCTCCTGCCTTGGCCTTCCAGAGGTCAGGAGTTTGAGACCAACCTGGCTAACATGATAAAACCCTGTCTCTACTAAAAATAAAACAATTACCTGGGACTCATGCCTGTAATCCCAGCTACTTGGGAGGCTGAGGTGTAAGAATTGCTTGAACCCAGGAGGCAAAGGTTGCAGTGAGCCATGATTGAAAAAAAACAGGGAGACAGAAGAAAGAACCTCTTCCTTTTAATAAAGGTATGTTATTTGATGTAAGTCTTTTAATGAATACTTAAAAGCCTTTTAATGAATATTGAGTCATAAATCATCATAAAAGTACAACTAGGTTATATGGATTGAAATAATTAATTAGACATTTAAAAAACTGAAAACCATGTGCATTTCATATCACCGATGGAAATGGTAATACCAGCAACCTTTAGATACAAACAAGATGTTTTAATCTGTCAGTTTGCTGACCAGAAGAAATACGTGCTGTGGTTGGTTACTGATGGCTATAAAATCTGATCCCTCTTTTGAAGCATACAAGAGGAGAAATCAGAGGGTAGTAGATTAAGTTTATCTTAAGGAAGAGATAAAATGTATCAAAGGGGATAAAAGAGAAAATTGGAAAAAAATAGATGAGATACACTTTAGGAATTGCTATGGAACAGTATTGAAAATAGCAAAAGAAATGTTATGTAAACTGTGATGAAGAATGACTTCACCTAAGTATTAAAAATACACTATAGCAGCTGGGTATGGTAGCTCCCATCTGTAATCCCAGCATTTTGGAAGGCTGAGGAGGGCAGATCACTTGAAGTCAGGAGTTTGAGATCAGCCTGGCCAACATAGTGAAACCCCATCTCTACTAAAAATACAAAAATTAGCCAGGCATGGTGGCACACGCTTGTAGTCCCAACTACTTGGGAGGGTGAAGTGGGAGGATGGCTTGAGCCTGGGAGGCAAAGGTTGCACTGAGCCATGATCATGCCACTGTACCCTAGCCTGGGCAACAGATCCAGACCTTGTCTCATGTAAAAAAAAAGAAATAAAGACACATACATATAATTTTTAGAAACCTTATTTATTTTTAAAGTATCCACTCAGTGACAATAACTCCATCACTTTTCTATATATATTTTTTGTTGTTGTTGTTGTTTTTAAGGTTACTAATCTGGATGACAGTAACTGGGCAGCTGCATTTTCATCACAGCGTTCCGGGGTCTTCACAAACACAGAGCCCCACGGTGTAACAGAAGATATAACTATCAGTGCTGTTATGTTACGTGAGGATGATCCTGGAGAAGCTGGTAAAATGGCATTGAGCTTCGTGACAAGTAGCTTTCCACTTTACTAATATCAAGGAAACTGTCTCCTCCTGTTTCTGAACGTCAATTATAATATGTTTTTCTCTTTCTTTTCTTTCTCTTTTTTTCTTGAGGGAGTGGCTTAAACAACAATTTTGTTCGTTTGTTTGTTTTTAGACAAGAATCTCACTGTCACCCAGGCTAAGTGCAGTGGTGCAATCATGGCTCACTGCATTCTCAAACTCCCAGGCTTAAGCAATTCTGCAGCCTCAGCCTCCTACAGTGATTGGGACTGCAGGCACATACCCACCATTCCTAGCTAATTTTTTTTGGCAGGGGCAGAGTCTTTCTCTGTTGTCCAGGCTGGAGTACAGTGATGGCAGTTTAAGTGATTCTCCTGCCTCAGTCTCCTGAGTAGCTGGGATTATAGGCAGTTTAAGTGATTCTCCTGCCTCAGTCTCCTGAGTAGCTGGGATTATAGGCACATGCTACCATGCCCAGCTAAGTTTTGTATTTTTAGTAAAGACGGGGTTTCACATGTTGGCCAGGCTGGTCTTGAACTCCTGACCACAGGTGATCCACCCGCCTCGGCCCCCCAAAGTACTGGGATTACAGGTGTAAGCCACTGCATCTGGCCACCAGCTAACTTTTTCTTTTCTTTTCTTTTCTTTTTTTTTTTTTTTAAAGACAGAGTCTCATTCTGTTGCCCGGGCTGGAGTGCAGTGGCACAATCTTGGCTCACTGCAACCTCCGCCTGCTGTGTTCAGGTGAATCTCCTGCCTCAGCCTCCCAAGTAGCTGAGATTCTAGGTACCTACCACAATGCCTGGCTAATTTTTGTATTTCTTGTAGAGGCAGGGTTTCACCATGTTGACCAGGCTGGTCTTAAAGTCCTGAGTTCAAGTGATCCACCTGCCTCAGCCTCCCAAAGTGCTGGGATTACAGGTGTAAGTCACTGTGCCCAACCTAATTTTTTATTTCTTTGTAGAGACAGGATCTCACTATGTTGCCCAGGCTGGTCTCAAACTCCTGTACACAAGTGATTCTACCACCACAGCCTCTCGAAGTGCTGGGATTACAGGCAACAACAGAAATTAATTTTCTCACAGTTCTGGAGGGTAGATGTCTTAGGTAAAGGTGTTTGCATGGTTGGTTTTCTCTGAGGTCTCTTCTCTTGGCTTACGTATGGCCACCTTCCTCCTGTGTCTTCATATGGCCTTCTGTCTATGATACATTTTTCATTAAGCTAATTAGTTATGGTTATGGCTATGGTATTTGATACAATATCACTAGAAGGTTGAAAACCTCACCTTAGTTCTCAGTCAGAGCAGCATCTTGCCATTTTATCTTTTAATGTAAAGAGCAACCCATTATATTATTAGACAAGTCTCATATTTTAATTTTTTTATTTGTTCTGTTGAAAGAGTATTTCTTTAGGTTTAGTTCTTAATCTAACATTGTTGATGTGTTTTGTTTTGTCCTGGACCCTGATACTGTTTTCTTTTTCAGAGAATGTTATGACCACTGTATAAGCAGTAACTCCTGTAATGCTTATCCTAGTCCATGAAATAGTTACAGTAATAATTCCCATTTTTGAGAAAAGAAAACTGCTGCTCAAAGTGATTAACTTACTTCAAATCACCTGGTTAGGAGGTGGTAGTACCAGAATGTGAAACTAAGAAGTTTAGCTCCAGAGCCCTGCTCTTAACATTTTGGTAACTACTTTCTTGTAGTATCTGTCAAAAACAGGTACTCTTTTTTTTTTTTTTTTTTTTTTTTTTGAGATGCAGTCTTGCTCTGTCACCCAGGCTGGAATGCTGTGGTGCTATCTCAGCTCACTGCAACCTCTGCCTCCCAGGTTCAAGTGATTCTCCTGCCTGAGCCTCCTGAGTAGCTAGGATTACAGGCGTGTGGCACCACGCCCAGCTAATTTTTTGTATTTTTATTAGAGACAGGGTTTCACCGTTTAGGCCAGGATGATCTTGATCTCCTGACTTAGTGATCCACCTGCCTCGGCCTCCCAAAGTGCTGGGATTACAGGCGTAAGCTACCGTGCCTGGCCAAATTGGTACTCATATTCAGTGACTTAAAATACTTCCTATTTAGGTGAAGTGCCTGTATTTTCCTAGAGTGGAACATGCCATTTAGTATGTATTGTAACTTTCTTCACTACTTTGTAATGGTGTGCTTAAAATATAATTCAGATACTTTTAAATCTCGCTCAAGTTCTTAAGTAATTGTTCATAAAATAACTAGTACATCTTTGAGATCTTAAAAGACCTTTAGGTATCAAAAGAAAAAATAGATAAATTGGACTACATTAAAATTTTAAACTTTTGTGCATGAAAGGATACAATCAGCAAAGTGAAAACGCAACCCACAGAATGAGAGAAAATATTTGCAGATCATATATCTGATTAGAGGTTAATATCCAAACTATATAAAAACTCCTACAACTCAACAACAAAAAAATCAACCCAATTTAAAAGTGAGCAAAGAAATAGAATACTTTTCTAAAAAAGATACACAAATGACCAATAACCACATGAAAAGCTACTCAACATTACTAATCATTAGGAAAATCCAAATCAGAACTATAGTGAGATACTAGATACTGCCTTACACCCATTAGGATGGCTACTAAAAAACAATCAATAACAACAACAAAAAAAACCAGAACAATAACAAGTATTGACAACAATGGGGAGAAATTCAAATCCTTGGCACTATTGGTGGGAATGTAAAATGATACAGCTGCTGTGGAAAACAGTATGGCAGTTCCTCAAAAAAATGAAAAATAGAATTACCATATGATCCAGCAAATCTGCCTCTGGGTATATCTCCAAAAGAATGGAAAGCAGTCTCAAAGGGATGTTTGTATATACATGTTCATAACATAATTCATAGTAGGCAAAAGGGGGAAGCAAGCCAAGTGCCTGTTGATAGATGAATGGGGGAAACAAAATGTGATCTATGCATGGAGTGGAATATTATTCAGCCAAAAAGGAAGGACATTCTGACACATGCTACAACATGGATGAACCTTGAGAATATTATGCTAAGTGAAATAAGCCAGTCCCAAAAGGGCAAATACCATATGGTTCCACTTACATGAGATACTTAGAATAGTCAAAACGTGTAGAGACAGAAAGTAGACTGATGGTTGTCAGGGGCTGGGGTGAGTAGGGAGATAATGTTTGTTAAGTACAGAGTTTCAGTTTCACAAGATGAAAAGAGTTCTATGGATAGCACAACAGTGTGAATGTTCTTACTGACACTGATCTATACACTTAGAAGTGATTAAGCCAGGCATGGTGGCTCATACCTTTAATCCTACTACTTTGGGAGGCTGAGGCAGGAGGTAGAAAGACCCTGTCTCTACAAACTAATAAAAAATTAGCTGAGCATAGCGGCTGGTATACACCTGTAGTCCCAGCTACTGGGGAGGCTGAGGTGGGAGTATTGCTTGAGCCTAGGAGTTTGAGGATATTGTGAGTCGTGATTGCACCACTGTACTCCAGCCTAGGTGACAGAGCAAGACCCCCCCTCTTAAAAAAAAAAAAAGAAGAAAAATGATCAAGATAAATTTTATATTACATGTATTTTCCCAATTAAATTTTTTTAAATAGCAGTGACTTTATAAAAGACTTGTAGCTACTTAAATTTTCAAACAGTCTGGGTATGGTGGCTCATGCCTGTATTCCCAGCACTTAGGGAGGCTGAGGCATTTGAGACAAGCCTGGCCAATATGGTCAAACCTTGTCTCTACTAAAAATACAAAAATTAGCCGAGCATGGTGGCGCACGCCTGTAATCCCAGCTACTTGGGAGGCTGAGGCAGGAGGATCACTTGAACCTGGGAGGTGGAGGTTGCAGTGAACTGAGACCACACCATTGCAATCCACTATGAGCAATAAGAGCGAAACTCCCTTTCAAAAATAAATTTAAAAAATAATAAAAAATTTTCAAACAGAATTACTTAGAAGTATGTTACTTAACTTTTCTTCCTTTTATTTATTTATTTATTTATTTATTTTTTTATGTGTTCTAGCATCCATGAGTATGTTTTCTGATTTCCTGCAGTCTTTTCTGAAGCATGCTTCGGGTACAGTTTTTGATCTTGTGGAAGAGTATGAAAATATCTGTGGTAGTCAGGTAAGCTAATTTCACTCCATTAATCAAACTTCAGCATTTTTAGTTTTTATAAACAGGATTAACCTCCTAATTTCCATAGCATTTAAGGGAGATGTCTTAGGGGAGCAGTGGCAGGAATGGAGGGAAAGTCAACTAGACTTTCTCTGCATTTTACATATTGAAGGTCCATACAAAATTTATTTGGGAGACAAAAGGATTCTGCTGCTTTGAAAAAGGAAAATCCGGCCAGATATGATGGCTCCCAATGCTTTGGGAGGCCAAAGCAGAAGGATCACTTGAGCCCAGGAGTTCAAGACCAGCCTGGGCAACATGGGAAGGTCTTATTCTCTACAAGAAATACATTTGCCAAGCATGGTGGTACACACCTGTGGTCCTAGCTACTTGGGAGGCTAAGGTGGGAAGATTGTATGAGTCCCAGAGTTTGAGGCTGCATGAGCCATGATCACACCACTGCACTCCAGCCAGGGTGACAAAGTAGACCCTGTCTCAAAAAAAGAAATGAAAATTTAAAATATATGAAGAAAAAAAAAGAATATATGAAGAATATTTACAGTTCAACAATAAGAAGTGGGGGTGGGGGACGGCGGGAGAGCATCAGGAACAATAGGTAATGCCTGCTGGGTTTAATACCTAGGTAATGGGTTGACAGGTGTAGCAAACAACCATGGCACATGTTTACCTATGTAACAAACCTGCATATCCTGCACATTTATCCTAGAACTTAAAATAACAAAACAAAACTCAACAATAAGAAAATAAACAATCGAGTTAAAAAATGAACAAAAGATGGAACAGGCACGTCACCAAAGAAGATATACAGATGGCAAATAAGCATATGAAGAAATGCTTTGGCCAGGCACGGTGACTCATGCCTGTAATCCTAGTACTTTGGGAGGCCAAGGCGGGCGAATCACCTGAGGTCAGGAGTTCGAGACCAACCAGGCCAACATGTTGAAACCCCATCTCTACTAAAAATACAAAGTTAGCCAGGTGTGATGGTGGTCACCTATAATCCCAGCTATTCAGGAGGCTGAGGCAGGAGAACCACTTGAACCTGGGAGGTGGAAGTTGCAGTGAACCAAATTAAGCCATCATACTCCAGCTCAGGTGACAGCACAAGACTCCGTCTCAAAAAACAAAAAACCAGATAAGATGGTTCATATCAGTCATTAGAGAATTGCAAAGTAAAATAATGAGTTACTACAAACCTATTAGAATGGTGAAGATCTGGGCCAGTGCTGTGACTCCTGCCAGTAATCCCAACACTTTGGGAGGCTGAGGCGGGAGGAACACTTGAGGCCAGGAGTTCAAGATCAGGCTGGGAAGCATAGCAAAACCCCATCTTTGCAAAAACAAACAAAAAAGAAATAGAATGATGAGGATCCAAAACGTAAATGGTGGAGAGGATGTGGAGCAACAGGAGCTGTCATTCATCGCTGATGGAAATGCAAACAGCTATAGCTACTTAGGAAGACAGTTTGCAGTTTCTTAAAAACTAAACATGGCAGGGCGCGGTGGTTCACGCCTGTAATCCCAGCACTTTGGGAGGCTGAGGCGAGTGGATCACGAGGTCAAGAGACTGAGACCATCCTGGTCAACAAGGTGAAACACCATCTCTACTAAAAAAATACAAAAATTAGCTGGGCATGGTAGTCCCAGCGACTCTGGAGGCTGAGGCAGGAGAATTGCCCAAACCCAGGAGGCGGAGGTTGCGGTGAGCCGAGATCGTGCCATTGCACTCCAGCCTGGGTAACAAGAGTGAAACTCCATCTCAAAAAAAAAAAACTAAACATACTCTTACCTTAAATGCATATTGCTAAGTGAAAGAAGACAATCTGAAAAGACTACATATTATATGATTACAATTATATGACATTCTGGAAAAGACAAAACTTGGAAACAGTGACAAGTTCATCAGTTGCCAGGAGTTGAAAGGGAGTGATGAATAGGTAGAGCACAGGATTTTTTGTTTTTAACAACTGGTAATCCAGTTTATTAAAATAGCTGACTTAAGCATCTGCAATAATGAATTCCACCTTAACTCCTGGCTCAATACTGATGGAAGTAATCTGTTTAACAATATCAGGAGGACTGTGCAAGTCAATGAGTCACTGTGGATTCTCATCTGGAAACGATCCCATGTCTTAGAACCTTCACCACAAGGAGTTTTTCTTGTAGTGATTCTCAAAGTCTTGGTAGGCATTCGAACTGGTCCGTTCACTTTGAGGTTCTTTTCCTTTGCTCTTCTGATCAAATCAGCACACACCTCCGGAGATTTTACCTTACGGCTTGTTAGAGTGATTCGAATCCGGTGAATTGCCACCTCTAGCTCCACAGGTGTTTTTCCAGTATCCTTAAAAGCCATGGCTGCTGTGCAGCTTCCTAACTGACTTGTTCCTCTGCGAGAGCGAACAACAGTGAGTCAGGAGCAGGAGCATGTGGATCCACGATCCGCAACAACTACGAGACCACGTCTTCCTCCAAGCACAGGATTTTGCTTTTTTGTTTTGTTTTTTGTGTTTTTTTGTTTTGTTTTTAACATGGGAACCAGAGCACAGGATTTTTAAGGAAGCGAAACTACTCTGTATGCTATACATGGGTGACACGTCAGTATACATTTGTCATAATCCATCCATAGGATGTACACCACCAAGAATGAATCTTAATATAAACTATGGACTTTGGAGGATAATGATGTGTCCATATAGATTCCTCATTTATAACAGATGTACCATTCTAGTGTGAGATATTGATGGTGAGGGAGGCTGTGATTTTGTGGAAGGAAGGGATATTTGGCTATTCTGCTTTCTGCCCCATTTTGCTGTGAAACTAAAACTACACTAGACCAGGTGCAGTGGTTCATGCCTGTAATCCCAGCACTTTGGGAAGCCGAGGCAAGCGGATTACCTGAGGTCAGGAGTTCGACACCAACCTGGCCAACATGGAGAAACCCCATCTCTACTAAAAATACAAAAAAATTAGTTGAGTGTGGTGGTGCGCACCTGTAATCCCAGCTACTCAGGAGGCTGAGGTGGGAGAATCGCTCGAACCTGGGAGGCAGAGGTTGCAGTGAGCTGAGATTGTGCAACTACACTCTAGCCTAGGTGACAGAGACTCCTCCATCTCAAAAAGAAAGTATGCTTAAAAAAAAAAAGTCTATTTTTAGAAGGGAAAAGGCTTCAAGAAAATATTGCATTCAATAATAATTGAAATAATAGTAATTGACAACTTTTTATCATTTAATGTTTTAATAATTGACGTCTGAATTGTTATAAATGCAGTAGCTTCATTAAATAACAAAAACAATAATAATCACTTAGTGAATCACTGGAGTTAGGATTCCAACTGAGAATGTAATAAATGAATGAATTACAGTTAACACTTTTATGAAGTACTAATTTTAAGACAGTACTAACATTACTTTGTAAATACTTATTAAGGGGTGGGAAAACCCATTGTGGTGTTCTGAATGAGAGCAGTCTTGTTCCTTAATTACTCTTGACAAGATAATGAGATACTGTTAATAACCTTTGAGAAAGGTTTTCCTTACCCTGGGTCATTAAACTTCCTAATAAACAATTGTGTGTGTGTTTCTAGGGGGACCATTCATGTTTTTTATTAGATTTTCACATGGGCCTCAGTCCTGAAAAAGTTCCCACCCCACAACCCAAGACAGAGTCTTGTTGCGTGGCCCAGGCTGGAGTGCAGTGGTACAGCCTCTGCTCACGGCAACCTTCCCCTCCCAGGTTCAAGAGATTCTCCTGCCTCAGTCTCCCAAGAAACTGAGATTACAGGCACGCTTCACCACCCCTGGCTAATTTTTGCATTTTTAGAAGAGACAGGGTTTCATCATGTTGGCTAGGCTGGTCTCGAACTCCTTACCTCAAGTAATTCACCCACCTCGGCCTCCCAAAGTGCTGGGATTACAGGCATGAGTCACTGCACCCAGCCTCTGAAAAAGTTTAAGACTACTATTTTGGAATGAGGAGAGACTTTGGTAAAGTTTTATTTAGAAATGATGATGTTTTGTTGCCAGTCTTAGGAAAATATCTTTCTTGATTAGTTACATGATACAGATTTTTCAAAGATAATGTAAAGATAACTTTAAAATTTTTAATTGTGAAAATGTTGGCTTATGTTATGATTTTTTCACCTATAGGTTTGATTTATCCTGTAGGTAGAAAAATATATACCCATTACTGCCAGTGTTGGATCTGAAATCAAGAGTATGTTAGACTTATATATATAATCAGATAAAACTGCCTTGTCCCAAATTAGGGCCATTTCTAGTGGGTATGTTATATTCAACTTAAAAAGACAGAGAAGACAATTTCATAATATATACTTATTAAATACAATTATTTTAGCATTCTGTTCAAATACAAACTTATCAGTGACTCAGAATTGTAGAAAATTAACTTTTTACGTCTTGTGTTTTTTATTCAGGTAAATATACTAAGTAAAATAGTGAGTCGAGCAACACCTGGACTTCAAAAATTTTCTAAAACAGCCAGTATGCTCTGGCTTCTTCAACAGGAGATGGTCACATGGAGACTGCTGGCTTCTTTGTATAGGTAATGGTGTCTAATTCATAACTGAAATAAACATAAGGTAATAAACAGGCAAATTAATTTAAAAGTCAGGGCATGCTTAGAAATAGGTTTTGCTATTTTTGATGCTTATCATTTCTAATACCTTAGTTGTCAGTGAGTTATGAGGGAAGAGAAGATATCAGATCATAAAGCTGGTAGTTACCAAAATTGGATATGTGTAAAGATTTAAGGAAGGTACTAAAAATAGTGCAGTACTTAGGCTAAATTAAGAAAAGATCTGAAAGGTAGGCTTCATGTAATTTGGGAGTTTGAAAGAAATTAACCCCAGAAGGCAAAGATTATACCATGTACACATCCTCGAATCTAGGAATTTTATGCCTAGAAATTTAACCTAAGGAAATAATCAGAAATCTATACATATGAACAAAACTTTTAAATCTCAGAAAATTGAAAACTACTACTAAGGAATTGGTTAAATGAATTATAGTACGACTATTACAACCAGAATAACTTAAACCATTTTAAATTACCATTTGTGGGCTGGGCACAGTGGCTCATGCCTATAATCCTAGCACTTTGGGAGGCCAAGGGAGGTGGATCACTTGAGGTCAGGAGTTCACAACCAGCCTGGCCAACATAGTGGAACCCTATCTCTACTAAAAATACAAAAATTAGCCAGGCGTGGTGGTGGGTACTACCACCTAGTTACTCTGGAGGCTGAGGCAGGGGAATTGCTTGAACCTGGGAGGTGGAGGTTGCAGTGAGCCAGATCGTACTACTGCACTCCAGCCTGGGTGACAGAGTGAGACTCCATCTCAAAAATAATGATGATAATAATAATAATAATGATAATTGCTGGGGGCAGTGGCTCACGCCTATAATATCAGCACTTTGGGAGGCCGAGGCGTGTAGATCAACTGAGGTCAGGAGTTCAAGACCAGCCTTACCAACATGGAGAAAACCTTGTCTCTACTAAAAAAAATACAAAATTAGCTGGGCATGGTGGCACATGCCTGTAATCCCAGCTAATAAGGAGGCTGAGGCAGAATTGCTTGAACCTGTGAGGCGGAGGTTACAGTAAACCAAGATCGTGTTGTTGCACTCCAGCCTGGGCAACAAGAGTAAAACTCCGTCTCAAAATAATAATAATAAATGAATGAATAAATTACCATTTGTATATATTCATTGCCATGGAAAGATATTCATGATATATTGTTATATGAAAAAATGGATTTCATATTACTATATAAATGATGTCACCCTCCTTTTTTTTTTTCTTTTTTTAAAAAGAGTCTCACTCTGTTGCTCAGATTGGAGTACAGTAGCACAATTTTGGCTCACTGCGACCTCTGCTCCAAGGTTCAAGCAATTCTCTTGCCTCAGCCTCCTGAGTAGCTAGGATTACAGGTGTGGGCCACTATGCCCAGCTAATTTTTTAATTTTTATTCTTGTATTTTTATTTTTGAGATGGAGTCTCACTCTTTTGCCCAGGCTGGAATGCAGTGGTATGATCTTGGCTCACTGCAACCTCATCTCCCAGGTTCAAGACATTCTCCTGCCTCAGCTTTCCGAGTATCTAGGATTACAGGTGTGTGCCACCACGCCTGGCTAATTTTTGTACTTTTAATAAAGACAGGGTTTTGCCATGTTGGCCAGGCTCGAATTCTGGTCCCGAATTTCTGACCTGAGGCGATCCACCCACCTTGGCCTCCCAAAATGCTTGTATTACAGGCATGAATCACCATGCCTGGTCTAATTTTTGTATTTTTAGTAAATACTGAAAATACAAAAATTTTTAGACACTAAAAATACGGGGTTTCACAGTGTTGGGCAGGCTGGTCTTGAACTTCTGACCTCAGGTGATCCACCCACCTCAGCCTCCCAAAGTGCTGAGATTACAAGCATGAGCCACTGTGCTCGGCCTGATGTTTGTATTTTTAGTAGAGACGGGGTTTCACACTGTTGGCCATACTGGTCTCAAACTCCTGACCTCAAGTGATCTGCCTGCTTTGACCTCCCAAAGTGCTGGGATTACAGGCATGAGCCACTGTGCCCAGTCTGAGGTCCCACTTTTGTTTGCAAAAATACAGATATATATATTTGAAAAAATAAACAATAAAGATTTTTTTAAAAGAATTTAGCCAAATTTTCCTTCTCTCAATGCTCAGTGGTGAGTTCATATATTCATGTGAAATATAAGGCTTTTTTATTTTGTTTTTGTGTTATTTTTCCCCAGAGACAGAATACAGTCTGCATTAGAAGAGGAGAATGTATTTGCAGTTACTGTAAGTTTTATATTAATTTTTTCTTTATAAATATATAAAAGTTAAAATGTTACTTATTAGTGGGATTTTTTTTTTTTTTGGAGATGGAGTTTCATTCTTGTTGCCCAAGCTGGGAGTGCAGCAGTGTGATCTCAGCTTACTGCAACCTCCACCTTTGGGGCTCGAGATTCTCCTGCCTCAGCCTCCTCAGTAGCTGGGATTACAGGTGTGTGACACCACTCCCAGCTAATTTTTAGTAGAAATAGAGTTTGACCATGTTACCCAGGCTGGTCTCGAACTCCTGACCTCAGGTGATCTACCTTCCTCAGCCTCCCAAAGTGTTGGGATTATATAGGTGTGAGCCACCGCTCCCAACCAGGATTTTATTTTCAACCTTCCATCTTGAGTTTCTTTATTTTGAAAGTTTTACAAGTAAATAAAAGGTTCAATCTCATAAAATAATTAAATATTGATTTATATTGGAGAGTTAAAGGTAAAAGTTCCTTTTTATCCCACTGACTATTCAGTGTAACAGTTTTGGTATGTATCCTACCAGACATTTTTCTATGCATCTTTATAGATATGTACGTATACACAAACATACACACATGTATTTATATACACCTTTGTTTTTTAACATATAATGTGATTTTATTTGTACATTATACTGAGAATTTTAAAATTCTTTTTTCAATTCATTTAGGTTCTACCTTTTTTTATAGTATGTCAGAGTATACATGTACTGTAATTTCTTGAGATATTCAACTGTACATATTAGGTTGTAACTAGTATTTTTGCTGTAGCCATTAATAATGCAATAAATAGTTTGGTGTAGAGGCACATGCCTGTGGTCCCAGGTACTTGTCAGTCTGAGGCTGGAGGATCACTTGAGCCTAGAAATTCAAGGCTACAGTGAGCTATCATCACACCACTGCACTCTAGCCTGGGCAACACAGTGAGATCCCGTCTCAAAAAAAAAAAAAAAACAGTGAATGTTTTTCTTCATGCATATGTATGTGTGTGAGAGAAAGTGTAGACAAATGAACATCATTCTTTTGCCCTTAGGATTCAGTGCTCTCTCCTACAACCTCCAGGCCTGGGATCTGAAAGGACCTTGGGTGGTAAAACTGGACTTGGCTGGACGGAGGGTTTGGGAAAGAACCATACAAAGAGCCTCAGATGTTTTTAAATGCAGCAAATAATGTTTCTGGATGAGATTTGTTTCCAGAATAAACCAGCTATATTTGTTTCCAGAAAATATATACACATATATGCCTGTGAAACTACCAAGACCAGATGCCTTTTTGGGGTTTAACTACTTTATATTTTCTGTTTTCAAAAGTAATGCTTTTTTTTTTTCCTTAGAGGCAGGGTCTTGCTCTGTTGCCCAGGCTGGAGTATAGTAGCTCAATCTTGGCTCACTCCAACCTCCAGCTCCTGGGTTCAAGAGGTTCGTGTGCCTTAGCCTCCCTAGTAGCTGTCATTACAGGCTTGCACCACCACACCTGGCTAATTTTTGTACTTTTAGTAGAAACAGGGTTTGACCATGTTGTCCAGCCTGGTCTTGAACTCCTGGCGTCAAGAAATCCACCCGCCTTGGCCTCCCAAAGTTCTGGGATTACAGGCGTGAGCCACCATGTCCAGCCTAAAAGTAATTCATATTTGAAGCAAGTATATATAATTTAAAAGGGAGATAATATATATTTGTAATAAATTTATGTGTATCTGTTAGACTGCTTTTTTTTCTTTTCTTTCTTTTTCTTTTTCTTTTTGGACAGGGGGCCAGGGTGGTAGGACATGGTCTCACTTTGTCTCCCAGACGGGAGTGCAATGGCATGATCATAGTTCACTGTAGCCTCAAACTCTTGGGCTCAAATGAGCCTCCTGCCTTAGCCTCCCAAGTAGCTAGGACTACAGGTGGGCATCACCATGCCTGACTAATTTTTTTTTTATATTTTATGGAGATGGGGGTCTTACTATGTTGCCCAGGATGGTCTAAACTCCAAGGCTACTTTTTCACTTAAAATATTTTTTAATATCCTTCCAGTCTTTTAATTTGTTTATTTTATAAATACTTCATTCCAACAAAGAAACATGAACATTTAGGAAGACTATCATATTTGGCTATTGATTGAGCTCGCATAGTAGTTTTAATGGCTTTCCTCTGCTGGGCGTGGTAGCTCACACCTGTAATCCCTACACTTTGAGAGGCCGAGAAGGGTAGATGACTTGAGGTCTGGAGTTCGAGACCAGCCTGGCCAATATGATGAAACCCCATCTCTACTAAAAATACAAAAAATTAGCTGGGCATGGTGGTGTGCCCCAGCTACTCAGGAGGCTGAGGCAGGAGAATCGCTTGAATCCGGGAGATGGAGGTTGCAGAGAGCCAAGATCATGCCACTGCACTCCAACCTGGGCAACAAGAGCAAAACTTTGTCTCAAAAAAAAAAACAGCGTTTTTTCACTAGTTTTCTGCACAATTCTGTTATCTACAAATAGTGATGACTTTGACTATTTTTCCATACTTAATTTTCCTGGTTTTATTATGTTAGCTAGAATTTCCAAAGTAAAGTTGAATAATAATGAACTCTTACTCTACATCTTCTGGATTTTAAAGGGAGTATTTTACTTTATAGTTAAGTATAGTCAGGCCTCCTCATATGTGGGTTCCACATCCATGAATTTAACCAACCGCAGATCAAAAATATTCTTTTTAAATAAGAGGCTAGGCACAGTGGCTCACACCTGCAATTCCAGCACTTTGGGAGGCTGAGGCAGGTGGATCACGAGGTCAGGAGTTTGATACTAGCCTGACCAGCATGGTAAAACCCCGTCTTTACTTAAAAAAACACAAAAAAAATTAGCCAGGCATGGTGGTACACACCTGGAATCCCAGCTACTCGGGAGGCTGAGGCAGGAGAATCGCTTGAACCCAGGAGGTGGAGGTTGCAGTGAGCCGAGATCGCGCCATTGCACTCCAGCCTGGGCAACAGAGCAAGACTCTGTCTCAAAAAAAAAAAAAAAAAAAAAAAATGACCGAGAAGCTGCTTCTCTGCTCCTCGAATCTCCATCTGGTTCAGCCCGCCTGCCTTCACTCCTGCCTCGACCATGTCCATCAGGGTGACCCAGAAGTCCTTCAAGCTGTCCACCTCTAGCTCCCAGGCTTTCAGCAGCCACTCCTACACGAGTGGACCTGGTGCCCACATCAGCTCCTTGAGCTTCTCCCGAGTGGACAGCAGCAGCTTCTGGAGTGGCCTGGGCAGAGGCTATGGTGGGGCCAGTGGTGTGGGAGGCATCACCACTGTCACAGTCAACCAGAGCCTGCTGAGCCCCTTAACCTGGAGGTGGACCTCAACATCCAGGCTGTGTGCACCCAGGAGAAGGAGCAGATCAAGACCCTCAATAAGAAGTTTGCCTCCTTCATCGACAAGGTAGAATTCCTGGAGCAGCTGAACAAGATCCTGGAGACCAAGTGGAGGATCCTGCAGCAGCAGAAGTTGGCTCAGAGAAACATGGACAACGTGTTCAAGAGCTACATCACCAACCTTAGGCAGCAACTGGAGACACTGGGCCAGGAGAAGCTGAAGCTGGAGGCAGAGCATGCTAACATGCAAGGGCTGGAGGAGAACTTCAAGACAAAATATGAGGATAAGATCAATAAGTGTACAGAAATGGTGAATGTTGGCTGGTCGCGGTGGCTCACGCCTATAATCCCAGCACTTTGGGAGGCCAGGGTGGGTGGATCATGAGGTCAATAGATCAAGACCATCCTGGCCAACATGGTGAAACCCCATCTCTACTAAAAAAAAAAGTCCTCATCAGAGTTTACATGAACAAAGTAGAGCTGGAGTCTCTCCTGGAAGGGCTGACTGACGAGATCAACTTCATCAGGCAGCTGTATGAAAAGGAGATCTCGGAGCTGCATTCCCAGATCTTGGACACATCTGTGGTGCTGTCCATGGACAACAATCACTCCCTAAACATGGACAGCATCATCGCCAAGGTCGAGGCGCAGTCTGAGATTGCCAACAGCAGCTGGGCTGAGGCTGAGAATATCATGTACCAGATAAGTATGAGGAGCTGCAGACGCTGGCTGGGAAGCACGGGGATGACCTTCAGCACACAAAGACTAAGATCATTGAGATCTCCGAGATGAACGGGAACATCAGCTGGCTCCAGGCTGAGACTGAAGGCCTCAAAGGCCAGAGGGCTTTCCTGAAGGCTGCCATCACAGATGCCGAGCACCACAGGGAACCGGCTGTTAAGGATGCCAACACCAAGCTGTCCAAGCTGGAGGCCGCCCTGCAACAGGCCAAGCAGGACATGGCCCGGCAGCTACATGAGTACCAGGAGCTGATGAATGTCAAACTGGTCCTGGATATCTCAGTCACCATTTATAGGAAGCTGCTGGAGGACAAGGAGAGCCGGCTGGAGTCTGGGTGCAGAACATGAGTATCCATACGAAGACCACCAGTGGCTATGCAGGTAGACTGAGCTTGGCCTTTGGGGACCTCACAAGCCCTGGCCTCAGCTATGGCTTGGGCTCCAGCTTTGGCTCTGGCATGGGCTCCAGCTCCTTCAGCAAGGATTGTAGTTATGAAAATCAAGAACTTCGATGGGAAGCTGGTGTCTGAGTCCTCTGACATCCTGCACAAGTCAACAGCCATGGTAGTCCCTCCTAGCCTACCTCTCTGGCTGCCCAAGAGAGACCGCTGTGCAGAGGAGCACAGGGAACAGGAGACCCACCTGAGGCTCAGCCCTAACCCTTGGCCCATCCGTTGGGGAAGTTTACTACTGCCTGGTGTACCCACCTTGCCTGTGCCTCCATCTATAAAACAATTCAATTGTTTTGTTCTTGTTTTCAAAATAAAACCTCAGTTAGCTCTGCCAACTGTCAAAAAAAAAAAGAATGGTCCAGGTGTGAGGCTCATGCTTGTAATCCCAGCAGTTTGGGAGGCCAAGGCAGAAGCTTCAGTTTAGCCCAGAGTTCAAGACCGACCTGGGCAAGATAGCAAGACTCTGCGCAAAGTGACAAACTTAGCCTGGTCTGGTGGTGCATGCCTATAGTCCTAGCTACATGGAAGGCTGAGGTGGGAGGATCGCTTGTGCCCAGGAGGTCAAGAATGCGGTAAGCTGTAATTGTGCCACTGTACTCCAGCCTAGGTGACAGAGTGAGATCCTGTCTCAAAAAAAGGATCATTGGGTTTATACTGAACATGTACAGATGCTTTTAAATCTTTATTCCCTGAGTGATACAATATAAAAACTATTTACATATGTGGCATTTTCATTGCATTAGATACTATGCATAATCTAGAGATGATTTCGTTGTTCATTATTTATCACAGTCAGGTCCAATAGAGATGATTTAAAATATACTACAGAATTTTGGCTGGATGAGGTGGCTCATGCCTGCAATCCCACCACTTTGAGAGGCTAAGGCAAGCGGATTACTTGATGCCAGAGTTTGAGATCAGCCTGGCCAACATGGTGAAACCTCATCTCTACTAAAAATACAAAAATTACCCAGGTGTGGCGGCAGGCACCTGTAATCTCAGCTTCTTGGGAGGCTAGGCTGAGGCATGAGAATCACTTGAGCCCAGGAGGCAGAGGTTGCAATGAACTGAGATCAGGCCCACTGCACTCCAGCCTGGGTGACAGAGTAAGACTCTATCTCAAAAAATAAATGAATTTAATAAAATACACTACAACATTTTATATAAGGGAATTGAACATCCACAGATTTGGTATCCATGAGAAGTCCTGGAACAAATCCCCCATGAATACCAAGGGAAGACTACATGTTTGCTAGAGGTTTCAGTTAGTCTACTTCTAATTTATGAAGATTATACTTTTTTCTACATCAAAATGACAAGGTAAAATTTACGAAGATATTTTTATGAAATATTTTGGCACCTGTCAAGAAGTCCATGTAGCTTTTCTCCTTTTAACCATGGATAAAATGGATTAATTGATTGATTTGACCAGTTCTTGAACTGGTCACAATATATTATTCTTTTAATATACTGCTTAGTATTAGTTGCTAATATTTATGTTAAACTGTCTTTAAAAGTCAGCCTTAAAAACCTTGGATTGCTGTTAGCTTTTATTGCTTATCAACTTCTGCTATGTAGAATATAAAGGATTTTAAAGTTTTTAAATGTTTAGTTTCTAACATGTAACATAGCTGCATTCAGCTTTTTTTTTTTTTTTTTTTTGGGGGGATGGAGTCTCGCTGTGTTGCTCAGGCTGGAGTGCAGTGGCGTGATCTCAGCTCACTGCAACCTCTGCCTCCTGGGTTCAAGTGATTCACGAACCTCAGCCTCCCGAGTGCCTGGTATTACAGGTGCACACCACCCAACTAATTTTAATATTTTTAGTAGAGATAGGGATTCACCATTTTGGCCAGGCTGGTCTTGAACACCTGACCTCAAGTGATCTGCCCACCTCGGCCTCTCAAAGTGCTGGGATTACAGGCATGAGTGACCACGCCTAGCCCATTAAAGTTTTTTGTTTGTTTTGTTTTATGTTTATTTTTCTCTAAAACATCATCTCTGGGAAAATGGAATTTTAAAATTCCAAGTGTAAAGAATCAAAATATTAGGTAAGGGCCGGGCACAGTGGCTCACACCTGTAATCCCAGCACTTTGGGAGGTTAAGGTGGGTGGATCACGAGGTCAGGAGTTCAAGACCAGACTGGCCAACATGGTGAAATCCCATCTCTACTAAAAAATACAAAAATTAGCTGGTCATGGTGGCTCGTGCCTGTAATCCCAGCTACTTGGGAGGCTGAGGTAGGAGAATTGCTTGAACCGGGACCTGGGAGGTGGAGGTTGCAGTAAGCTGAGCTCGCACCACTGTACTCTAGCCTGGGCTACAGAGGCTCCATCTCCAAAAAAAAAGAAAAAAATAGGTAAGAGCAGCTGCAAATGGATGTAGCCGTTTGGAATTTATACAATGTATACTTTTCAATGATGATATACAGATTTATTATGTGGTAAAATGTTTGTTTATAGGTGATTAACTGTACTTGTTTCTTACTGGTTTTTATCTTTCTGTTGAAATAATATTTCTTACAACATCTTATTTCTTTTTATTCTTTCAATATTTGTTGTAATAGACTCTTAATGCCAGTGAAAAAACAGTTGTGGAAGCATTATTTCAGAGAGATTCACTTGTTCGACAAAGTCAGGTATGACTAGAATTTTAAAATATTTTTTTATGAAATATGGAGACAAAGTTAATGACATCAAAGTACTGAAGTTTTTTTTAACTTAAAACTTTTTTCTGAATTTTTTTGTACTTGATCTTTTTATTTGTAATTGAAAGGAATTAGAAACCTTATTCTTATTCTTTGATTTTTAAGTAATAGCCCTAGTATTTTCAGGACTAGCTTGTTAAAAACTATTCTTTCTATAGAAAATTTTATTCTTTTGCTATAATATTTATCTTAAAAAAAGTAAAAATAATGTTTGGAAAAATTGTTACTTGATATTTTTGAAATCAGAAACTATTTGAATTAAGGGTAGTAGTGCCACTACAAATAAAACACGGATAGATTTTGTAGTTAACACTAATCTGTTTCTTCCGTTCTTTCTTAGCTGGTGGTAGATTGGTTAGAGAGTATTGCCAAAGATGAAATTGGAGAATTTTCTGATAATATTGAGTTTTATGCAAAATCAGTGTATTGGTAAGTTACCGAGCTTTTATTCTTGAGGTCACTTAATGTTGATATTGTTCATTCATCTTTCATTATTCAGTTTTTACTTTGTTCAGTGTGTGAGCAAAACAAAAGCCTCTCCTTTATGGAATTTCTCATTGTTTAAGAGAGTTAGATAGCTAATTTGCAAATATACAGTTGGCCCTCTGTATTTGTTGGTTTCACATCCATGGATTGAAATCAGAAAGCTCTCCTAAGTTAAAGGAACGTTTTCTTTCAAGACTTGCAAAAGATTTTTAGAAGGTCAGATTGTGGCCGGGTGCAGTGTCTCACACCTGTAATCCCAGCACTTTGGGAAGCGGAGATGGGTGGATCACCTGAGGTCAGGAGTTCAAGACCAGTCTGGTCAACATGGTGAAACCCTGTCTCTACTAAAAATACAAAAATTAGCCAGGCGTGGTGGCACGTGCCTATAATCCCAGCTATTTGGGAGGCTGAGACAGGAGAATTGCTTGAACCCAGTGGTTGGAGGTTGCAGTGAGCCAAGGTGACACCATTACACTCCAGCCCGGGCAAAAAGAGCAAAACTCCATCTCACAAAAAAAAAAAAAGGTCTGATTGTCTTTGAATTCAGTAACGTGTTAAAAAGTCTGTAAGTTAATTATATATTTTCTCTGCTTAGCTAGGAAATCACTGCTATTCAGCATTTTAAAAAAATTAAATCTTTTAAGATTATGATTTTTTTTTCTGAAAGGACGTTTTCTTTTCAGGAAATAAGTTTTTTTTGCTTTGTTTTGTTTTAATTAAAATGCCTGGTTAGGTTTTTACAGTTTTTAATAAGTTAATCTTTTTTTGCTGATTAGTAGAACAGAACAGAGAACCCCAAAATAGATTCACACTGATAGGGTCATTTGATTTTCAACAAAGACATCAAAGCAATCCCGCAGGGAATGGAATGCCTTTTTTACAAACTGTAGAAAAATGATATCTGTGAGAAAAAAGATTAACCTTGACAGCTCCCTCACTCCACACCCAACAATTAATTCAAGATGTGTCATAGTCCTAAATGTAGAAGCTAAAAACCATAAAGCTTTTCAAGGAAAACATAGGAAGATATCCTAGTAACGTGAGAATAGATAGATGTTTCTTAGCTCACAGAAAGCAACAGGAAAAAAAATTGTTTTGACTTTATCAAAATTAAAGATGTATCATTAAAAAAAAATACCATTGGCCAGGTGTGGTGGTTCACACCCATAATCCCAGCACTCTGGGAGGCTGAGGCTGGAGGCTTGCTTGAGGCCAGGAGTTTGAGACCATCCAGGGAAATATAGTGGGAACCCATCTCTACAAAAAATTAAAATGTTAGCTGGGCATAGTGGTGTGTGTCTGTAGTCCCAGCTACTCAGGGGGCTGAAGTGGGAGGATCGCTTGAGCCTGGGAGATCGAGGCTGCAGTGAACCGTGATTGTACCACTGCACTCCAGCCTTGGGCAACAGAGCAAGACCCTGTCTCTGAAAATGAATGACGGCAATGCACAGACTGGGATGTGTAGTTCATAAAGAACTATAACTCAATAGTTAAAAAGATAATCCTAGTAAAAAGAGCAAAAATTTGAACTGATACCTCACAAAAGCAGATAGATAAATGGCCATGAAAAAGCCCTCAACATCATTAGTCATCTGAGCTAAAACGAACTTCTGTATTAAGGATTTTTGCATGTTCTCTCTGAGTTTGTAGTCTCTCTTTCTTCCTTTGACTTGATTTTATTTTTTAAAAAATAGACCTATTACCCTTTTTAAAAAAGTAGGTACTTTTTTTTTTTTTTCAGGGAGAATACTCTGCATACCTTAAAACAACGGCAGCTGGCTTCTTACGTTGGAAGTGTTCGTCCGCTTGTCACTGAATTGGTAAAATTCTTTGAAATGAAAGTTGCCTTCAAAATTAACTGACTTTTTCTTTCAGACTGAGAATTTTTTCTCTTAGATCTTTGTTTTGCTCTCCTGAAGGTTTGCACTCACTAACATTTTACTCTAAAACAACTAAGTTGCATTGGAATCTGATGGAATATGTTGAAACATATTCATGTCCTTTGAATTGTAAATACTAAGGTGTGCAAAGTGTACCTAACTTGCCAGCATTAAAAAGAAATTAATTTTGGTCTTATCCTAAGATTTGACTCTGCCTATATAAGATAGTGACTTACGAAAGTTCTTTTACGCTGAAAGCAAGTGAAAAACAACTAAAGTCTTGTGAATTAGTTTGAGGTTAGAACGGTTATTCTAGGATATGAGTAGTAGGAATAATAGTGGATTTGAAAAGAACTGAAGCTTAATTATTCTAGAAACAAAGGAATGAAGATTTATGACAGGTAGGGCTTGTGAAAGGTTTATAGTGAAAAGTGAGAGAAATAAGTAACAATCGAAAAAACTTCTAGAAGTATGTTTGGAAACAGTGTTTTTGGTGAAAATTGAGAAAAAGAAAATTGTTTGATTGTTTGGAAACTACTCAAACAGCTTAAAACTGATTGTGGCTAAATTACATTGTAGCAGGCAACAGCCGAAAATCATTTACTCTTACCAGCTGGAAAGTGGTGATTTCCTTTTGCTAGAAAGAGACAGTGTTCCAAAAATTGAATGATATGTCTGCAAAATATTTATGAAAATAGCCAATTGATCTGTTATATATTTCCTGAATTAACATTCATATTACCACACACTAAGTAACATGTAGAGTAAGAATTACTTCCTTTCTGAGTCACATTAAAATTGTTTACCATTTGAAATCCATCATGTAGATCATGTGTGCTATTTGCTGGTAAAGTGAGAACAATATATTATCCTAAATGCTTAGAAGCACATGAAAAGGTAGGTAGAAATAACTGTTTTGGGGAATTTGTACTTACTTATTAGAACTCTGTTTATAATGTTTTTATTAGGCATTGGTGTGTTTTACGTGGTATTAATCCCAAAATAGGTCTTAATAGGCTCTCTTCCCATATGTTTTCAAAAAGTACCAGCTAAACACTTTGTAGCCACAGAGCAGCTTTCTTGGGTTTTTGCTTCATGTTTATCTTCCATCTGGGTCTGATTCTGTTTAGACTTGACCATGTAGCTGCTATGACAGAGTGAAACTCAAGTCATCTTCTAGTGTTACCTAGGCTGGGGTAGGCTAGTAGTATTTCTGCCTTACCTGACCAAGGCATGCCCAGGACCAAGTATGTTTTAAGTGGGGAAGCAGACAACTGTGTGGCTATTTGGAACACTTGTAATCTTCTGACAATTTTATTCCCTTTGTTACTTAAGTAAATTGAAACTGAATTTATTTCAACCAGGCACAGTGGCTCATGCCTGTAATCTCAGCACTTTGGGTGGCCAAGGCAGGTGGATCATGAGGCCAGGAGTTCGAGACCAACCTGGCCAACATGGTGAAACCCTGTCTCTACTAAAAATATAAAAATTAGCCAGGTATGGTGGTATGTGACTGTAATCCCAGCTACTCGGAAGGCTGAGGCAGGACGATTGCTTGAATCCAGGAGGTGAAGGTTGCAGTGTGCTGAGATGGCACCACTGCACTCCAGCCTGGGCAACAGAGCAAGACTCCATCTTGAAAAAAAAAAGAAAAAGGAAAATTAATTGATTTGTATATAAACTCAGGATAGGTTTATCATTTCTTGATGGTATGTAAGTAGAAAAAATTTATGCTTGATGATGACTTTTTTTTCCTTCTTACAGGACCCTGATGCTCCCATAAGACAGAAAATGCCACTTGATGATTTGGATAGAGAAGATGAAGTCAGATTACTCAAATATCTCTTCACTCTAATCCGTGCTGGAATGACAGAAGAGGTTAGTCACGTATATCCTTCTTGTCTAATTTCAAAAAGTCATAGACTCTGAGCTGGAAGAGATTTTTGTGGCTGCCTAGTGTGCTTTCTTAATGCAGCAATTCCATTCATGGTATTTCTAGATCTAACTTCCTGTTTGAACATTTCCAGTGATAAGGCACATGTAACTTGAGAAAACAATGTAATCTTGTTTGTACAACTCTAATTAATAGAAAATTATTTATAATAAGTCACACTTTTCTCCCCCATATTGCACTGCATATTCTAGGTATATCCCCATTATTTTTTGTTGTTGTTGTTCCATTTGGGTTTTGGTTTTTGTTTTTGAAACGGGGTCTTGCCATGTTGCCCAGCCTCAACTCTTAATTTCTGGCCTTAAATGATCCTCCCGCCTCACCCTCATAAAATGCTGGGATTACAGGCGTGAGACACTGCGCCTGGCCCAATCCCCATTAATTTTTTTTCTTTTTCTTTTTTTTTTTGAGATGGAATCTCACTGTTGCCAGTGTTCTCCTCATGAACACCTGGGCTCAAGTGATCCTCCTGTGTTGGCCTCCCAAAGTGCTGGGACTGCAGGCATGAGCCACTGTACCTGACCCAATCTTTATTATTTCTAATTCTGATTTTTTCCAAGTTTTGAATAAACCTAACCCTAATTCTAGGTAATACTATTTAGGCACTTGAAGGCTACAATAGCACTCAAACTTCTTCCTTTTAACCTTACCTTTTAAAAATGTGTGTGATAGTTAAGATCTTATACGTAGAATGATAAGTGTCTAATTGGACAGTTTACCAGATGGCTCTTTAGGTGAGATAGTGTGATGTGTAGGAGTTTCGGACTTCAGTATTATATTGTATCTGGTTTACAGTATTTTTTGCAATTGTCTTCAGATAGATCCTATGTTAGTTCAAAGTGTTGTTTGTTCTCTCCTATGTTATCAACCATCAGCATATATTAAGTAATTGCTTACAGTAATGTCTTGGTTTATTAAGCATCATTCTCATTCTTATTTTTTTATTAAGAAAAGAAGTTGGCCAGGCACAGTGACTCATGCCTATAATCTCAGTATTTTGGGAGGCCAAGGCAGGAGGATCACTTGATGCCAGGAGTTTGAGACCAGCCTGGGCATCATAGTAAGACTCTGTCTCTATTATTGAAAAATTAAAAAAAAAAAAGTAGTTGATACTATTTATTTGTTTATTCAGAAAATATTTAAGTCCCAGCCACTCTGCCAGGTAATGTGCAAGATACTAGAAATTGTCATGGTAATGAGGGATTTATTTACTTATTTAATTTTTTGTTGTAGAGACGGAGTCTTGCTCTGTTGCCCAGGCTGGAATACAGTGGTGTGATCTTGGCTCACTGCAACCTCTACCTTCTGGGTTCAAGCAATTCTCCTGCCTCAGCCTCCCAAGTAGCTTAGAGTACAGGTGCATACTGCTGTGCCTGGCTAATTTTTTGTATTTTAGTAAAGATGGGGTCTCACCATGTTGTCCAGGCTGGTTCTTGAGCTCAGGCAATCTGCCTGCCTCAGCCTCCCAAAGTGCTAGGATTACAGGCATGAGCCACTGTGCCTGGCTGTGGGATTTATTTTAAAAAACAAAAATACAGGCCGGGCGTGGTGGCTCAAGCCTGTAATCCCAGCACTTTGGGAGGCCGAGGCGGGTGGATCACAAGATCAAGAGATCGAGACCATCCTGGTCAACATGGTGAAACCCCGTCTCTACTAAAAATACAAAAAATTAGCTGGGCATGGTGGCGCGTGCCTGTAATCCCAGCTACTCAGGAGGCTGAGGCAGGAGAATTGCTTGAAGCCAGGAGGCGGAGGTTGCGGTGAGCCGAGATCGCACCATTGCACTCCAGCCTGGGTAACAAGAGCGAAACTCCACCTCAAAAAAAAAAAAAAAAAAAAAATACAATTATACTATTGAAGGGTCAAAAAATAGAAATTTTCAAGGTCTCACTAGCTTTATATAACCACAGATAGTGAGCTTTTTGTATTTACTTATAGTTCTTTTTCTTTTTTAAGATAGTTGCAGTCATAGTGTACATTCAAGTTTTTTCCCTCTTTAATAGTAATTTGAGATAAAATTTACATACCATATAATTCACCCATTTTAAGTGACACCATTCAGTGGTTTTGGCATATTACATTATTCATTTTGTGAATTGTATAATATATTTTGAATCAAATAACAAAATTTGCCATTGTAATCATTTAAGTGTATAATTATATAATGAATTGTATAATAAAATTTGCCATTGTAATCATTTAAGTGTACAGTTCAGTGGCCTTAATTACATTAACAGTATTGGGAAACCATCACCACTGTTTCTAAAACTTTTTCATCAACCCAAATATAAACTGTAACCCAAATATAAAATGCATAGGTGGAATCATAAAATGGGCTTTTGTGTCTATCTTATTTCACTTAGCATAATGTTTTCAAGATTCTATATTGAGTTTTTATCCTGCCTTTTTAAGATACCATATCAAAACATTTTTCCATGTTAATTCTTACATAGCACTCATAGTTTTTAAAGGTTGTAAGTTTAGAACAATGTTAGGGGTATGATATTCTTTAACTAGTTGTATTAATCAGGATTTCTCTGTTCAAGTGACAGAAACCCAACCTAAGTTACTTTATGCTTACAAGAGAATTGTTTGGCTCATGGAAGTGGGAAGTATAGAAGGTATATCTAGCTTTCAGCAGGATCCAGGGACTCCAGAGATGCCCCAGGATGCTGTCTGTTTCCAAGACCCATAGCTCTACCTGCCCCTCTGTGCTTTCATTCCTAGAAAGCTACTCCCTTTGTCATATTAGAGATGAATACGAGAAGGTCCAAGCTTACATCCTCCTGCCAACTAACAATCTCAGCAAAAGGAGTATATTTTCTTTACCAGTTTCTCCAGCAAGAGTCCTGTAGTGAATCTTGTTAACTCACATGCCTAACCTTAGAATTCTGGAATGGGATCAGGCCTATCCAAAACACAGGCGCTAAGAATGGGGAAATGGTGATTCCCTAAAGGGATGATGGAACAACAAGCATGTATTTACCTTACTGGTATATAAGCACATTGACTTACTGGTCAAGTTGAACATGCAATATCATCAGTGGACTCAATGAGCCTGGTCGTCACAGAGACTGTTTTTGTAATAGTTTTTCATAAATCAGGGGTCATCAACCTCTTTAACCCCATTTGTTTCCAGCAGGATTAAATGCCAGTGGGTGCCGTGGAACCTATTGTTAAGCCTAAAGTCAAACAGAAAGGGGATTTTTTAGAAAGAAAAACAGGGCCAGGTATGGTTGCTCACACCTGTAATCCCAATACTTTGGAAGGCTGAGGCAGGAGGATCCCTTCAGTCCAGAAGTTCAACACTGGCTAACATGATGAGACTCTGTCTCTACAAAAAATTTTTAAAATAATTAAAGAGAGAAAAATAAAGGTAGAGACCACAGAAAGACATGCATATGTTTTAAAATAGAATGCTATTATTATTATTATTTGAGGCAGGGTTTCACTCTGTCACCCAGGCTGAAATGCAGTGGCCTGATCTCATGGCTTACTGCAAGCTCCACCTCCAGGGTTCAAGCAGTGCTCCTGCCTCAGCCTCCCAAGTAGCTGGGATTATACGTGTCTGCCACTGCACCTGGCTAATTTTTGTATTTTTAGTAGAGACAGGGTTTCACCATGTTGGCCAAGCAGGTATTGAACTCCTGACCTCAGGTGATATGCCCACCTTGGCCTCCCAAAGTACTGGGATTACAGGCATGAGTCACCACACCCGGTCAGAATGCCATTATTAACTGCCTACATCCATCTCTTGTAACATTTGTTCTATAAGTTATCTAAGCTTGTCATATATTGGTTATACTTTACTATAAAGCACAAGTACATTTTCACTGCCACCCTGGTTATTGGACTGACTGCTCTTTCTTGTTTCCTAAGGCACAACGACTCTGTAAACGCTGTGGTCAAGCATGGAGAGCTGCAACACTTGAAGGCTGGAAACTGTATCATGACCCTAATGTTAATGGAGGTATTTTAGTAGATTTTATTCTGACAGTGGGGACAAAGGCATTTTGCTCTAAATGCCAATCTTTATGAACTATAGCTTCTCATTTTAGAAAGGATTGTAATGAGGTCTCATTTTAAACTATATTTTCTTTCTTTTACTGTTTTATAGGAGCAGAATTAGAACCTGTTGAAGGGAATCCATATAGACGCATTTGGAAAATAAGTTGTTGGAGAATGGCAGAAGATGTAAGATAAATAAAATATTCAGTGATACTGCTTTCAACTCCAGGTTAATTAATTGAAAGCGTATTCAGGAACTGCAAAACATTGAGTAGTGTAAAACTGGTTTTCAAAAACTTCCAGTGAAATTGAAGAATAGGCTTAACACTTAATTTTTAGTACTTAGTGTTTTATCAGAATTATTAAAACACTAAGTACTAAAAATTAAACACTGATATAAGGCAGAAATGTAAAGGAGGTACCAAATGAGTTTAGAGAAAAAGTACTGGGCTAAAGCTTAAAGATCGCTTCTCTGCCGAAAGAATTGAATTGAACTTTTAAAACTTACTAGGATTTGGGTTGTTGGGAATGAAAACAAGAGGAAGGAATTCTAGGTAGGATGTATAGATTGGGAAATTCAAAGTGAGGTAGATCTGCCAGCTTGTCGTAGAACACTCATAAAGGAAATACAGTCAGTTCTGTTGTAACATGACATAGGTATTCCTAAAAGTTGCCACAATGTGCTACATTGTGCAGAAACCCCACAGGGCTTATAGGAAAATGGAGTTAAGAGAAAAATACTCAAAAACTTCATTAGGGTTATGTAAAACAATAAAAAGTTAATAAAAATGGTAGCACGGTTTTACATCTGTCAAATAGTTTAAAATATATATATACTGATAAACAGTTTAAAAAATAACATAAATACACCAGGTGCGGTGGCTCATGCCTGTAATCCCAGCACTTTGGGAGTCCGAGGCAGGCAGATCACAAGGTCAAGAGTTCGAAACCATCCTGGCCAACATGGTGAAACCCCATCTCTTCTAAAAAATACAAAAAATTAGCTGGGTGTGGTGGCACATGCCTGTAGTCCCGGCTACTTGGGAGGCTGAGGCAGTAGAATTGCTTGAACCTGGAAGGGGGAGGTTGCAGTGAGCCGAGATCACACCACTGCACTCCAGCCGGGTGCCTGATGACAGAGCAAGACTGTCAAAAAAAAAAAAAAAAAGCCATAAATACTACAATAAACATGGCACTTTACTGTTGGGAAACACTGCAGAGGAGAAAGGACTTACAGATGTGCCTACATAAATTGGTTATGAGTAACATATAAACAAGGAACAACAAACTGCAGAAGGCTGCAGGAGGCCTCTGAGGAGGAAGGCCTCTTCATGCCTCATGTTCTGGTGCAGGGTGACCTGGGCTCTGTTACCATAATCATTGTGCTCAAGGATGTAAAACCCCTTCGTAGCACTATAACATAGCCAGACTTGTAGACTCCTTGTAAGGAATTCTCTTAGCTGTACATAGATAATCAGCTAAAGATAACCACATGTTCTTGTTTTGTGAAACTCCCAAACCGCAACTGTTATCAGTCCTTAGGATGATACACCAGTTCTGGCTCACTAATTCACTTCCAGCTCACTGATTCATCCCACCATCACTCCACCCCTACTCTATAAATCAAAGTCATTGTAATCAATAAATAGTGTGGATGATCAGAGCTCGGGACCTTCACTGTCACCTCCAGAGTAATGAAGTGATGGCCCCCTGGTCCCACTTTTTCTCTTAATCTCTCTTTTTCTCATTTTTTTTTGGTCATCATCGAACTCAGGGTACCCACAAGTGATGTAGGGCTGGCTCCCTACAGTCTGGTTCCCAATGTGGGGTTCATGGATCCCAGCATTCTGGCACCAAAGTGTGGGGCTCGTGGATTCCCTACACTTTACCTTGAAAAAGACCTAAAGCATCTTGTAGAATTGGATGTTAAAGTGGCAGAAGCTTTAGGGTACCTGACAGAAGTGTTTTAAGAAGATCAGCATGCAGTGGAAAAAAAGACTTAAAATTAGTTAGACAAAAGTCTAAGAAAGTAATTAGGAGCCTGTCAGAGTTATTTGGACACTAAGTCATAAGGGTCTGTCATAGGACAGTATTGTTGGGAATGGAAAGGAAGGGAGAGACGTTAGTCAGGAGCAGTGACTAGAAACAAGGCAGAGGTGGGCTCAGTTATGCAATAAGAGTCTCTGAAGTTTCTTGTTTGGATGGCAAGAAAACTGGAAATACCATTAATAGAATCCCAAAAGTAAAATGGGGGGAATTAGTTAGCTCTACATAGGAATTAGATGCAAACAGATGCATGCATTGTTTTGATGTTATACATAGGTCAGTATCGGAGAGTATCAGGTATTTTAAAATATTCCAGGAGAAAAGACCTATGTAGGTTCTATACGGAATAAAATTTGATTAAAATATTCAAAGCATCCATTAGAGTTGGATCTGCTTTCACCCAATATTTGACATTTAACTGTTTTACTTTTTTCTCTAGATTTCAGCATTGATTATTTCATCAAACTGGAGTTCATCCTTCTTATTAACCCACTAGATCTTTCACTAAAGTTTAAAAACTATCAAGTAAATAGGTTCAGTCTAGAAGAGATTACGTAACTCCAGATTATGAGGAAAATTGACATACTAAGAAAAACAGTATTTCAATTGTTTATATTCATTGTGTTTTAGGAACTTTTTAATAGATACGAGAGAGCAATTTATGCAGCCTTAAGTGGGAATCTTAAGCAGGTATGCAATCTGTTTTACTGTTTAAATTTTTTCTGTGGAGTAAAATTAAATACATAAAATACTATAACAGTTGTATATAACAAATATAAACTTAAGTGTATATACTTAAGTATGTACATACATATGTGTAGCAATGATAGATAATCATGAATGAGATAGTGACTTTTTCTGCTTAATTTGATGTATTCCTGAACATGCATGGTGTGTTAATGAATGAAATCAGATTTCAGTTTTTAACTAAGAATTGTAAATTTAACTGCAACACAGTTATTGATGACTTATAATACTCATAGCTGTTTGCAGACACGTGCCACAAAGGCACAGTGAGTCCTTGGGTTGTCTTACATATCCATGTTTTTCTCACAACGCACTACTCTCTACATATTATAGCTATCTTGAGGGATACTATGATAATCAGTTGAAATGTCATATCAGCATGGAAAACTGATGTTCTAAACTCAGTATGAAAAAATCTTAACAGTTTAAACATCTTAGAAGATGTAGTTGGGGAGGGAAAGGTTATTTGGCGCAAGTTTTTTTAAATCTACCATGTTTTATATCATTATCAAGTGATATTATAGTCTGTGTCATTGGATGTACGCTTTTCCTTTCTTTTCTGTTGAATATGTCTATTATATATTTCTGTTTTGTAATGGGGAAAAAAGCTGCTTCCTGTCTGTGACACCTGGGAAGATACAGTGTGGGCCTACTTCCGGGTGATGGTGGACAGTCTGGTAGAACAGGAAATCCAGACATCAGTAGCAACTCTGGATGAAACTGAAGAACTCCCTAGAGAATATCTGGAAGTAAAGTGAGTTTGTTGGATTGTTTTGAGTCATGGTGATTTGTAGCATGCTCTTTAATGTTTGATTTTACAGCCCTTTTTCATATTATTAATGTTATTCTGTTCTTTTCTCGTTTCTTTTGAAGTTGGACCTTAGAAAAGGTTTTTGAGGAACTTCAAGCTACTGATAAAAAGGTAAATGTTAATAGGAACGTGTTACATACCTGGATTAGGAAACAATGTCATTCTATTGTGCACTGTAGCTGAAAGGAAAAAAATAGGTGGAACTTTCTCCTTTCTTTTTCTCACTTACTAAAAATAAAAATCATTCTTTGAAAGGAAGAAAATTACATAACTGATATATCATTTTTAGTTTTTTTGTGTAGGATTACTTTCATCTAAGTATATGCACATAAGCTGTATTTATTCCTTTCTTTTTGAAAATTCAAAATACATTATGGAAAATTAATAAGACTTTATTTTCCTGGATCTTAAAATGTAATATTTTCTAAAAATGCCTAAACAACCATAGTAATATTGTATGCACTTGTACAGTAAAATAATTTAAGGATGTTTACAATAAAATAATATAAGGATGTATAAATAAAACCTTTGTAGTAATTTTCCATATTTTTATGGTTATTCCCTTGAGATGATAAAACATACTGATATGTATTCTTCTGTATTTCTTTTCATGATCTTACGAATATGTGTAAATAATGTAGATATTCCAAGAATTTTGATTTTGTGTTTTTCACATTGTACTACATGTTACTCTACAGCTTGATTTTTTTTTTCATTTAATGATAATCTCCAATTTCGTTGATTCATTTTCACTTAACCTTAGTCCTTTTAATAAATACATAATTTTGTTTTGTTTTGTTTTTTGAGATGGAGTTTCACTCTTGTGGCCCAGGCTGGAGTGCAATAGCGTGATCTTGGCTCACCTCAACCTCCACCTCCTGGGTTCTAGCAGTTCTCCTGCCTCAGCTTCCCGAGTAGCTGGGATTACAGGCATGCACTTCCATGCCCGGCTAATTTTTTGTATTTTTAGTAGAGATGGGGTTTTTCCATGTTGGTCAGACTGGTCTCGAACTCCTGACCTCAGATGATCTGCCCACCTCGGCCTCCCAAAGTGCTGGGATTACAGGCATGAACGACCACATCCAGCCCAAATACATGATATTCTGTAGAATAATGCATAATTTATTATAATCATTCCACTTTGGGTAATATTTAGGTTATTTCTAGTGCTATAATGAACTTATATATTTGTGTATACTTAGCTACTAGTCCTTCTGTTTCTTTAGGCTAAGTTTCCTGAAAGCAGGGTTACTGGGTTAAGGAGTAAAAGTATATGCTTTATACATTGTATATACATATATACAATGTTTCTGAATGAATTCTCTGAAGACATCATGTTGTATACATTAAAAATATATACAATAAAAATAAATAAGAAGACCAGGCATGGTGGCTCATGCCTGTAATCCAAGCACTTGGGAGGCAAAGGTGGGAGGATCACTTGAGGCCAGGAGTTTGAGACCAGCCTGTGCATCATAGCAAAACCTCATCCCTAAAAAAAAGTTAGCTGGGTGTGGTGGTATACCCACTTGCAGTCCCAGCTACTCCAGAGGCTGAAGTGGGAGGACCACTTGAGCCCAGGAGGTCATGGCTTCAGTGAGCTTTGGTTGCACTACTGCCCTCCAGCATGGGCAACAGAGCAAGGCCCTGTCTCAAAGAAAAAAGAAAAATTAGATAGGTAGGTAGGTAAAAAAACATTTTGAAATGGATGGCACATCTCTGTAATCCCAACTACTTTGGAGGCTGAGGCAGGAGAATTGCTTGAACGCAGGAGACAGAGGTTGCAGTAAGCCAAGATCACAACATTGCACTCTAGGCTGGGCAATAAGAGCAAAACTCTGTCTCAAAAAAAAACAAAATTTTTTTTGAAATAGAAAAAGTTAATTTATTACCTGGTTGTGGCAGTTAAATTCATACTTCCACAAATAATTTATTGAATTATACATTCTCACCAGTCTCAAATGTCACACTTTTTATGTTTTGCCAATGCGTCAGAGTAGGTAGGAAATAAGAACTTGCTCTTCTACTCACATTTTCTTGTCTGTTCATAAGGCTGAGCATTCCCTTATGTTTATTGACCATTTGTGAATTTTTTCTTCATATCTCTTAGCTATTTTTCTGTGGGGTTTTATATTTTTCTCATATAGGAGCACTTGGTTTAGCAAGGAAATTAATGCTTTGTCTGTCAAGTGTTTATTACCAGTCTGTTATTTTGAAGATTCTAGCTAATGAAATAAAACAAAAAAATTAAGGAACAGATAGAAATACTAGAAAGGGAAGAACATTTACATATGACAAAAATATTAGTCTAGAAACTTAAAGCTCAGTAAGTTACTAGAATTAACGAGAATTTGTTAAAGTAGCTAGATACAAACGTTTTTTTAAAGTCAGCCTTTTGTACTTGTTATAACTATTTAGAAAAGGATTTAGCACTCCCTCCCCAAAAGTTCCATTTAAACGAATGATCAAAACTAAAGAGATCTAGAAATAAAAACGTAATCAAGGATGACAAGTCCTTCATTTAAAAACTATAGACTCTTACTGAAGGCATAAAATAAGAAATAAATAGATATATTATGTTCCTGGATGAGGGCATTTAATATAAATATCACTCATTCCAAAATTAGCATAGAAACCTAATGCTTTGAGGTATTACTTCTGGGCAGAGATTGTCAAGTAAAAGAATAATCGAGAATGGCAAGGACATTTTGAAAAAGAACAATAGGCTGGACTTGGTGGTTCACACCTCTAATCCCAGCACTTTTGGAGGCTAAGTCAGGAGGATCACTTGAGCTCAGGAGTGAGAGCAGCCTGAACAACATGGCAAAACCCCATCTCTACAAAAAAATTTTAAAATTAGCCAGATGTGGTGGCATATACCTGTAGTCCCAGCTTCTCAGGAGGCTGAGGTGGGAGGATCACCTGAGCCTGGTGAGGTAGAGGCTGTAGTGAGCCGTGATTGCATCACTGCATTCCAGCTTGGACAACAGAATGAGACTCTGTCTCAAAAACAAACAAACGAAAAAACACACTCAAAAAGAAAGGGGAAAAAATAGTTATGGGGTACTTGCCTTAATAATAGAACTTAATATGAAGATACAACAAAACTGTAGAACTGACATGAAAATAAACAGATGAGTGGAACACACAGTCCAAACAAGATCCAAGTATATATGAGAATTTAATAGTCCAAACTAGATCCAAGTGTGTATGAGAACTTAACAGATGTCAGAGGTGACCTTTCATTTCAGAGGGAAAGGGATGGTTTATTTAAATAAATGGTGCTGGCATAATTGGCTTTCCATCCGGAAGAAAACAAAGTTAGACCCTACCTTATGCCATGTAATTAAAATAAATTCCAGATAGAGCAAAGGTTTGAATGTAAAAATGAACAAATGCTGAAAGAAAATTTAGACAGCTAACTAAATAAAAATTAAAAGTTTGACAACAAAAAATGAACTATATTCTTCAAAAAATCAAGCTGCAAATAACTTACAAAAGGTTTTCTCTGTTCTGTATGTGATCACTATTTTGGTTTTTTCACCCTTGGTGCCATGTATAGAAGAGAATGCTCAAAGAATGCTTTCAAGTACTGCTGCTCATGTTGAAAGAAATCTTAATTATTTTGCTTAGGTCACATGAGTTCTTCCTTTCTCGTACACCATGTGTAGTGTAAAATAAATAGGAATAAAATATAAGAATAAAAGTTTAATACCATTGAGAGATTAAATTGTTATAACATAGTCTCTGCTTTCAAAGATGCTTTTCAGTTCTGGATTTGTAAGCTGTGAGTATATTCCAAGGCAGTAGGCAGTATCCTTTCCATGTTTTATTTTGTTTTGATATTCCTAAGGCCCTTCATTTCCAACTTTTTCTTTCTATATGTTCCTTCAAAAGTTTAACATTTTTAGTTTAACAATGAATATATACTACAGAATGACCACTAGAAGATTTATGGAAAATTTAAAAATTCTTTTTCAGAGAGTTCTGGAAGAGAATCAAGAACATTATCATATAGTTCAAAAGTTTCTTATCCTGGGAGACATTGATGGTAAGATACAGTTTTATTTTACTTTGTTATGTTTTGTTTTGTTTTGTTTTTTTGGGGGACAAAGTCTCACCCTGTCACCCAGACTGGAGTGCATTGGCACAACCTCAGTTCACTGCAGCCCCCGTCTCCTGGGTTCATGCTATTCTCCAGTCTTAGCATCCCGAGTAGCTGGGATTACAGGTGCATACCGCCACGCCTGGCTAATTTTTTGTATGTTTAGTAGAGATGGGGTTTCATTATGTTGGCCAGGCTGGTCTGCAACTCCTGACCTCAGGTGATCCACCTGCCTCAACCTCCCAAAGTGCTATGTATTATTAGGCATGGGATTACAGGCATGAGTGACCATGCCTAGCCCATTTTATTTTACTTTATATGAGTTCTTCATTGTCTTACGGTAATTTTTTTAAGTTATCCAAAAAATGCATATAACTTAGCACGTCTTGATAAATATTAACCTATTTGAATGCAACTCTTTATGTCAAAGGTGACCTTTCATGTCATTTGGTTTTTATAAAACAAAGTTTGGATTTTACCCAGACTCTGTTTAAGAGGGTGTAGCGTTATGTCATGGCTATTAATAATGATACAGTGACTTTATTTATTTATTTATTTGAGATGAAGTTTTGCTCTTGTTGCCAAGGCTGAAGTGCAATGGCATGATCTTAGCTCACCGCAACTTCTGCCTCTCAGGTTCAAGTGATTCTCCTGCTTCAGCCTCCTGAGTAGCTAGGATTACAGGCATGTGCCACCATGCCTGGCCAATTTTTGTATTTTTAGTGGAGACAGGGTTTCCCCATGTTGGTCAGGTTAGTCTTGAACTGTCGACCTCAGGTGATCCGCCCTCCTCAGCCTCCCAAAGTGTTGGGATTACAGGTGTGAGCCACCGTGTCTGGCCAATACAGTGACTTTAAAGCACTATAGGAGTGAAGTAAACGTTCTTGGTAATGTTTATTTTTTTCTTTTGATTTTATTCCTATTGATGAATCTTTGCTTCGATGGCTTGTAGGTTTGATGGATGAGTTTAGCAGATGGCTTTCCAAAAGCAGAAACAATCTACCTGGACACCTTCTTCGCTTTATGACTCACCTCATTTTGTTTTTCCGTACTCTGGGACTACAGACCAAGGTATATAAAAAGGAACTGTTTCTTCTCTATAATATTGATGCTGGGTAAATAGTGTCAAGAAAACACTACTTTTGTTGTTGTTGTTTTCTAGAAATGGTGATAAGGAATCAAATATCTTCCATATAGTCTTGTATAGTCACTCAACGATAACTCACTCTCAGTGAGTGACTCTTTAGAGTTCTAGTCTGTGGCCACAGAATGCTGTTGGTTACCTGGTTTTTAATAAACTCATAACTTTATCCTTGTCTGTACCCACCTTTAAATCAACCAGCTAAGCTAACTAAACAAACTAAGTGCTATGTGAGATTTTAAAACTTTGTTGGTGGTTTTGTTGCTTTTTTTCTAAAAAAAAAATAATAATAATAATAACATTTTGGTCAGAGTACATGTACAAAGTAAATGATAAAGTAATTGAAAGCTTGGGCTTTGGAGTAAGAGTCCTGAGTTTATACCCTTATCGAGCAGCTTCTATCTGTGTAATTATGGGTAAATAAAACTTCCCTGGGTATTAATTTCTTCCTCTGTAAAATATGAACAATAATAGTAACTAGCCAAAAAGAGTTATGGTAAGGTTAAATCATGTGGTAGATGAACTGTGGTAAGCACTTAGCTTGGTGAATAGTTACTGCTCAATGGTAAATATTACAATTACTAAATTATTTAATAGTAGAATTTGTACTAAAAATTTTATCACTCTTTCATATAAGCAGTTGTATTTATAATTAATATGTCTTTTTTCCTATGAAGGAAGAAGTTTGTATTGAAGTTTTGAAGACATACATACAGGTAAACTTTGAGAACCTACAACCTGATTCTTTTTTACTGTTTTAATGAAAACAAAAATCAGAATACTATTTTAATTCTCAATGATAAAAAAGCATCAGAATCCATAAGAAATCTTTTAATTATCAGCACAGTTGACCCTTGAACAATGCCGGGATTAGTAAAACACCCCTCCCCTCTGCACAACTGAAATTCACTCTAACTTTTGACTCCCTAAAAACTTAACTACTGATACCCTGTTGCTGACCAGAAACCATACCAATAACATAAACACCCAATTAACACGTTTTTTATGTTACACATATTATATACAGTCATCCCTCAGTATTCTTGGGGGATTGGTTCCAGGACCCCCACATATAACAAAATCTGTGTATACTCATGTCCACAGTTGGCTCTGCACAATTTGCATGTACAAAAAGTTGGCCTTCCATATTTGCAGATTTCACATCCAGATAATACTACATTTTCTATATAAGTCGAGTTGAAAAATATTTGTGCGTAAGAGGAGCTGCACAGTTCAAACCCATGTTGTTCAAAGCTCTGCTGTACTTTGAACAACAGGTATTCTTATGATAATACTCCAGGTATTCTTATGATAATGTAAGCTAAAGAAAACATTACTAAGAAAATCATAAGGGCTAGGCATGGTGGCTCATACCTGTAATCCCAACACTTTGGGAGGCAGAGGCTGGAGAATTGCTTGGGTCCAGAAGTTTGCGATTAGCTGGGCAACATAGGGAGATCCCTCTCTCTACTACAAAAAATTATTTAAAATTAACCAGGCACAGTGATTCACATCTGTAAACCCAGCTACTTGGGAGGCTGAGGGAAGAAGATTGAGTGAGCCCATAAGATGGAGGTTGCATTGAACTATGATCTCACCACACTGCCCTCCAGCTGGGTGAGAGTGAGACCATCTCAAAAAAAAAAAAAAAAAAAACAATCAGGCCGGGCATGGTGGCTTGCACCTGTAATCCCAGCACTTTGGGAAGCCAAGGTGGGTGAGTCCAGGAGTTCAAGACTAGCCTGGGCAATAGTGAGAGCCTGTCTTCTTTTTTAAAAAGGTTAGAAAATTAATAAATAACTTCTAAAAATTAAAAAATTAATAAATAAAAATCATAAGGAAGAGAAACTACATTTATAGTACTATACTATATCTGTTAATATTGTAAGTTTATGCTGTCTGTTTACAGGATGAATTGTCTGTCTGAAATGGACAAGTAATTCTCCTGCCTCAGCCTCTCGAGCAGCTGGGATTACAGGCATGTGCCACCATGCCTGGATAAATTTTGTATTTTTAGTAGAGATGGGATTTTTGTCTTGTTCTCCAGGCTGGTCTCAAACTCTGGTCTCATGTGATCTGCCTGCCTCAGCCTCCCAAAGTGCTGGGATTCCAGGTGTGAGCTACCAGGCCCGACCTCAAGTGACACTTCTGTCTTAGCCTCCCAAAGTGCTGGAATTACAGGCACAAGCCACCATACCCAGCCAATTTTTCAATATATTTATTGAAAAAAAGTCCACATATAAGTGAACCCACACAGTTCAAACCTATGCTGTTTAAGGGCCAACTGCACTCACTTTTTAGAATTTAAAATTATTCTGGGCTGGACACAGGGGCCCATGCCAGTAATCCCAGCACTTCAGGAGGCCAAGGTGGGCAGATCACTTGAGCCCAGGAGTTTGAGACCAGCCTGGGCAGCATAGTGAAAAGCCATCTCTACTAAAAAAATACAAAAAATCGGCTGGGTGCGGTGGCTCATGCCTATAATCCCAGCACTTTGGGAGGCCGAGGAGGGTGGATCACAAGGTCAAGAGATTGAGACCATCCTGGTCAACATGGTGAAACCCCGTCTCTACTAAAAATACAAAAATTAGCTGGGCATGGTGGCACGCACCTGTAGTCCCAGCTACTCGGGAGGCTGAGGCAGGAGAATTGCTTGAACCCAGGAGGCAGAGGTTGTGGTGAGCCGAGATTGCGCCATTGCACTCCAGCCTGGGTAACAAGAGCGAAACTCTGTCTCAAAAAAAAAACCAAAAAGTACAAAAAATCATCAGGGCATGGTGGCATATGCCTGTAGTCCCACCTACTTGGGAGGCTAAGGTGGGAGGATCACCTGAACCCGGGGTGCAGAGGTTTCAGTGAACCATGATCGTGCCACTACACCCCAGCCTGAGTGACAAGAGTGAGACCCTGTCTCAAATAAACAAATAAACATAAAATGAAATTATGTTTAGCAACAGAAATCCATATCTGTATGAATCTCTCCTGAATATATTTGAGATTTTGAAGTAAACTTTTTTATTACTGATATACTTTGATCTTTTTCTGTTTTTTAGCTTTTAATAAGTGAGAAACATACAAATCTCATAGCATTTTATACCTGTCATTTGCCTCAAGACCTAGCTGTTGCCCAGTATGCTTTATTTTTGGAAAGTGTTACAGAATTTGAGCAGCGCCACCATTGCTTGGAGTTGGCTAAAGAAGCAGGTAAAAATGGTTGAAAACTTTGTCCATTGACCTTTGTAGGCAAATACTCATTTTGACTATAGTAATATTTGTCCTAGTTTTAAATCTTATTTCTTTTTAGGGGAAAAAAGTAATAAAATTTTCAGGGAATTTCTGTTTTAGGACTAATGTTACTTATGCTGTAACTCATATGTAAAATATCTTTTAGTTTTGGCATTTTCTTTTATATAAATATCTTTTATATTTTACATATTTCATTTTTAAGGATTATTGTTCCAAATTTACCAAATCATTGTGACTGTTTAGAGAATATTAGTATCAATGATTAATCTTTATTTTTTGTCTCTTCAAAAAATAATTTAGATTTGGATGTTGCAACAATAACAAAAACTGTAGTTGAGAATATTCGAAAGAAAGATAACAGTGAATTTAGTCATCATGACCTGGCCCCAGCCCTAGATACTGGCACTACTGAGGTAATTTAGAATGGGGGGGCAAAGGTGTTGTGTAACTTCTAATAATCTTTTATGTTATTCCTTGGTGAATTTCTCCCTTCGTAAAAGAAATTCTATGTTAGTTTTTCTTTTTTAAGAATGTTTCTTCGTCAGCCCATACATGTTAAACTACAAAAATTGGCAGCAAATTTTAAGTCTTATGTAAAGGATTACTTGTAGTATGTTAAAGGAAGCTTCTTTAATAGAAAGAAATCTTATGTAAAGGATTACTTGTAGTATATTAAAGGAAGCTTCTTTAATAGAAAAAAAAGATCTCAGCTTTGGTTTGTTGCTCATCAGGTTATTTTAAATATTTGTTAATCACTAACTTATGTAGCTTGCTTACTCGTATTTTCAGAAAGGAATAGAAAGTTATGTCTAAGAAAACTATTTTAGAGTAACATTTAAAGGAATCACATGGTTAAGTTGGTGAGACATACAATATATAGTTCCAAATTAATAATCCAGTAAATTTTTTCTATAATTTATTTTTATTTATTTATTTATTTTGAGGCAAGGTCTGGCTCTGTTACCAAGGCTGGAGTGCAGTGCCGCTATCTTGGCTCACTACACCTTTGCCTTCCAGACACAAGCCATCTTCCCTTAGTCTCCCGAATAGCTGGGGCTACAGGCGTGTGCCACCATGCCTGGCTACTTTTTTATATTTTATGTAGAGACAGGGTTTTGCTGTGTTGCCCAGGCTGGTCTTGAACTCATAAGCTCAAGAGATCTGCTTGCCTCGGCCTCCCAAAGTGCTAGGATTACAGATGTGAGCCACCATGTGTGGCAGTATTTTCTATGATTTAATAGAGAGCTGTGAAATATGAAAATACACTAAGAAAAGTTAGATGTTATCATAATTTCAAATAACTTGAGGGAAAATGATGTTTGCTGCAAGTACAGGTGTAAGTTAATTCTACTAATTTGTAGAATATCTTTTTTAATAAACCTGATGTTCCTTTTTCTTTTTTTCCCCTTTAATAAATAGGAGGATCGTTTAAAAATTGATGTAATTGACTGGTTGGTATTTGACCCAGCACAGAGAGCAGAAGCACTGAAACAAGGCAATGCAATTATGAGAAAATTCTTGGGTATGCTATATTTGTATGCAGCTTCAAACTCCCTACATTCATCTTCCTACCTCAGCCTCCCAAGTAGCTGGGACTATAGTTGTCCACCACCACACCCACCTACTTTTTAAAAAAAAGTTTGTAGAGATGGTGTCTCACTATATTGCCTAGGCAGGTCTCAAACTCCTGGCCTCAAGCAATCCTCCCACCTCAGCCTCCTTAAGTGCTGGGATTATACGAATGAGCCACCATACCTAGCCTTTCATTCTTTTTTAAAAAAGTTTTTGTTTAAATTTACAAGAAAAAAAACAACCCCACCAAAAAGTGGACAAAGGATATGAACAGACACTTTTCAACAGAAGACATTTATGCAGCCAACAAACATATGAAAAAAGCTTATTATCACTGGTCACTAGAGAAATGCAAATCAAAACCACATTGAGATACCATCTCATGTGAATTAGAAAGGCTATCATTAAAAAATCAGGAGACAACAAATGCTGGAGAGGATGTGGAGAAATAGGAACATTTTTGCACTGTTGGTGGGAGTGTAAATTAGTTCAACCATTGTGGAAGTCAGTGTGGCAATTCCTCAAGGATCTGGGAATAGAAATACCATTTGACCCAGCAATCCCATTACTGGGTATATACCCAAAGGATTATAAATCATTCTGTTATAAAGACACATGCACACATATGTTTTTTGCAGCACTGTTTACAATAGCAAAGACTTGGAATCAACCCAAATACCCATCAGTGATAGACTGGATAAAGAAAATGTGGCACATATACACGAGGGAATATTATGCAGCCACAAAAAAGGATGAGTCATGTCCTTTGCTGGAACATGGATAAAGCTAGAAACCATCATTCTCAGCAAACTGACACAAGAACAGGAAATCAAACACCGCATGTTCTCACTCATAAGTGGGTGTTGAAAAGTGAGAACAAATGGACACAAGGAGGAAAACATCACACACTGGGGCCTGTTGGTGGGTGGGGGGGGTTAAGGGAGGGATAGCAGGGGGTGAGAGGATGAAAAGAAAACCAAAAAAAAAAAAAAAAAAAAAATAGTATTATTTGAGAGTAGTTAGAATATTTGTTGAAGTACTTAAAATTTAGATTATTGGTACTACATACTAGTCTTATGCAATTTGCTTTTTTAATTTGAATAGTTTTTAAATATTTATTCATATTTATAGATAGGTGATCTAGTTTATTCAGTGTTACTTTCTGCTGCTGCATAGTTTTGTTAAAGAAATAAGCCAAGGTTTATTGATTCATGCTCTTAGTAGTGAATGATTAAGTTGTTTCTAATATCTTACATTACAAACAATGCTCCAATAAATAATTTTGTTCATGTCTCCTTGAAAAAAAAACTTTTTGTTCAAATTCATGTATTTTTAAATTTTTGGGGGGTTGTTTTTTGTTTTTGGTCCTTCCACTAGGAAGGAGAAAACCAGCTACTCTTCATCTATCAAACCTGGTATTATGAAACAAAACATATTTTAATGGTGAATTTTCATTGTCCTAATCAATTTTGCAAATAATAATAATCAGACTTTGAAAAATGTAATTGCTTTCTTTAAGACATAGAAGTATGTAAAAGTAACTGTATTTGATGTATCCTTTTGTGTTAGTATCACATTGGGATAGGAAAAAGCCAGTCTATTAGGTAGAAAGATCACCAAGACCTTTAACAGAGTGCCTTAGGCCCTAAAATAGTTACAGGTCACTATAAAAGTTGTAAACCAGTGATTTGACTCTTTTAGAAACCATTACACAGAAGCCCATAGGTCTTCAAAATTGTGTATCTTTTTTTCACAGCATCAAAGAAGCACGAAGCTGCAAAAGAAGTATTTGTGAAAATTCCTCAGGATTCTATAGCAGAAATCTATAATCAGTGGGAGGAACAAGGAATGGAAAGTCCACTTCCTGCTGAAGATGATAATGCTATCAGAGAACATTTGTGCATCAGAGCTTATTTGGTGAGACTGTAAAGAAAACCACAGATGTGCTTTGTGATGATTTTTCTGATTCACTCTCAGAGTTTAAACTTTTTTCTAGAAGTAGCGTTGATGCATCTTACCTCTCTTGTGACTATAGTGCTGACTCATCCACAGGGGGTCTGACATTGTGACCTTGTCTTCATTAGCATGATTTTCTAATCAATGTTAACCAACCAGGATCATCTCACATGGTAGATAGTGTCTATGATGTCCGGAAGTTATGTTTTCTTAAGATTTTATAAAAGCTTGTCTCAGCTTAAAATTTCTGCTTTTATCAGTAACTGAGAAAAAGCAAGATGCTGTAGGTTCGTTATGACTAAAATAACAGTATACTCATTCAAAATTCATTCAAGGCCAGATATGGTGACTCAGGCCTATAATCCCAACACTTTGGGATGCCAAGGCAGAATGTTTGAGCCTAGGAGTTCAAGACTGGCCTGAGCAACATAGTGAGACATGCCCCCACACACATCTCTACAAAAAAATAAAAACAAAATTAGCCAGGCATGGTAGCATGTACTTGTAGTCCCAGCTACTTGAGAGGCTGAGGTGGGAGGTTCGCTTGAACCCAGGAAGTTGAGGCTGCAGTGAGCGGAGATCATGCCTAGTCTTCATCAGATCATGTACTCCAGCCTGGATGACAGAGCAAGGCCCTGTCTCAGAAACAAAAAAAAAATTTTTTTATTCAATAAATAATTACATAATTATAGTGGGTTAGGTAGTAGGGCCAAATCTATGGATAACACCCTATCCTCGCCTTCTAAAAGCTAGTTAAGAAGACAAGTACACATGCATATGTTACAGAGTGATAAATGTAAAGATAATATGTGATCAGGGTGCTGAGATTGGAGAATATGCCAGAAAACACAATATATATACCTTCTGTTGTTTGTCATTTGACAAAATATTTCTTCATGGTATGACCTTTTTGTATGCAAAAAATAAACATTGAACAGTTTTATTTCTTGATGCTGCAAAATTATTTCTAAGAATCAAATGTTAAAAATTTTGATGAAACAAAAGTGAAACCTTTGGTTATTTTATATTTTGGGTTTTTTTATTTTATATTTTAGGAAGCCCATGAAACCTTTAATGAGTGGTTTAAGCATATGAATTCAGTTCCACAAAAACCTACTTTGATACCTCAACCAACTTTTACTGAGAAAGTGGCTCATGAACACAAAGAAAAGAAATATGAAGTAAGTTAGATATGGATCTGGGATGTACCTACTGTACCTTATAACTGTATGTTATATATTTAAAGAGATTATTTCTTCAGCAACTATCTTTCTATCATAACAGATAATCTTCCTGTTAATGTCCTGCTTTGGAAGACGCAATCTGTTTAGTTACTTTTCTGTAGGTAATTAACCAAACATGAAAAATGCCTTCAGGTGACATGAACATTTATTTACAAAGTTAACCTTATTCAGCATTTTATTTAATTGCAGTATGTATACTTATTTTTAGATTTGGCAGACTTAAATGTCAACTCTTGAGAATGATGTTTTATATGTATATTCCTGTCTGTACTTTATAAATACATTATTTATATCGTATCTTATCGGGTTTTATCGATTATATGTCTGCCTTATGTTTGTTTTGCAGATGGATTTTGGTATTTGGAAAGGGCATTTAGACGCCCTAACTGCTGATGTGAAGGAGAAAATGTATAACGTCTTGTTGTTTGTTGATGGAGGGTGGCTGGTGGATGTTAGAGAGGTAAGCTGTGTGCGTTGTTTATAGCCAGAAACCAAAACACTCACCATGTCTTTCTCTTTTTTAAATGCTCTGTCTCTAAATAGGAGCATCTACAGATTTTATGTAATTGTAGATATAGCTAAATCCCATATTTTAAGCTAAGCCGAAAATACTAGCTAGGGAATGGGAATATTTGATTCTTGGATAAACTATTAGTTCACATTTACTATGTTTACACAGGATACAAAAATCTAATTTAAAAAAATCTGGACCTAAATATTTATTATACATGTATGTGACTCAATTTACAGATATGAAGATAACTTGAATAGTATCAGTAAGGGATAGCTAAGGTAGTGGCTCTCACCTCTGGGCTGTCCATTTTAATGACCTGGCAAACTTTTTAAAAACACTGCAGGGTTCCACTCCCAGAGATTCTGGTGTAAATGGTCTGAGGTAGGGCTGGGGTTTGTTTGTTTGTTTTTTTAATCACCTGGAGTGTTTTAATATGATATACAGCCTGTGTTGAAAACCAGTTACAGAAGTATTAAGTGCCATAAGAAAAGCACAGGGTTTTTTTGTTTTTTTTTTTTTGAGACAGAGTTTCGCTCTTGTTACCCAGGCTGGAGTGCAATGGCGCGATCTCGGCTCACCGCAACCTCCGCCTCCTGGGTTCAGGCAATTCTCCTGCCTCAGCCTCCTAAGTAGCTGGAATTACAGGCACGCGCCACCACGCCCAGCTAATTTTTTGTGTTTTTAGTAGAGACGAGGTTTCACCATTTTGACCAGGATGGTCTCAATCTGTTGTTGACTTCGTGATCCACCCGCCTCAGCCTCCCAAAGTGCTGGGATTACAGGCTTGAACCACCATGCCTGGCCTCAAGCACAGGTTTTTATGCTGATTCTCTTGAAGATAGAATTTTAATGTTGCAAAATGTTAATTAAGTGATACTTTAACTTTGAAAAGACTTCAGTGCTTCATTTGTACATAAATCTTTGCTATTCTAATTATTATTTAATCTAAGTAGATTAGGTAGTGAAAGACACAAAATAGTCTGGGGTCTCATAAAAATGGAGCCAAGTGTGGTGGCTCACGCCTGTACTCCTAGCACTTTGGGAGGCTGAGGTAGATGGATCACCTGAGGTCAGAAGCTTGAGACCAGCCTGGACAACAGGGCAAAACTCCGTTGCTACTAAAAATACAGAAAAATTAGCCAGGTGTGGTGGCGCATGCCTGTAGTCCCAGCTACTACGGAGGCTGAGGCCAGAGAATGGCTTGAACCTCCCAGGAGGCAGAGGTTGTAATGAGCCGAGATTGTGCCACTGCACTTCAGCCAAGGTGACAGGTCAAGACCTTGCCTCAAAAATAAATAAATAAAGTTTAGGTGGAAGGCAGTGAATGATACCATTTAATTTCATCAAGGGTTTTAAAAATCAATATTTGATCTCAATTATTTCTTTAAAACTAATCTAGAAAAGAGATTTTTTTGAACAATTAAATAATTAATAATGATATTTTAATCACCCTTGTTGAGTCAAGCCTAATACTCTTATATATTCGATGACGTAGGGCACTATTCAAGGCTCCTGCTAACACATGTCACTTGTATGTGAATTAGAAAATTGTAATTTTGTCTGGCTGCAGTGGCTCACACCTGTAATCCCAGCAGTTTGGGAGGCCAAGGCAGGTGGATCATACAAGGCCGGGAATTAGAGACAGCCTGGCCAATATGGTGAAACCCCATCTCTACTGATAATATTAAAAAACTAGCCAGGTGTGGTGGCTCGTGCCTATAGTCCCAGCTAATAGGGAGGCTGAGGCAGGAGAATCCACTGAACCCAGAGGCAGAGGTTTCATTGAGCTGAGATTGTGCCACTGCACTCTAGCCTGGGTGAGAGGGAGACTCCGTCTCAAAAAAAAAAAAAAATATTGTAATTCTCTTCCCTCACACAGATAGGTTCCATGGCCAGTCCACACGAAATGTAGAACAGAGCACAGGCTACATTTCAGCCCCACTAACTTGCTTAGCCAGCCACCCTTGTACAAGGCATGGCTGTATGCAATAGCCCTAGCATTATGCAGTGTTTTCATATAGCTATGCCTCTAGTTTTTAAATAACTGTAGAATAGTCCCCTTAGTGTTAGGGCTGGTGGCACAGAGGGATGTCAGTGAGAATGGAGCAGGCAGCTCATTACCTACATTTCACCACCTCCATTACCTCTACCTCTAGCACAAGCCTCTGCTGTCTTCCCTGGCTTCTCACTGTTCTTTATACAGTCCATTCCTTATACAGATGTACTAGTGAACCTTTTAGAATGAAATATATGCGACCATCCTACCCAGAACTTTCTGATGCCTTCTTATTACACTTGGAATAAAATCCATCTTTCTTTTCCTGATGTGCAAGACTATACATAGTTTTCTTTTTAAACTAACCCCCTAATCTTGTGTCCTGTTCTCCCCTCACTATATTCTAGCCTTTTGGACCTCTTCACTGGTTCCCCTCTGCCTAGAATGCTCCTTAGCCAAGATATCTGCATGGATGACTTTGTACTTTTAGCAGTCTGCTCAAATGCCATCTCCCTTAAGAACCTCTCCCCAACCCAACCACCCTATTTTAAATAGCATGTATGCATGTGTATATATATATATATATATATATACACGCACACACACTCGTGTCCTTTTTAATCTCCATAGCCTAAATTAGTTTTTTTCATAGCACTTAGCACAATCTTATATAATACATATTAGTTTATTTGGTTTTCGTATGTCTACCCTCATTAGAATATAACCTTAATGAAGAGAGTAACCTTGTTTTCTTTATTTCTTTGACTCTGGCACTTAAACGTAATGCCAAGCACATGGGAGGCTTTCAATGATATTTGGTAAATGAATGATATTGCATTACTGAGGTGAATGTACTGTCTTCAGATTAGGAATAGCTATAGTATCGGCCGGGCGCAGTGGCTCTCGCCTGTAATCCTAACACTTTGGGAGGCCAAGGTGGGTGGATCACCTGAGGTCAGGAATTCAAGACCAGCCTGGCCATCATGGTGAAACCCCATCTTTAAAAATAAAAACAATGTTTAAAAGGAATAGCTATAATATCAGTGTACCAATCAACTCTTGCTATCAACACATATTAGGTAATGAGTTTTTCTCACACATAAGGCACTATATATCCCTAGTGGAAATAATCTTTCTGTTTTACATATTTACGGGCTATTTCAAAGCTTTTTTTCATTTAGATGAGAAAAATGTCTTTGGTTGTAGGAGAGCTATTTATTTGCTTTTCCTTGTGGCAAATTGCTGGGTATGTCAGCCATTACCCTGGATGGTTGCTGGCAGCCCACCTGCTAGTATAGGAATTCATTATAATTAGCAGAAGAGATCAACTGCAGCACACTCTGATACTGTGGCAGCAACAGGATTTAGGAAAAGCAAGTCAGGATCCATCATATGAGATGAGAAAGTAACCTGCTGCTTTCAAGCAACAGGAATCAGGAGCCAGGGGCGCCTGGCCTCTTTAACATAGAAAGATTACATTGAAGCACAAATGAAAGGTCCAGAAAGAAGCAGTTCTTATTCTTACTGGGTTCTAGGTTGGGATCACTAATATGAATTTACATAAAACCTTGAAGTATTTTAAATCCACCTCTGGGTCGGGCGTGGTGGCTCATGCCTGTAATCCAAGCACTTTGGAGGCCAAAGCAGGTGGATCACCTGAGGTCGGGAGTTCAAGACCAGCCTGACCAACATGGTGAAACCCCATTTAAAAAAAAAAAGAAAAAGAAAGAAAGAAATCCACCTCTGAAGGTAGCCAGTGTCTATTTGAGAACAGAAATAAAGGTGTTTTCCCTTATAAAGAAGCACTTTAATACTTGCTCGTATGTATTTATGCTTCAAACAGGACCAAAACATTGATAGTAATTTTTCCTATGTGTGGAAAACTGACCTAAATTAGGGCAAATTAGTATAGTTACTCTTTGGTATAATTACCAGATTATATTTTGTTATTGATTAACCCCTCCACTTATATCTCCATTTGAAAAATGCTTTCGCATTTTAATATAGCCTCTTACATGAAGATACTTTTAGATATTTTATTAGGCTTTTCAAAGAGCAGTTACTATTTTAGCTCGTCCTTTTTTTCTTCTGCATTAGTGCTATTGATTTCCTTTCTGTTTTTAAGATTATTTCAGAAATTGTATGTGTCATTATTGTAGTCCCAGCACTTTGGGAGGCTGAGCCAGGAGCACTTGAGCCCAAGAATTTGATTACCAGCTTGGGTAACATAGGGAGACCCCAACTCTACAAATAATAAAAAAAAAAATTAGCTGGGCTTGGTGGCACATGCCTGTGGTTCTTAGCTACTTGGGAGGCTGAGGTAGGAGGGTTGCTTGAGCTCAGAGGTCAAGGCTTCAGGGAGCCATGATTGCACCACTGCATTTCAGACTGGGTGACAGAGCGAGATACTGTGTCAAAAAAGAAGAAAAACTAAATAAAAGAAAAAAATTATGTGGTTGGGTACTTTTTAATTATTTTAGTTTTCAAATTTGTTGTAAGTAAATGTAGTGGGCATAAGAATTTTACTCTTTTTTTTGTACTTTTACTCTTCACATAGATTTGAAGAAAGATCCATGTATGTATAAAGGAATGCCAACAGTTTTTCCTATACTTTTTTCCTCATATATATGTTCTGACTCATTAACTATATTATTCAAATCTATAGGTTCTGCTTTTCTGTTTTTAAAAATTATATAAGGAAATTATAAATTCCATTTTCCTTGTTTATAAACAAAGTAGTCTGCAGTGAAGTTGACCCTTCCTGTGTGCCCCTCCCCACATCCTCTTTTTCCCAGCAGCAGTGATTGCTGTCAGTCTGGTGTATCCTCTCAGATCTCCTTAGAGCTGTCTTTATGTGTCTGTGTAAACATCCAAGGGAGTGGTGATTGTTTTCTGTTCTTATTTTTGCTCAATGGTATTCAGTTTCTAACTCATTCTTTTTATGCATGGTTTTATTCAGGAGGTAGTAAGTTTATTAGAAATACAAATTCAGAAGCATTTTATTTTCACTCATACCTCTGACTTCACTGTAGTCTACTTTGTTCATCTTCATACTTTTTTGCTGTTAAATCTTGTCTACCAATTACATTTTGGGTTTGGTTCAGCACTTGGCTTTTCTTTTTATAAGGATCTTTAGCTTAAATTGTTGAAAGGATTTATCGATGTCTGTTTGTAGGATACTGAAGAAGACCATGAAAGAACACATCAAATGGTTTTACTGAGAAAGCTTTGTCTGCCAATGTTGTGTTTTCTGCTTCATACAATATTGCATAGTACTGGTCAGTATCAGGAATGTCTACAGTTAGCAGATATGGTATCCTCTGAGCGCCACAAACTGTATCTGGTAAGTTCTAGAGCATTGTAGTTTTAAATTTTAATGATTTTATATATTCTGTAGTAATATTTAATTTGGTGAAGATGTGTTTACATTTGTAGTTGTTCTTGAATTTTCTTAAAGTAATAGTCCAGTTTTAATGTTTGTGCTTTTTTCCCAAAATGTATATATATTTGTAAGCAGTTAGAAATATATAGACTGACTCTGAGAAATAGCCTTGAAATTCCTGAACCACTCTAATTTACTAGCCTCTGGCTACATAAATCTTAAAGAGGAATTTCTTCTTATATGAAGCTAATGAGATTGATTAGGTAATTATGTTCATACTTGTTGTTGTTCTCATTCTTATTTCTCTTTTTAAAAATCAGGTGTTTTCTAAGGAAGAGCTAAGGAAGTTGCTGCAGAAGCTAAGAGAGTCCTCTCTAATGCTCCTAGACCAGGGATTTGACCCATTAGGATACGAAATTCAGTTATAGTTCATCGACTCTTTGTAATCTCACTAATTTTCGTGACATGACATTTTTAATAAAATATACTTGTTATTAGTAATTTTTTCTTTTGCACCATGTAAAATTTAGACATTTGAATTTTGTACTTTTCGGAATATTATGGTGACACTTTGAAAATGTAATGTATGTATATCAGTGTTTCTCTGTACTTATTAATAAAACTATATAAAAATTAAAATTTTCTGTTTTTACAAATTCCAGGATTGTCTCTTTATCATATAATAAGGAAATTAAATTTCCTATTCTAGTTTTTTCTGTAAGTATTCTGATATTTTAAAATTATAAAGATTATGGAAAGATTTATTTTTAAGCCAGGTACATGATTTTTTATTTATCATAAAATTTAGTATTTTTTGAATATTAGAATTAAGAAGGTGACTATAACAAGAATGTTTTCTAATATAACATGCTATTATTTTAGTTATTTTGAAGACATTTCTAGTTTAGCTTTCATTTAGCAAACTTCCTATCAAAATAAGAGCATATAAAGACTTAGTGTAGTACCTGGCACACAAGTAAGCCTGGAATACATTGGGGATTACAAATCCAGCTCTTCTAGTAGAGAAAATACCATAAGTACATTTAAAAGATGTCATTAAGAAATGCAAGTAGTGGCCGGGCAAGGTGGCTCACGTCTGTAATCCCAGCACTTTGGGAAGCCCAAGTGGGCAGATCACCTGTTGTCAGGAGTTTGAGACTAGCCTGGCCAATGTGGCAAAACCCCATTTCTATTGAAAAAAATAAATAAATTAGCCAGGCATGGTGGCAGGCACCTGTAATCCCAGCTACCCAGGGGAGGCCAAGGCATGAGAATCACTTGAACCTGGGAGGCAGAGGATGCAGTGAGCCGAAATCATGCCACTGCACTCCAGCCTTGGGGATAGAGTGAGACACTGTCTACAACAAAAAAAGTACAAGTAGTCTGAGCAGGAAGACACTATCTCCAGCTGAAAGGACTCTCAGGAATTAGTTGTGGGTTGGGGTTTGAGTAGTGCACTGAATTTGCAAAGCAAAGAGGCACAAGAAGGATGAGTCTCTATAGATTAAGAAATCAGTATGAGCAAGACCTAGAAATGATAAGTGCTGGGCATTTTTATGAACCAACAAATACACCAAATAGGCTAGAGTGTAGGGCTTATAAATAGGAGACAAAAGAATTTGACTCTAATAGAAAACACCAATTCCCCAAACTGGTTAATCATCTAAGGAATTTATTGAATATGTATTCATAGATGCCAACCCTAGAGACAGCTGGCTTGGGAAGCCTGAGATGGGATCATAGAATTTGTTTAACTCTACATGATGTGCTTTTGTTGTTTTTCTTTTTTGTTTTTTTGAGATGGAGTTTTGCTCCTGTTGCACACAAGCTGGAGTACAATGGCACAATCTCGGCTCACTGCAACCTCTGCCTCCTGGGTTCAAGCAGTTCTCCTGTAGGTGGGACTACAGGCATGTACTACCACCATGCCTAGCTAATTTTGTATTTTTAGTGGAGATGGGGTTTCTCCATGTTGGTCAAGCTGGTCTAAAACTCCTGACCTCAGGTGATCTAGCGCAATATTGGCTCACTGCAACCTCCGCCTCCCGGGTTCAAGCAATTCCCCTACCTCAGCCTCCTGACATACTGATTTTTGAATACTTTTCTTGGCATAACTTATGCCGAGGAATTATGAGGACTTTTCCCTGAGTACTGCATGAAGGTTTTGAAGTTGGAAGAGGCATGTCTTGGGTGTGAAAGTTTTAATTTCCCTGCCTCATTTATTTAATTTAGAAATGGGGGTCTCACTATGTTCCCCATCCTCGCTTCCAACTCCTGAGCTCAAGCAATCCTCCCATGTCAATCTCTCAAATAGCTGGTACTAAAGGCCCATGCCACCATGCCCTGCTTCCTCAATTATTTTAAATTTTTGTACGACAGTCTCTCTTTTTATGACTGCTGAATTAATCCTAGAGTCTGTCTTAAAACTAAGAATTGACATATTGGTCGGAAGAACCAGACATTCAAGATGTTTTAGTGATTCCTTTTTTCCCCACTACTCTTGCTGCCCAGGTTGGAGTGCAATGGTGTGATCTTGGCTCACTGCAACCTCCGCTTCTTGGGATCAAGCAATTCTCCTGCCTCAGCCTCCCGAGTAGCTGGGATTACAGGCAGGCACCACCACACCCAGCTAATTTTTTGTATTTTTAATAGAGATGGGGTTTCTCCATGTTGGTCAGGCTGGTCTCAAACTCCCAACCTCAGGTGATCCGCCTGCCTCAGTCTCCCAAAATGTTGGGATTACAGGCGTGAGCCATCGCCCCCGACCTTTGTGATTCCTTTTTTTAAAAATCCCCTTTTGTACCTGTAGTATCTACAATATATAATCTTGCTCTATTCGACTTAAGGAGGAAGGAGAAAGGAAGAACCTGACTTCTGTGTGAAAGGACCTTATTGCAATGTCAATCAAGACTGCTACTTAAAGTTTTCTCTCAGGCCGGGCACAGTGGCTCACGCCTGTAATCCCAGCACTTTGGGAGGCCGAGGCGGGTGGATCACGAGGTCGAGAGATCGAGACCATCCTGGTCAAAATGGTGAAACCCCGTCTGTACTAAAAATAAAAAAAAAAATTATCTGGACATGTTGGCACGTGCCTGTAATCCCAGCTACTCAGGAGGCTGAGGCAGGAGAATTGCCTGAACCCAGGAGGTGGAGGTTGCGGTGAGCCGAGATCGCGCCATTGCACTCCAGCCTGGGTAACAAGAGCGAAACTCCGTCTCAAAAAAAAAAAAAAGTTTTCTCTCAGTCATTGCGCCTGACTTTAAGATCCAAAACACACACACACACACACATATATATATATATATATATATATATGCACTCCTAGAGACAGCTGTATATAGTTATGCCAAGTTGTGCATTTCTTTCTGGAATTGTAAGTGAACACAATAATTGCACGTTTATAATGTCAAGGGAACATCTTTACAGAGAACACATTTTCACTGTTGAGCTAATAATGCTTTGTGAATGTATGATCTCAGGAGAAACCCTTGCAGTTGTACCCGATGATGCTGTTGGAAAGTGAATTTTTAATCTTTTTACAACAATAAAAAATAAAATAAAAATATGCTTTCAGTAAATTCTTTCCTCTCTCTGGCGAGGACTAAATTTGCTCAGCATTCAACACGGAAAATTGGCCAAAGTGTCTGCACAGCCAGAGAGAAATTGTCTAGCAAATCGAGTCAATGACACACAGGAAACAAACGTCAAGAAAGGGGCCCTAGATTGGCCCAATCAGGCAGGCATTAAGTGACCAAGAGGGTTGGGGACGCAAAGGATGGTACACAAAGACGCAGCGGCGCGCGCCCAGGGCCCAACGCGCCTGCGCAGGGTAGCGGCCGTTCAGTTCCGCGGCTCGAGGGCGGAAGCGCTGGAGCTCCTAGTCAGCGCCAGAGCTCGAGTCACGTGGTTGCGGGAGGAGATGGGCGGGGCGGGGAACGTGCCTCCGAGTCCTGCTGGCTTAAGGGGCGCCGGCAGGGCGTGTGTCCTCCCTTAAGAGTGCTACTCGCCCGAGGTCTGATCTGTGCATGCCTTTCCCGGGTCAGGCGGTGAGGTCAGCGCCTGCGAGTACGCGGCGGTGGAGAAGGGCAGCCGGAGACAGGCCAGGCGGCCCTTAGGAGGCTGAACGGCCCCGGCTTCACGGAGATCATGGCATCGCTGGTGGACCGAATGCGGGGCCACGGTCGAATCGCGGTCGGGCTCCTGTTCAACCTGCTGGTGTCCATCTGCATCGTGTTCCTCAACAAATGGATTTATGTGTACCACGGCTTCCCCAACATGAGCCTGACCCTGGTGCACTTCGTTGTCACCTGGCTGGGCTTGTACATCTGCCAGAAGCTGGACATCTTTGCTCCCAAAAGTCTGCCGCCCTCCAGGGTCTTCCTCCTGGCCCTCAGCTTCTGTGGCTTTGTGGTTTTCACTAACCTTTCTCTGCAGAACAACACCATAGGCACCTATCAGCTGGCCAAGGCCATGACCACACCGGTGATCATAGCCATCCAGACCTTCTGCTACCAGAAAACCTTCTCCACCAGAATCCAGCTTACGCTGGTAAGTAGCTTCAGCTTCTCCAGGCGCCGCCCTTCCGACCCACCTCCTGCACCGGCCCCGGGAAATTCGAACGCACCCTGGTTAACCCTTCCCCACGCTCTTTCCCTTTATCTTGAAATCCACAAATGAGTCATCTTTGAGCGTGTGAACTTCAGGCTTATTTTGCGAAGGGGGAAAAGTCCATCTTGTCACTCTGTTGGGCACTTAACCCAGAAGAGTGGGCTTATGTGAGTTTTAGTAGCTGCCATTTGATGGAAATCGTTAAATGCTGTGATCCGTAAGAAAAAAAGCTGTATTGGGTGGTACAGTCCAGTGTTATCAAAATATCTGCAAAAGCTCAAACTGCAAAACAGCCTTTCTCCCCCAGGGGAATCAAATCGTGTATGATAAACATGAAAAAATTTAGCATAAAGTAGGTCTCAAAATGTCTGCAGCACCATACTGCAGAACTGTCTGCATCTTTAAAAGGAGGTGGACTCAATTTTAGAACTTAATAACTTATTATATTTCAGGTCTTTATGCTTTCATTGTTTGATATTTATGCTTATGCTGTTTAGACACTAGTTTGGGGATCCATTTACCCACCTTTGTATTCATGTGGAATTTTCTTGCAAAGTGCAATGTATTTACCACAAATTTAAAATGTAATTAAATGTGAACATCAATATAGATTTATCATATTTCACATTTAGGAAATAGGATTAACAACCAGTTTTCCCAAGTGAAAAAAGAAAACATTTATACAGATTCATTGTTTCCCAGTTATGTGTTTATGATTAGCCTTGTAAGACACTGTGAAAGGAATACTAACTTTTTGTCTCTTGAATTTAATCTGAACAACATTTACCTCTTTTTCGTTACAGATTCCTATAACTTTAGGTGTAATCCTAAATTCTTATTACGATGTGAAGTTTAATTTCCTTGGAATGGTGTTTGCTGCTCTTGGTGTTTTAGTTACATCTCTTTATCAAGTGGTTGGTAATTTTTTTTCTTTATGTGCCTTTTTAGCAGATTTCATAAATTTTGAAGCTGTATTCCAAGGTTTAGAAAATACAGTATAGAGACAATAGACTGTTGGGAAGAAAGCATAATTGCGTAAATTGTCTGACTCAAGGTGAAGAGAAGAAAGGAGACAGAGAAACTTGGGTGTGTGATGCTCACCAAATACCTACCTGTTTGTAAGTGTATAATATCCATGCTTAACAATCTCAGTTTGGGGTGAAGTTATTTTCTGGGAAATCTTTACAAAATATGTAGTAAGACTTTTTACTTCCTAAGTTTATGTTTTCTATTTACTCTTTACTTTTGACATTGTTGTGAAGGAGTGAGTACACTTCCAGAAATCTGAAGAGGAACGAAAAATTTAGATTTTTTTGCCCCCAAAATTATACTGCTATTACAAAATGTTTATTGGCTTTTAATAATTTACCTACTACAGATTATTATAATATTAATATAATAGAGTAATTTATATCAATGAATATTTTACCATTTGTGCAAGCACAGTGCGTTGCCTATAGCAGATATTCATTAAAAATTTGTTCACGGATTCACCTACCTCATTACCATAAAATCCTAACAAGTAGGGTTTTTGTTTCTTATATAGTGGGGGAAAAATAACTTTCTGTAGGGGACAGTGAAGCGGTGTTCTCTCTATACTGAAAACCTTGGTCTGGAAGTTCTGGGTGTGCCTGCATAGGAAATCAAAGCCAAAATGTGTAACCAATTTGACTTTTTTCACAAACATTCAGTGGTTATTAAACTAAGGCATTCTTGTTAGTGATATTAGGAGTTCAGTAATAGAGCCCTAGCATCTTAACCATTCTAGTAGTGATCATGTCAGAGACATTGTTATGAAAATATTCTGCAGTGAAATACATTTTCCAGTGACAGAGAAGCAGTTTAAATAAGAGGGTTGAGCATGGTGGCTCACTCCTGTAATCCCAGCACTTTGGGAAGCCAAGGCAGGCGGATCACCTGAGGTCAGGAGTTCAAGACCAGCCTGGCCAACATGGTGAAACCTCATCTCTACTAAAAATTCAATGATTAGCCAGGAGTGGTGGCAGGTGCCTATAATCCCAGCTCCTCGGGAGGCTGAGGCGGGAGAATCACTTGAACCTGGGAGGGATAGGTTGCAGTGAGCCAAAATCGTGCTATTGCAGTCCAGCCTGGGGGACAAGAGCGAGACTTCATCTCCAAAAAATAAGAAAGAAAGAAAGAAAGAAAGAGAGAAAGAGAGAGAAAAGAAAGGAAAGAAAGAGGCTAGTGAACATTCCTATTCATCTTTCTTGTTTGTTTGTTTGAGAGGCTAGTGAACATTTTTATTCATCTTTTTTTTTTTTTTTTGAGATGGAGTTTTGCTGTTATTGCCCAGGCTGGAGTGCAATGGCACAATCTCAGCTCACTGCAACCTCTACCTCTCGGGTTCAAGTGATTCTCCTGCCTCAGCCTCCTGAGTAGCTGGGATTACAGGCATGCACCACCAAGCCCAGTTAATGTTTTTGTATTTTTAGTAGAGACAGGGTTTCTCCATGTTGGTTTCGAACTCCTGACCTCAGGTGATCCACCGGCCTAGGCCTCCCAAAGTGCTGGGATTACGGGCATGAGCCACCACACCTGGCCTCATCTTTCTTGTTAAACACACTTGTTTTTGCCTAGTATAGGCTAAGTAAACAGAGCAAGAAATTGTACTCCTTATGCATAATGGATTCAGAGTACTCACCATTTATGTCACTATGACCATTTTTGTTCACACATGTCTCAAAATTGCTATAGATTAAAATCAAAAGATTCTGTATCCCTAAGGTAGATATTTGAAATGAGATTGACCAGGGAATGACTGTAGACTAATGGATAGTTTCTTATCAGTAAATGGTAAAGGTATTACTACAAAATACGTATATTCCCAAAACATTCCTCTCAAAATTGTATCTGCCCACTGTATCTTTGCATAATTTCTGTGTTGCTTCTCTTATACTGCTGGAGACATTAAAAGGAGTTAAAAGAGGAGTGACTGGCTATTAGCTTGAGTTGTAGAAGATGGTTGACTCATTCATTCATTCTTTTCTGTGTTATCTTTACCCTTGAGGATACAAAGATGAAAAGCAGCTACAGTCCAGCAGTGTAGAAACACATGGGGGCAGCTGGTAGCGTATTTATGTACCCCAAGGTAGGAGGAGAGTTCAGAGGAACACCAAAAAGGAAGTGGCAAGAGGGGTGGTGAGGTAACACTTTAGGGGAGAGTGCACAATTTAAATTGAAGGGTGCACAGAAATTAGCTCAGCAGTGAAGGACAGCTGGTCTTTCCTTGCAGTGTGTGTAAGTCTGGAGCATTTCTGGAGAACTTGATTTGTTTGGTGAGGCTAGGCAGTAGGTGCATTGTGGGAAGACAAGGCTGAGAAGTGGGTGAGGCCAGATGTCAGGATTATGAAGCCGTGCTAAGGAAGTGTATCTTTTTTTTTTTTTTTTTTGAGACAGAGTCTGTTCTGTCGCCCAGGCTGGAGTGCAGTGGCACGATCTCAGCTCCCTGCAGCCTCCCCCTCCCAGGTTTGAGTAATTCTCCTGCCTCAGCCTCCTGAGTAGCTGGGATTACAGGCGTGGGCCACCATGCCCAGCTAATTTTTGTATTTTTAGTAGAGACAGGGTTTCACCATGCTGGTCAGGCTGATCTTGAACTCCTGGCCTCATGATCCGCCTGCCTCAGCCTCCCAAAGTGCTGAGATTACAGGCGTGAGCCACCGCACCCAGCCGGAAGTGTGTCTTTATTGAGCACGCACCAGGAGAGCAGTTCAGACAGGGACTGACTTGATCATTCCCATTTTTCGTTTTCTTTTTTTGAGATTGAGTTTTGCTCTTGTTGCCCAGGCTAGAGTGCAATGGCGCAATCTCAGCTCACTGCATCCTCCACCTTCTGGGTTCAAGTGATTCTCCTGCCTTAGCCTCCTGATAACTGGGATTACAGGCATGCGCCACCATACCCAGCTAATTTTGTATTTTTAGTAGAGACAGGGTTTTTCCATGTTGGTCAGGTTGGTCTTGAACTCCCAACCTCAGGTGATCCACCCACCTCAGCCTCCCAAAGTGGTGGGATTACAGGCATGAGCCACCACGCCTGACTGGTCATTCCCTGGTTTAAGAAAAATAACTGGTAGCAATGAAGGGTGGGTAAGAGGGAAGGATGAAAGGCAGAGCAGTCAGGAACCTGTGCTTCAAGGTGCAGTCAGGAAGGGCCTGGGCTAGGGCAGTGAGAACGGATAGGAAAGGTTAAAAGGTATTCCAGGGGCATTTTGGAGAACACACAGCAGGACCTGACTGAATGTGAGAGTGAGGAAAGGAAGGCTCTGATCCCTGAGGGAGATTGTATCATCAATTATTGGAACCACACAAGAGGAGCCCATTTGTAGAAGGAAGACACTAGTTGATTTTAAACAAGTTCTTGCAGATTATGTAAGTAGAGATGGTCAGGAGACTGTGGCCAATATAAGGTTAAGGATGCTCAAGTGATGAGGGAAGAGCAGTAGATCTCAGCAAATAGTAAAAGACATCAGTCAGGGCAATGAAAGAGGAAGGCAGATGTCTGCCTTAAAAACTGTAAGTGCAGGAGGTGGTGAGGGAGGAATGCAAACCAGAGAGCATTTCTTCCAAGGGAAACTTGCAGGTTTTGCAAGGAGGTCCTGCAGGAAGAGCCACAGGGAGTCTGGACGTGGCCATGGAGGTCATGGTGCCCTTAAAAGAGTGTTAGAGGGGTGACAGCAGGAGACAGGCTGTGCTGCATTGAGGTGCAGTGGAGGCCTGAGAGCCCCTGCTGTTCCAGGCAGTCCCACAGCAGAGACACACAGCTGCCTGGAGAGATTGCGAAAGGAAAGGGGGGTGAGCACCCACCCTCTGTATCCGTTTTTGCTCACTGCTGTGCCCGGAGGAGCAGGCAGCAGAAGAATCAGTTCTTTGTGCTTCATATTCACAGAGGACTCTTAGTTAAAGCTGGCAGGAGTATGGTTCAAATTCCCTGCTCTTCTATTTTTGTCTTGATGAATTTCTATAGACTTAGAGTTTATGTTACAAGATACCCAAACCTACAGGAAAAAGAGATATGTAGAAGTCATTCAAAAGCCTGGCTGTTCTTGCCAGATATGATCCAAACAGTCCTGTTAAAGCTTCTTCAAAGCCTCTTTTTCAGTTACATTTGTGAAGCATTTTCTGGACATATGGGATTTGAGGTCTTGAGATGTTGTTTCTACTGAATGGCAGGGTATTTTAGGGTTAGTGACTATCTAATGTATCTAGGTGTATTGGTGGGGGATGAGGAATAGGATCGACAGAAAAGTCATCCAGAGAGAGGAATATTTCTTCTACCATTGATTGGGTTTTCCAAAGCAACTGACAAGACCACATACCCTTCAAGCCACATGCATTGGCAGCCACCTCTAACCTGCCCCATGCCCCATTGTCATCCTGTCACCCCAACTTCTGTCTTCCTTTGTTTTTTTTGGTTTTTTTTTAGAAGGAGTCTTGCTTCATCGCTTAGGCTGGAATGCAGTGGCATGATCTCGGCTCACTGCAATCTCCACCTTTTGGGTTCAAGTGATTCTCCTGCCTTAGCCTCCCATGTAGCTAGGACCACAGGCGCACACCACCACACCGGGCTAATTTTTGTACTTTTAGTAGAGATGGGGTTTCACAATGTTGTCCAGGCTGGTCTCGAACTCCTGGCCTCATATGATCCACCCACCTCAGCCTCTCAGAGTGCTGGAATTATAGGCATGAGCCACTGCTCCTGGCTCCTGTCTTCCATTTTAAAATTTTTGCCATTTTTAGAAAGAAACAAAGTCTGACACTGCATCTGTATTCCTAATCACCTAAATTTCCATTTTTCCCTTATTTTCCTATGATCTTTTATCCTTGTAGGCCCTTATATGCATTTACTTTTCCCTGTTTACTAGGATCAGGTAGAAGGAAATAGAGAACTTTTCTCCCCCTTCTAAGAATTGGGAAGAAACTAGATTATCAGAAATTAAATTTATAGAGCTCTTTTTATCCAAGGTGCTTAAAGCGCATTCATATAGCTTGCTGGTCTTTGAAATCCTGTAGAATAATTGGGCATTTTCTCTTCCCCTAGTCTATTACCCCACATTCCTATCTTTGTGACTCTAGTTGTCACAGCTTTGATTAAGTGATGCTATTTTTTTTGTGCCTGACATGTTTTATCTCCTAATTATCAGTGGGTAGGAGCCAAACAGCATGAATTACAAGTGAACTCAATGCAGCTGCTGTACTACCAGGCTCCGATGTCATCTGCCATGTTGCTGGTTGCTGTGCCCTTCTTTGAGCCAATGTTTGGAGAAGGAGGAATATTTGGTCCCTGGTCAGTTTCGGCTTTGGTAAGTTCGAATTGTTTTGATGTCTAAACAAAGTATAATAATAATCCCTCCATTATTAATGTCATTGTTAGTTTTCAGAGCACTATCTCAAACCCATCCTCACATTTACTCTTTATAATTACCATGTAAGGAGGTAAGGTAAGGATTCTTTTTCAGATGAAGAAACTGACGCACACAGAGATGAAGGGACTTGCCTAGAGAGCAGCTACTCAGTGGTAAAAGCAAAACTATAGTTCATGTCTTCTGATGCCTGGTTACTGTTCTAATCGTGTCAAGCTAGAGCCCACAAATAATTTGGACATTTAAATTAGAATTTTTTAAAATGAAAATATAGCTTTATAATCATTATATCGATTTGAACATACATACAAATATAAACAAAGTAAAGGGCAGCCATGGTGGCTCACTCCTGTAATCCTAGCCTTTGAGAGGATGAGGTGGGCAGATCGTTTGAACCTAGGAGTCTTAGACCATCCTGGGCAACATAGGAAGACCTCATCTCTACAAAAAAATTTAAAAAGTGGCTGGGTGTGCTCACTCATGCCTGTAATCCCGGGACTTTGGAAGGCTAAGGCAGGTGGATCACTGGAGCTTAAGGGTTCAAGACCAGCCTGGCCAACATGGCGAAACCCAGTCTCTACTAAAAATACAAAAAAAGTTAGCTGAGGCCAGGCATGGTGGCTCATTCCTATATTCCTAGCACTTTGGGAGGCCAAGGCAGGCAGATCACATGAGGTCAGGAGTTCAAGACCAGCCTGGCCAACATGGTGAAACCCTTCTTTACTTCAGATGAACCCTTCATTTCTAAATGTAACCATTCATTACTAAAAATACAAAAATTAGCCAGGTGTAGTGGCACGCATCTGTAGTCCCAGCTACTTAGGAGGCTGAGGCACGAAAATCGCTTGAACCCATGAGGCAGAGGTTGCAGTGAGCCAAGATTGTGCCATTGCACTTTAGCCTGGGTGACAAAGTGAAGCTCTGTGTCAAAAAAAAAAAAAAAAAAAATGAAGGCCAGGTGCGGTGGCTCAAGCCTGTAATCCCAGCACTTTGGGAGGCTGAGGCGGGTGGATCACGAGGTCAAGAGATCGAGACCATCCTGGTCAACATGGTGAAACCCCATCTCTACTAAAAATAGAAAAAATTAGCTGGGCATGGTGGCGCATGCCTGTAATCCCAGCTACTCAGGAGGCTGAGGCAAGAGAATTGCTTGAACCCAGGAGGTGGAGGTTGTGGTGAGCCGAGATCATGCCATTGCATTCCAGCCTGGGTAACGAGCGAAACTCCGTCTCAAAAAAAAAAAAAAACCAAAAGAAAATGATCTGGGCTTGATGGCATGTGCCGGTAATCCCAGCTACTAGAGAGGCTGAGGCACAAGGATTGCTTGAACCTGGGAGGTGGAGTTTGCAGTGAGCCTTGATCATGCCACTGTACTCCAACCTGGCTAACAGAGCAAGACTTTGTCTCAAAAAAAAAACAATCAAAACATTAGCCAGGTATGGTGGCATGCACCTGTGGTCCCAGCTACTTGGGAGGCTGGGGTAGGAGAATTGCTTGAGCCTAGGAGGTCAAAGCTACAGTGTGCCAAGATAGCACCACTGCATTTCAGCCTGGGCAACAGAGGGAGACCCTGTCTCAAAAAAGGCCAGACTAAAACAACAACAACAGCAACAACAAAAGAAAGTAAAGGGCCCCTGGAATCCTGTCACACTAAAAATCCTGTCACCTTTACCATTTTAGTGAGGATCATTTCATGGATCTCTTTTGTATAAACACATAGGTACACATGCACATGTGTGTATAAATTTAGATACTGGAATTATATCATAGATGCTGTTTTTATTGTGGATTCCTCTTCCCCAGCCTTTCTACCCACACACTTTTCCACATTTCAATACCCCCCATCCATGCCCCTTGAAGTCATGTTAATTCTAGTGCTTGTTCTTCCATATTTTTCTCCCTGCCGTATATATCCATATAAACAGACGCGCGTGCGCGCGCGCGCGCGCACACACGCACACACACACACACACACACACACACACACCTCAATTACATATCTGTTTCTTTGACAAAAGTAGAATTCTATTATGTATGCATTTCTGTATCTTGCTTTTCTGACTTAGTAATATCTCCTAAAAATCTCTCCAAAGCATTCTTTTCAATGTCCGTATGTTTCATTGTTGTTTTGTTTTGTTTTGAGACAGAGTCTCACTCTGTCACCCACATTATGGTGCAGTGATGTGATCTCTATTTACTGCAACCTCCACCTCCTGGGTCCAAGTGATTCTTGTGCCTCAGCCACCCGAGTAGCTGGAATTACAGGCGTGCACTACCATGCCTGGCTAATTTTTTTGTATTTTTGGTAGAGATGGGGTTTCAGTATGTTGGCCAGGCTGGTCTTGGCCTTCTGACCTCAATCAGTCTGCCCGCCTCGGCCCCCCAAAAGTGCTGGGATTACAGGCATGAGCCACCATGCCCAGCCAGTGTGTATAATTGCCCCTTTGCATATTCACTTTTTTTTTCAGTTCTTGACCACTGTGAACAATATTGTGATAAACATCCTTGTACATCATGTGTCCTCAGGTACTGATACCTATTTTCCTATGCAAATGAGTCCCAGGAGTGGAATTGGCAAATCAAGGGCTTATGTATTTTGGGGACTTTTCGTTTTTAGAGTCAGGTTCTGGCTGTGTTGCCCAGGCTGGCCTCAAGCTCCTGAGCTCAAGTGATTCTCCCACCTCAGCCTCCCCAGCAGCTGGAACTAATGCTTTGGGGACATTTTAAGTTAGAATGTATAATCCTCCTATATCTTAATCAGTTGAGGCTGCTATAACAAAACTACAGTGGGCTGGGTGACTTAAACAACAAATACTCATTTCTCACAGTTCTGAAGTCTGGAAGTCTGGGATCAGGCTGCCAGCATGGTGAGGTTCTTGGTGAAGGCCCTTTTCCCACTTTATAGATAGATGGCAGTCTTCTTGCCATATCCTCATCTGACAGCAAGGATCAGAGGAGAAGCAAGCTCTCTTGTATCTCTTTTTATCTTAGGGACTAATCCCATTCATGAAGGCTCTACCCTTATGACGTAGTCATCTCCTGTAGGCCCCACCTCCCAATACCATTACATTGGGGGTAAGGATTTCAACATGTGAATTTTAGGGTGACACAAACATTCAGTCCATAACACCTTACTTATCAGGAATTCCTGCTTCCCACAAGAGTTCCCAAAACTTTTGGAACACAGTCAATGGGAATGTCTTTTTTGTTGGTATATCAATTTATCAAGCACTTATATAGCCCTTAGTCTCTTCCTTGCACTATTCAAAGCAGTATGTAAATATTAACTTATTTAATCTTTATAACTTTATTAGGTTGATACTATACTAATACTATTTGTATTAGTCCATTTTGTGATGCTATAAAAGAATACCTGAGACTGAGTAATTTCTAAGGGAAAGGGGTTTATTTTGGCTTATGGTTCTGCACAAGAAGCATCACTGCTGGCATCTGTTTCTAGTGAGGGCCTCAGGAAGCTTACAATCATGGCGGAAGGCAAAGGGGGAGCAGGCACGTCAGTCACATGGCAAGAGAGGGAGCAAGAAAGAGAGGGGAGGAGATACTGGTCTCTTTTAAACAACTAGCTCTCATGAGAACTAATGGAGCAAGAACTCACTCATTGCCCTGGGGAAGGCACCAGGCCATTCATGAGGCCCCATAACCCAAACACTTCTGCTTGGCCTCACCTCCAAAATTGGTGATCAAATTTCAACATGAGATTTGGAAGGAACAACATCCAAACTATATCACTATTATTATTTTTTTTATTGGTAAGGAAACCAAGAGATAGAGAGTTAGTAACTGGCTCGTGATCCCACAGTTAATAAGCAGAGCCACAATTTGGATCCATGCAATCTGGTTCCAAAGTCTGTATTCTCCAGTGCTCCACTCTGCTTCCTGTAAGTAGACCAGTAGTTGTTTCAAATTCATATATTTTACCATGTATACTTTTTTCTAAAGTAGAGGTCATTGGACCATCTCTCAGATAATATTTCCACTTACTTTACAAAAGTCCTAGCCATCCTGGTTATCTTGTTTCAAACCATTGCAGCCTAGACCCATTATGCTACAAAGAGAGACTGTTTTTTTGGTAGCTTTCTGACAGGTTTTAAAAAGAGGACAGCAGCAGAAAAGCCATTTAAAAAAATGCCAGTACAGTGGCTCACGCCTGTAATCCCAGCACTTTGGGAGGCCAAGGCGGGCGGATCACGAGGTCAGGAGATCAAGACCATCCTGACTAACATAGCGAAACCCCGTCTCTACTAAAAATACAAAAAATTAGCCAGGCATGGTGGCAGGCACCTGTAGTCCCAGCTACTCGGGAGGCTAAGGCAGGAGAATCGCTTGAACCCAGGAGGCAGAAGTTTCAGTGAGCTGAGATCATGCCACTGCACTCCAGCCTGGGCAACAGAACAAGACTCTGTCTCAAAAAAACAAAAAAACCAAAACGTCAAAAAAACCAAGACCACAGCAGGCTGAGTCCATATAGCGTGAGGGAAAGTTATCTTCATTCCTTAATGTCCCTAGGAGGCATCCTTGACTCAAAGTAGAGCATATGTCAACTAACTTTTTTTTTTCCATATAAATCCAGCATTATCGTAATACCAAACCAGAAAAGGACACAACCAAAAAATAAAACTACAGACTGATCGATAGATAGCCTTGATGGATATAGATACTAAAAATCTTAAACAAAATACTAGCTCACTGAATCCAATGACATATCAAAAAGATAATCTACAATGATCAAGTGGGTTTCAAACCAAGAATGCAGGGATAGTTTAACATACACAAGTCAATGAAAGTGATACACCACGTACACAGAATAAAAACAAAAAAATCACATGAAACTATTTTTAAAATCTCTAAGCAAATTTCTCTATGTTGACTCTTCAACATTATTCTGTTGTAAATTACATGAGGTATCACTATATTTACCTAAGTAAGACACAAATCCAATTCCTCTGGCCTTCTTGAGACTGCACTGACTTTAAAACTGACAAAACCTACAGGGGACTGGGCACAGTGGCTCATGCCTATAATTTCAACACTTTGGGAGGCCAAAGTGGGAGGATCACTTGAGCCCAGGAGTTTGAGACCAGCCTGAGCAACATGGTAAAAACCTGTCTTTACAAAAACAAAACAACAAAACCCTGCGTGGGACAACAAGCATCTTCAAATAGGACATGTTTTCTTTGGAACTTTAATTTATTAATAGTTTAGATTATGAATATTATTATATCTAAATTCAGAAACAAGATGATTCTATAACTTTCTGGATAAAATCATGGGATAGATTTGAACTCAATATTGTATGTGTATATAGTGTTACAACCCATTTATTCCCCTGTGCTCAGCCAAGTTGTTTTATTTTCTGTCCCAGAAACACATCTTGTACTTTCGTTCCCTCACACTTTGACCTGTGCTGTTTCCTCTACTTGGAACCCTACCCCTTCTTCTTTTTTTAAATTTAATTTAATTTTTTAATATTGAGACAGGGTCTTGTTATATGTTACCCGGGCTGGTCTCAAACTCTTAAGCTCAAGTGATCTGCCTCCCTTGGCCTCCCAAAGTGCTGGGCTTACAGGCGTGAGCCACCATGCCCAGCCCACCCCATCTTCTTTAATCTGCACATAATTTTGAGATTTCAAAACTTTTCCCTCTCTCCATTTCAGCCCACAATGATCTCTTCTGCTTTGAGATTCGTAACTATTGTCTGTTTGCCTATGAATGACGTAGAACCCAGGACTCATTTTCTTTTATTGTCTGAGCTGTAATTCTGGTGTTGCACTGTCTTTCATGTGATTGAGAGGTAGCATAGAGCAGGTTAAGAGGAAGGAGTCCAGAACCAGACTACTTGGGCTTACATCTCAGCACTGTCATTTACTAGCTGTGTGATCTTAGGCAAATTACTTTACCTCTCTTTTTTAATCTATAAAAAGGAATAATATTTTTTCAACTACTTTGTGGATGTATGTGAAAATTAAATGGCTGTTTATATGTAAAACAGAACAATTATTGGTGCATAATAAGTGTTATGTAAATATAAGCTGCGATCATCATGATTATGTCCTCGAGTGATTTCTAAGCTCTTTGAGAGCAGGAACTTTGTACATATTGCGTTCCTCACAAGGCCTGCCCTAACTTTGTAGATATCTAATGAAAGTTTACTAAGCTAAATAAGACTAAAAAATGAGGTCAGATGCAGTGGCTCACCCCTGTAATCCCAGCACTTTGGGAGACCAAGATGTGCAGATTACCTGAGGTCAGGAGTTCAAGACCAGCTGGGCCAACATGATAAAACCCCATCTCTACTAACAAATACAAAAAAATCAGCTGGGCATGGTGGCACTGGCCTGTAATCCTAGCTACTTGGGAGGCTGAGGCAGGAGAATCACTTGAACCTGGGAGGCGGAGGTTGCAGTGAGTCAAGATTACACCACTCCAGACTGGGTGACAGAGTGAGACTCCATCTCAAAAAAATTAAAAAAAAGAATAAAAATGAGCAATTCAATGGAAAAAGATCTGGAAGGATATATGCCAAGATGTTAATGTGTGGGTGGTTGGGATTATAAGAATTCCTTATTTTTTTTTGCTTATCTTTATTTTCTGATTTATAATAATAATGCATATGTATACTTTTTCTTTAGATTAATGAGAAAAATGAGCCTGGAAATTGACAGTCACAGAAAGGATGTTATGCAGTATTTTCCTTTCTTCTTGTGAAAAAAATTATATTTTTTCGAAACACTTTTCATTCTGCTCTTTTACTTGCAATTCTTATTGTCTGCCAAACTTTTTTTTTTTTTTTGAGACAGAGTTTTGCTCTTGTTATCCAGGCTGGAGTGCAGTGGTGCAATCTCGGCTCACCACAACCTCCTGGGTTCAGGCAATTCTGCCTCAGCCTCCTGAGTAGCTGGGATTACAGGCACGCGCCACCATGCCCAGCCAATTTTTTTTGTATTTTTAGTTTAGATGGGGTTTCACCATGTTGACCAGGATGGTCTCGCTCTCTTGACCTCATGATCCACCCACCTTAGCCTCCCAAAGTGCTGGGATTACAGGTTTGAGCCACCGCGCCCGGCCCCAAGCTCTCTTTTTAATCTTATTTATTAATGGTTGATATTTGAATGTTTTTTAAGATGCCTAATGAAATGTATCTTTGCTTGATAATTATAATGATTGCAGTGCTTTGCATTAATGGTTCTTTTGGTTTATTTTAGCTTATGGTGCTGCTTTCTGGAGTGATAGCTTTCATGGTGAACTTATCAATTTATTGGATTATTGGGAACACTTCACCTGTCACGTATCCTTTTTATATAACTTTCAAATGCATCATCTTTTATATTTTCCAAAACTTTCACATTTATTACCTTATTTGAATCTCACACTATTGCATGATCTAAATTGCGTAGAGAGAGTTATGTTTAGCCTTTTAGTGTATCTTTTTTTTTTTTTTTTTTTTAGACAGAGTTTCGCTGTTGTTACCCAGACTGGAGTACAATGGCACGATCTCGGCTCACCGCACTTTTACTGTATCTTTACACACTAAAGGATTTTAAAGAAATACCAACTGAAGGGGCGAGTGTGGTGGCTCACACCTGTAATCCCAACACTGCGGGAGGCTGAGGTGGGTGGATTGCTTAAGGCCAGGAATTCAAAATCAGCCTGAATAACATGGTAAAACCCCATCTCTACAAAAAATACATAAATTATCTGGGTAAGGTCATGCACACCTGTAATCCCAGCTACTCTTGAGGCTGAGGCACAAGAGATGCTGGAACCAAGGAGTTGGAGGTTACAATGAGCCAAGATTGTGCTACCACACTCCAGCCTCGGCAACAAAGTGAGAAGACTCTGTCTCAAAAAAAAAAAAGAAAAGAAAAGTAAGAAATATGAACTGAGGAAATGGGTTAGCTTCTTGTGTCATGAATGTTTTTGAATTTTCTTATGTAATAGGTGACCTTTTCCCTTGCAAAAATTAACTTAGAGTACCATTTCTTACAGACAGTGCAATTATATAAATATTTTTTGAATGAGTAGTGAGTTAGAGGTTTGGATTTCAAACAATTTTCAGGTGTTTATATTAACAAAGTAGAGGAATCGCTAACAAATAACAAAAGATAATTTTAGGCCACTGGTATCTGGCTATGGAGTATGTATTTGTACTTATTTGGATATGGGTGTACCTGTTTTTCTCAATATTATTTCACGTCAAGAAATTAAGTCATTGGCTGGGTGCCATGGCTCACGCCTGTAATTCCAACACTGTGAGAGGCCAAGGCAGGAGGATCACTTTGGCCCAGGAGTTTGAGACCAGACAACATAGGGAGACTCTGTCTCTACCAAAAACGTAGGGAGGCCCAGGACAACATAGGGAGACTCTATCTCTACCAAAAACAAAAAAGAAAAGGAAGTCACATGTTGAAGGTCAAATTCAACTGTCCATTTACACCATTCTGCTTGTCATTCTGTTTCGCTTCACATTTCACTTTGCCCCCACCCTTAAGCAAATGCAAAGAATGAATTTCTCCAGGAAGTAAATAAGTAGATATTAGCCAACTATCAATGAAAAACAATGATAAGTTTTTTTGGAAAACCAATACTTAACAACTCTTTATTTTGTGTCAGATACTGTTAGAAACATTTTGTATATGTTAGTCCATTTAACTCTCACAACAGCTCTGTGAGGTAAAGTCTGTCATTTTAGTTTCTAGAAGAAATAGAGGCACAGAGAGGTTAACTCACTTCAGTCCACACAGCTGACAAATGGGATGTCCAGATTTGAACCCATGCAGTCTCGTCCCAAAATTTGTACATCATGCTACCCAAACAAGGCATCCAAATATGTGCTCTGATTAAAAGCATTCATTTATTCAGTAAGTATTTATTGAATACCCACTAAACCACTCACTGATTTTAAAATATTTATGTACTGAACATTCTACTCTGTGCCAGGCACCAGCGATGCAGTAATGAACCGCGTAGACAAAAGTCTTTACTCTCACAGGCTTAAATTCTGGTGAGGAAGACTAGAAATAGAAAACAATTAAATATTTATCTACAGTATAGGATGGTGTTAACTGCCAAGGAGCAGAAGTAAAGCAGGGAAGAGAATGTGAAATGTTGTACACAGTGTTGAAGTCCTAGACAGGGCTAGTCAGGAAGGCCTCAATGGGAAGGTGACATCTGAGTAAAGACCTGAAGGAAATGCAGTTGCTCTGTGCAGATCAGGAGGGAAGAACATTCCAGGCAGAGGCAACAGCAGGTGCAAGGCCCTAAAAAAAAAACAAGGAAGCCTGTGAGGTTGGAGCAGGTTAAGCAAAGGAGGGAATGTGGTAGGCTGAGAAGTAACACGGAACTGAATCTAGTAGGGCCTTTACGTAAAGACTGTTACACTGAGTAAGATGGGAAGCCATTAGCATTTTGAGCGCAGAAATGACATGATTTTACTTACGTTCTAATAGAATTACCCAGTGGGCCAGGCGCAGTGGCTCACGCCTGTCATTCCAACACTTTAAGAGGCCAAGGCAGAAGGATCACTTGAGCCCAGGAATTCAAGACCAGTCTGGGCAACATAGCAAGACCCTGTCTCTACAAAGTTTTTTAAAACAAAATAAATAATAGGGTCACTCAGGGCTCCTGTGTTCAGAATAGACTAAAGAAGACTCTGTCTCGAAAACAACAAAAAATACTCCCCAAACTGAGCACCTGATCTTCCTCCCCAGCCCCAAACCTCCTTCTGGCTATCCTATCTTAGTTGATGGCAACTCCATTTTACCAGACGCTCAGGTCAAAAATCATGTGAATCAGCTTTGTTTTCTCTTTCTCCACATCCAACGAGGCAGCAAAACCTGTTGGCTCTTCTTAGAAATATATCCAGTATCCTGCCGAGACTGCAGTGAGCCTCGAACTGTTGGGCTCGAGCAATATTCCCACTTCAGCCTTCCAAAGTGCTGGGATTACAGATGTGAGCCACCACGCCCGGCCAGGGGCTCAGTTTTGGATAAACAAGTCTGAGGATTCAAAGGCGACGTCTTGGCAGGAGGCATCACAGGGAGTCAGCAGTGTGAAGCTGTGGTTTAAAGTGGTGAGACTGGTTGAGATTACCAAGCAAAAAAGTAGAAGCAAAGGAGTCCAAAGATTGAGAGTTGAGTTTGAGTCCAGTGTTTGGAATTCAGAGAGATGAGAGGAACTAGGTGAAGGACGAGAAGGAACAGTCAGAGGTAGGAAGGAGAGTGGCACAGAACCCCAGTGAGGAAGAGGAGGGGTTGGCGTCTGTGTCTGATGCCACTGGCAGGCCAAGTTCGGGGTGACTGGTCACTGATGAGGGGCTGAGTCAGGTGGAGGGCACTGGGTTTGACCAGAACATTCTGAGTGTTGGGGTGGCAGCCTTCCTAGAGTAAAGTGCAGAACTGGAAATACTACATGTAGACGGCTCTTTTTTTGTCATTTTTATAGAAGGATTCATGAATAGTTTCTTTAAATTTGCCTTCCTTTTAGTATAAATAGATTTAAAAAGAGAAGCCGAGGGATAAAGAAATTTAAAGTGTTAGAGCCAGTGCACATGAAGAAAGCTCATAATTGAAAATAAAACATATTTTATTTTGATTATTGCCAGTAACCTTGGGAAGATCCTCTGTGGCTCAGGAAGTCACCTCCATGGGATCAAGCTAGCCCACGCACCTGTTGACATGGCCCGTGCTCTCCTGAGGCACTGCCTCTGCTCAGCGGGGACCTCCAGGTTGCTTAGGAGGGCTTGGAGGTCTGATAGGTCCAGGTGTGAGCACCGAGCTCTGCCACTACCTGTGGGCCTGACCTAGTGTGGGAACTCTCAGGGTCTCACTCTGATCACTTAGGAAATGTATGAAGTGGAGGAGGTAGGATCTATGATGTTGGGTGGTTGTATTTGAAAGAATGTGTCAAGCGCCTGGCAGGTGTTTATGACACATAAGTATTGCTGTTGGTAACTGTTATAGCTAGCACATATGGTGCTTACTATATGCTAGAAGCTTTGTGTATATTATTTAATCCTTACAATAACCCTGGGAAGTATTATTTTGCCCCTCTTTTATAGTGAGGAAACTGAGGCACAGAGTGGTAGCTGTTTCTAGTGTTGTAATTAGGAAAAGCACATAGGCACACATCATACATCTGAAGAACAAGAGAGCACTCATTTATATAGAAAAAATAATTATATTTAAATAAAAGTAATTTTAAAAGGTGTGCATGTGTGTATTTAGTTTGCTTTTTAAATGAATGATGGTTTGGAAAAACCTTAATCCAGTGGCACGTTACTGGAGGTATATTGGATTAGAACATGGACTTTGGAGTTAAATAGGCCCATTTATGTTTGGACTCCAACTCTGCTACTTAATAGCTCTAATCTGGGGCATGCTACTTAAAATCTCTGAGCCTCTACAACTGTAAATAGGAAGAGTGAGCCTGCAGTGAAGGTAAACATGATGCCTAACTCAGATGATTTCACGTAAATCGCCCAGCATGGTGTTTGGCGTGTAGTTGGTGATCAGTATGACCCCTTTTCCCTCCTGAACTCAAGTGAGCTCTCTGGTACCTTATATATGTTACCTCATTTGCCAAGGAAACGCCACTAGAAAACATAATCATAAATTGCTGTACAAAATGTCTTCCCTGGACCTTGTCCTGATTGTCTTTCCTTTTTTTTTTTTTTTTTTTTGAGACAGAGTCTCACTTTGTCACCAGGCACCAGGCTGGAGTACAGTGGTGCAATCTTGGCTTACTGCAACCTCCGCCTCCCGGGTTCAAGCAATTCTCCTGCCTCAGCCTCCCAAGTAGCTGGGACTACAGGCACATGCCACCATGCCCAGCTAATTTTGTATTTTTAGTAGAGACGGGGTTTCACCATGTTGGCCAGGATGGTCTCGATCTCTTGACCTCGTGATCCACCTGCCTTGGCCTCCCAAAGTGCTGCGATTACAGGCTTGAGCCACCGTGCCCGGCCTGTCTTTCCTTTTATATTGTATCCCTTTTCTCTTTTTTGGAGGTCAGTAGGAATGGCTGAGGCAGTGTTGTGTCTCTAAATTGCTAAAACCTACCTGAAGAAACTAAGAAGTTCCCATTATTCCTTGTTTTTGAGATAGTCTTGCTCTGTCCCTAGACTACAGTGCAGTGAAGTAGCTGGGATTATAGGCATGCGTTACAACGTCCAGCTAATTTTTGCATTTTTTGTAGAGACAGGGTTTCACCATGATGGCCACACTGATCTGAAATTCCCAGCCTCAAGTGATCCACCCACCTCAGCTTCCCAAAGTGCTGGGATTGCCGGCTTGATCCACCCATTGTTCTTTATGTGGGGTGGGCTGCTGTTGAGTTGTTTATGCATTATGTATGTGTGTAAATATAACATCTATCTTGTTATTCCTTTTTATCCTTATCCAAAAACCTCAGCTATAACATGTTTGGACACTTCAAGTTCTGCATTACTTTATTTGGAGGATATGTTTTATTTAAGGATCCACTGTCCATTAATCAGGCCCTTGGCATTTTATGTACATTATTTGGCATTCTCGCCTATACTCACTTTAAGCTCAGTGAACAGGAAGGAAGTAAGAGTAAACTGGCACAACGTCCTTAATTTATTTTTTGTGAAGAAAAGAATGTTTTCCCAAGAAGATAAAAAAAGATTGTTAAGTGTGCAAGTTACTAAAAAAAAATGGTGACTGATTCAATGATTGAATGATTTGTAAGAATTAACACAAAGGAAATTTTATTCATAAAATGACTTTTTTTTGGTCTCTTTTAAAAAAAAACTTAATTCTCTAAAACCAAAATGGTTCATGCTTTTTTTCAAAGATGATCGTATGAAATCTATGGGATGGGGTGGTGCACGCCTGTAATCTCAGTGACTCGGGAGGCTAAGACATGAGAACCGCTTGAGCCTGGGAGGCAGAGATTGCAATGGGCCGAGATCACACCACTGCACTCCAGCCTGGGCGACAAAGCAACTCTGTCTCTCTAACACTCTCTGTCTCTCTCTCTCTCTCTCTCTCTATATATATATATATACATATATATATATGTATATATATATGTGTGTGTATGTGAATATACATATATGTACACATATATATATGCACACATACATATATTTATATATTAACCATCCCATATATATATATATGGGAGATATATATATATATATATAGAGAGAGAGAGAGAGAGAGAGAGGGAGGAAGGATGGTTTGGTTATTCCAAGCAAAGCACATGAAAATTAAAGTTCTATGATAATGACAAAGGAATTGCTGTTGCTGTGCTGGAAATGTGCTGTGGGTTCTCAGTGTTCATACTCTTCTAAGGAAGAACACAGTAGCTCCCTGCTTGCTGACAGATGGTTTCCCAGTGTGAGATTTGTTATTTGGATCAGAGTATTCAAATTGGAATTTAAATCTAGTGTTTCTCTTTTACTTTAGTTTCCTAATGATTTATAGAAATGAAATCTCATGAAGTAGAATAAAGATGACTGTAAGACAAGATGCAATTCTAAAAGTATGATCTTTTTTCTAGTAGAAAATTGATGTAGGAAGTCATACATTATTCATACATTTATGGGTCATTTCTTTGAGTTTTCATTGAACTATAGAAACTATATATGGAGTTAAAAAAACAAAATAGTGGTCAAGCACAATGGCTCATCTGTAATCCTAGCATTTTGGGAGCCTGAGTCGGGCAGATTATCTGAGGTCGGGAGTTGAAGACCAGCCTGAACAACATGGAGAAACCCTGTCTCTACTAAAAGTATGAAACTAGCCAGGCGTAGTGGCACATGCCAGTGATCCCAGCTACTCAGGAGGCTGAGGCAGGAGAATCGCTTGAATCCAGGAGGCGGAGGTTGCAGTGAGCCACGATTGTGCTATTGCACTCCAGCCTGGGCAACAAGTACAAAACTTCATCTCAAAAAAAAAAAAAAACCCTGTGTTTAAATGGCTCAAAGAAAAGACTATAAATGGAACTGAACATGTTTCTTATCCTGGTAATTTTTCCCAGCTGTTTGAGCATTTTATACTGGTAATTTTATTTTATTTTATCTCAGTGTCACCCAGGCTGGAATACATTAGCACAGTCATGGTTCACTGCAGCCTCAACCTCCTGAACTCAAACAATCCTCCTGCCTCAGCTTCCCCAGTAACTGGGACTACAGGTACACACCACCACACCTGGCTGATTTTTATATTTTTTGTAGAGACAGGGTTTTTACCATGTTGCCCAGGCTGGTCTCAAACTCTTAAGCACCAGCCATCTATCTACCTTGGCCTCTCAAAGTGCTGGGATTATAAGGATGAGACACCACACTTGACCAATAATTTCTTTTTTATTTATTTTTTGTTGTTGTTGTTGAGACAGATTCTTGCTTTGTTGGCCAGGCTGGAGTGCAGTGGTGCAATCTCAGCTCACTGCAACCTCCATCTCCTGGGTTCAAGCCATTCTTCTGCCTCAGCCACCTGGGTAGCTGGGATTGTTACACTGGCTGGGATTGTTACCATGCCCGGCTAATTTTCGTATTTTTAGTAGAGACAGGGTTTCATCGTGTTGGCCAGGCTGGTCTTGAACTCCTGACCCTGTGATCCGCCCACCTTGGCCTCCTAAATCCTAGGATTACAGGCATGAGCCACTGCGCCCAGCCTGCCAGTAATTTCTTAATCCTACCTCCCTGCTTCTATTGCCTAGCACATACATTTGAGGCTTCCATGGAGCTTTCTACGGTACTGAAGGATTTGGAGTGAACTATATCCAACCTTTCTAAGGTGGCTGGGGAAAATTCTTGTACAGCAAGTCAGGACAAAAACCATATAGACGTTAGGTAGAAAAATTGGGATATTAGAGAAAATACATGATTTCCACTTGAGGAAATGGAATGCCACATGTTTACAAAATGTATTTCTCCTTTTCGTCTTCTTGACATCTGAATATTAAAAGCAGTTGTTAATTTCATGTAATAAATTGAGTCAGATCATTACTCTTGTAATAAATAATTGCTTTGCTAAATGTTATTTGTAAACTTTGATGGAGAAAGCAACTCTTAAGATAACAAAGATCAGCCTGAGCAACATGGCAAAACCCTGTCTGCAAAAAATACAAAAATTAGCCAGGCCTAGTGGCACATGTCTGTAGTCCCACCTATTCAGGAGGCTGAGGTGGGAGGATTGCTTGGACCCAGAAGGTGGAGGTTGCAGTGAGCTGAGATCGTGCTACTGCACTTCAGCCTGGACGACAGACTGTACTCTGTCTCAAAAAAAAAAAAAAAAAAAAAAGAGCCACAAAATATACCTTTTGGTAAGATAGTAAATGTTATGTTATATGTTTTTTAACACAATAAAACCTGTATACACACATATAATATACCTTTGGGATTTTTAGGATTTTTTTTCCTGGACTCTGAAATGAGAATCCTCACTGAAAGTCTGTTTTGGAGAATTCCAGTTTGTCGGTCAGTCTCTTGTGTAATTAGTACATGTGGCTTCCTGTTTTGCTCTAAATATTCTTCAGTTCTTCTCACTTTACGAAGATATATGTTTTTTGTCCTAAGAAGGACAGAGCCATTAGTTTTTACCAGATAAGCCTTGAGTATTATGTCTAAGAAACATTCCGTGTATGTTTAAGTTGTAATTATTTCCCAAAAGCTGAGAAAAGTGTTTCAACACAGTGAGCATTTGACGTCTGCACTGAGAACAGCTGAGTTATTTGTGCCGTGTAGAAATTATTAACTGTGGGCTGGGTGCAGTGGCTCATGCCTGTAATACCAGCACTTTGGGAGGCTGAGGTCAGGAGTTTGAGACCAGCCTGGCCAACATGGCGAAACCCTGTCTCTACTAAAAATATAAAAATTAGCTGGGCATGGTGGTGGACGCCTGTAATTCTAGCTACTTGGGAGGCTGAGACAGGAGAATCACTTGAACCTGGGTAGTGGAGATTGCAGTGAGCCGAGACCATGCCATTGTACTCCAGCTTGGGCAACAAGAGTGAAACTCTGTCTCAAAGCAAAAAAAAAAAATTCTTGACTGTAAATAGAACTTGGGGAAAGTGTTATATGTGTCAGTAGGAATGCAGTAAGAAGATTGGAGTAAGACAGGATGGGGTCACATGTATATAAATGAATAAAATAAGTACTGCTAGAACTTGAGTCTGATAAACTTTTTTGCCTTGAAGATAATAATCCCACTGAAAAGAAAACGCCCAGGGAAAATGTGCCAGATACTAGGACCAAGCAACGGAGACATACCAAATACAGTGCTTTCAAAGAAGACATACTGTCTGTTGTTACCAGTGTAACTGTAATTATTGTTTATTCCGTGTTAAATGAACTTCAATTTTTACCTGCCAAAAATAAGGAGAACCTCTTTTTACTTTTGTATTTCATATGAGAGCCATTGGAAGAAGGATTGCATCTATGTAACATGTGCATGGTAATGCTGGCCTGCTCAGCTGTTCATATTTAGCCTGTCCAAATAAGCAGAATTGAATGATACAAAATTCCATCTCCTTTTAAAAATAACATGAAGGAGAAATCTGTCTCTGCGAAATGAAGCAAGCATTCTTCTGTTTGACCTTTTAAAATACTTTTAAAATCTTGCTATTTTCAACCAATTAATGACTTTTTAAAATTTTATTTCAAAGCATCAACGTTAGGTCGGGCATGGTGGATCACCTGAGGTCAGGAGTTTGAGACCAGCCTGGCCAACATGGTAAAACCCCGTTTTTACTAAAAATACAAAAATTAGCCAGGTGTGGTGGTGCATGCCTGTAGTCCCAGCTACTTGAGAGGTCAAGGCAGAGAAGTGGCTTGAACCCAGGAGGTGGAAGTTGCAGTGAGCCAAGATCAGGACACTACACTCCAACCCAGGCAATAGAGCGAGACTTTGTCTCCAAAAAAATAAAAAAATAAAGCAGCAACATTAATCAAGCACTCTATATCCACTCCATCGGTAAATAACTGTTGGGTGAATGACTTTGCAGAATGGCCAAAAAGAAAGGTGACCTTGGCTGGGTGCAGTAGCTCACACCTGTAATCCCAGCACTTTGGGATACCGAGGCAGGCAGATCATTTGAGGTCGGGAGTTCGAGACCAGCCTGGCCAACATGGTGAAACCCCATCTCTATTAAAAATACAAAAAAAATTAGCTGGGCATGGTGGCGGGTGCCTGTAATGCTAGCTTCTTGGGAGGCTGAGGCAGGAGAATCACTTGAACTCAGGAGGTGGAGGTTTCAGTGAGCCGAGATCATGCCATTGCCTCCAGCCTGGGCAACAACAGCACAATTCCATCTCTAAAAATAAATAAATATGGTGGCGCGTGCCTGTAGTCCCAGCTACTCAGGAGGCTGAGGCAGGAGAATTGCCTGAACCCAGGAGGCAGAGGTTGCAGTGAGCCGAGATCGCACCATTGCACTCCAGCCTGGGTTACAGGAGCGAAACTCCATCTCAAAAAAAAAAATATATATATATATATATATAAAAGGAGACCAGATTTATTAGATGTAGTCGTTTTGTATTTCTGTTCCAAAACTTTAACTGGATTATGCCTGCTAATGTCAGGAATATAATGATAATTTTTTCATTCATTCAACAAAGATTTATTGAGCATATACTGTGTGCCAGGTACTATGCTAGGCACTATGGACATAAAACACTTTTTATGCAGAGACAGTCCTATATTTCCTATGATCTTAAGGAACAATTTGTTTAGCATAAGAGATAGGACTACTTAAACAAAAACAAATAGGAATAATTAAACAGCAAACTCAGTGAAAGCTGAAGGGAACATGGTTCTGTGAGCATATAATAAAGGAGTCTTGGCCAGGTGTGGTGGCTCACGCCTATAATCCCAGCACTTTGAGAGGCCGAGGCAGGCAGATCACGAGGTCAGAAGTTCAAGAACAGCCTGGCCAACATAGTGAAACCCCATCTCTACTAAAAGTACAAAAAGTAGCTGGGCGTAGTGGCAGGCACCTGTAATCCCAGCTACTTGGGAGGCTGAGGCAGGAGAATCGCTTGAACCTGGGAGGTGGAGGCTGCAGTGAGCAGAGATGATTGCACGACTGCACTCCAGCCTGGGTGACAGTGCAAGACTCCATCTCAAAAAAAAAAAAAAGAATCTGGCCCAGGCTTCACAGTTGGAGAGGGAGTCCATGAAGAAAGTTTGAGCTGCAATCACAGATATATGGAAGTTAGCTAGGCAGAGGGTGGGTATTGCATTCTGGAAAGAGGGAGTAGCACATACAAATGTCCATTGGTTGGAAGAATCGTGATGATTTTAAAGAATTGTAAAAAGGATGGAGTCTGGAGACTAAATTTGGGAGTGGGGAGATACAGTGTGCCATGAGCCCAGAAAGGTAGATAGGCCTCAGACCATACAACACCTGGAGGCTCTGGTAAGCATCTTCAGTAAGAGCAAGGTGGAGTGTTGTGAGCACTGTCACAGTAAATTTCTTTGTTTTGAAATTAGTGGAGGAGGACCACAGAGATGCCAGGAGACCAGTTAGTTGGGAGATGACTGTAGTGAGAGATGGCAGTAGCTCGAAAGGTAGTGGACTGAAATAAGTGGAAATATTCCAGATAATCGAGTGGCTGGAATGAACTGGACCTGGAGATGGATTGGAAATGGAGAGCATGGGAAGGAATGAAGTTAAGAATCACACTTCTGCTGGTCACAGTGGCTCATGCCTATAATCCCAGCACTTTGGGAAGCCAAGGTGGGTGGATCACTTGAATCCAGGAGTTCGAGACCAGCCTGGGCAACATAATGAAACCCCATCTCTACAAAAAATAACTGGGCATGGTGGTGCGTGCCTGTGGTCTCAGCTACTCGGGAGGCTGAGGTGAGAGGATCTCCTGAGCCCAGGAAGTTGAGTCTTCAGTAAGCCATGATCACGCCACTGCACCATCGCCTGGGTGAGAGAGTGAGTCCCTGTCTTAACGACAACAACAAAATCACATGTGTGATTTGCACAGCTTGATAAAGAATGGTACCATTCTCTGAACTGGGAAACAAGAAGAGGACTGAGCTAGGAGAGGGATGAGGCGGAGGAAGATTATGGACTTTCTTGATATTGAGATATCCAATTAAAGATGTTAGCTGAGCACGGTGGCTCATGCCTGTAACCCCAGCACTTTGGGAGGCCAAGGCAGGCAGATCACTCGAGGTCAGGAGTTCAAGACCAGCCCAGCCAACATGGTAAAATCCCCCCATCTCTACTAAAAATACAAAAATTAGCTGTGTGTGGTGGTGCATGTCTGTAATCCTAGGTATTCAGGAGGTTGAGGCCAGAAAATCACTTGAATCCTGGAAGCAGAAGCTGCAGTGAGCCGAGATAGCACCACTGTGCTCCAGCCTGGGCTACAGAACGAGACCTTGTCTCAGGGGAAAAAAAAAAAAAGATGCTAATGAAATAATCAGTTTATAGAGGCCCAGAACTCAGGAAATTTTTTGATTGGAGTGGAGATAAAACTTAGGAGTTACTAGGGTATGCCTGATAAGGAGGAAAACAGACCAAGATGAGCTTGTGAAGAAGATAGTGTAAAGCAAGAACAGACTATAACTGAAGCTTGAGGAACTCTGAAGAGAACATAATGCTGCAAAAGAAACCGAGAAGGAACAAAAAGGTGGGAGGAAAACAGGAGCCAGATGCTGTGTAGCCCATGCCTGTAATCCCAACACTTGGAGAGGTCAGGACCCGTGGATCTCTTGAGCTCAGGAGTTTGAGCTCATTTAACTGCTGAGTTAATTTGTGCCATGTAGAAATTCTTAACTGTGGGCTGGGCATGATGGCTCACACCTGTAATCCCAACACTTTGGGAGGCCGAGGTGGGTGGATCACCTGAGGTCAGGAGTTCAAGACCAGCCTGGGCATCATGGTGAAACCCCCGTTTCTACAAAAAATAGAAAAATTAGTTGTTTAGAAGGAAAGAAACCTGCCAAGAAAAAGGCCAGTCTCAGTCCGGGAGCAAATAGGGTGCGTGGAACAGGTCTAGCCTGGACGTCAGCACTGTGACTTCTAGTCCAGACTGCCATTTGCTGGCATAGCCGTTGGCAAAGCTTTGGGCAAGTTGCTCTAATCTTACTTCTCAGTTTCTTCACCTACAAAATGAGGGTTTTGATCCAAACAGTTTCCAGGGGACTGTCCAACTCCAAAATCCCCTGATTCTGCTTTTTCAAATTAAAATTATAATTTCTAATTTGCTTTTATTAAGAGCAGATTTGAATAAATTAATCAGAAAGGTTTGGTTTGTTTGACCTTTATAAGATCCATTTTCTTGTTCACAAGCATTTCTTTACTCATAGATGACATTTTTATAACATATATGACACACATTAAATGTAATTTATTTTCATGTTACTTTCTTATATTAGAAGATAGGATTTCTTTTGATCTATCAAAGCTGCTTATACTTTATATGAAGTCATTAGGAGGTGAATTATTACTAATTCAATGAATTATTTATGAGTATTTGGTGAATGTTTTTGTTATGCTGCTTTTAATTTGGAAAACTGCCTATCACCCAAACCATAGTAATTCAGATTTTTCCATTTAACTAAAAATGTCTCATAACTACTATGCCAGAAGAACAAGCACAGATATTTATTTAACCAGCCACGTCTATATATTTCTAAATATTTATTTATTTCAGTTATCCATAGACTTTTCCTTTTGAAATCCAATGATCGTATCAACCACGTGTCTTCATTTTCCTTTTCCTGTTTATCTTACTCTTCCCCCCAAAAAAGTCAGTTTCCTGTTTTCTCAATTCCCCTTTTCTCAGTTTCAAATTAGGCAGCGGCCTATGGCAGGTGTCACGTCCAGCTGCACAGGTGGCAAGAAGAAGCCCTGAGACAGCCTTAGAAGCAGGCCAAGGAAGTGGGTGAAGAAGATGGGATGTTCCACCGGAAACAAAAAGAGGAGCTAAAAGTGAAAGTCTTCCCCAGCCACAGGTGGAATTAAAGAAATCTGGCAAAAAATAAATTTTCTCTGTGTCAGGGCAGTGACCTTTGATTACAACACCCTTTGCTACCTATAGCTACAATGTAGTGTTGTCTTGGAGTCCGTTGTACATTTAAGAATAAACTTTTGTAAGAAAAAAAAGAGTCTACCAAGTTCGGTGCAGGAGAAGGATGGGTGGGCC